TTTCTGGTATATATAATTTTTTTTTGCCTTGGCATGACGGTTTTATAAACACCTATCAATCTTTTTCATTTTTTAACGAGAAAATTTTTGGTACAGAACCCATGACCCACCCCTACCAATCAACCCAAATCCGATTGCACAAACGCTTGAGACAAAAAATTTTTATTAGCAACGAGTTCTTCACATGCCACCTCTTTAAAAAAAATAAATAAGAGAGAATTTACCCTTGTAAATCATAATGCCCCAGTCCCTGAAAGCTTAAGGGGCAGTAAAAAAATCTTCCATGCATTTATTGCGAAACAATAGTTTCTTTATTTAGATAAAAAAATTTAAAAATCAAAAGGTAATTTTTTCCCTATATTGGGAAATCGCTAATCTTTTTCTTTTTCATACTACTTTTTAAATTTTTTACTTTGGGATTTTAAAGGGCCTTTTAAAATGCATTTCTGGGGAGGGGGGGACTTTTATATATTAATTTAAAAAGAACAGTGTATTCATATTTGTCTCCCCCAAGGGTTGAGATCCTTTCCAAACCTCTACGGATGATTTACAAAAATTATTGAAACCCCTTGAGGTTTAAATTTTTTTCATTTAAACATTGAACACACATTTAAAAACAATTTTTTAAAAAATAATAGCACCGTTAAAAACTTTAGTTTATTAAAAACCCCTTACTTTTAAGGGAAACAAAGACCAAAAAACGATTTTAAAACTCAAAATAAAAATACAAACTTTTCCTGGGGCAAACACCCTTTTTTTTAAACACGATTTTATCCGGTGTTTTGTTTATCTTTTTAAGACTGCAAAATGGTTTTAAATTTTTAAAATAAGAATATTACATTAAAGAAAAAAATTACAAAAATTTTTAGAGCATTAAAAATTTGTTTAGGAAAAGGTTTTCATATGCATATAGTAGATATAGTTGGTACAGAAACAAAATAAATAAAAGTTGACAAATTTGTCAATCTGCTACAACACAATAATATACCATGGTAAAGTATGAGATAAAGCGTTGAATGAAACTCAAATCACATGAAGGTCGTTAAATATCTCTAAAAAATATATTGCAAAAATATATATATGTGAAAAATGGGATCTACCGTGATGAAACAAGAAAGAAAACAATTACTTGATAAGTCCTTATCATTTTTGTTTGCATATTTGGAAAAGCAGTATACATGTTTATATAGCTTTTGTAAAATAATTTAACGATTTAATACATTGTTTCGGCGGACGGGCTAGTAACAATTTCAATTGTGCACAACTCTTCCTTTCTATAGCGGAATTTCCAATCAAGCCTTCATAGAAAGAACAAGTATAGTACATTGTATGTTGAATAATTATTGTCCTGGTATGTGTTAGCCGGGTCAAATTGCTGATATGATACGGGAGTCTAAAAAGAAAAGAATATGTTCTTAATTCATTGCCTTTATTCTTTCTACTTAAAACATGGCGGAGACTGCCGTTGCATAACAACATGTGGCATAATAACATTTAACTAATTGTTCACAACTAAAAATAACAATGTTTTAACTTTACTCATGTCTAGGGGTACATGCAAAGAGTATTAAAATATAAGTCATTATCATGATAATACTGCAATGTAAAATGTTTGGAATGAATAATAATAACAAGATTAACAACACCACATTGATTATTTATATATCTGATTGAAATAATAACATATTAAACTGATGATTACTAAACTGCTACTATAGATACTAAACTTGAGAGTTTACTATTATGCATAAAACAATAACAATCTAAATCATTGGCACAAATGATAATACTGACAATCAATTTATTTGGCACTTATAACTGTATATACTTAACAAAAGGTGAAAGATAATAATGAATTTTTATATGTTCAGTTAGACAAATAGCATATAAACAATGTTCAAAACAATATTTTATATGTTCGACTTTATGTCGTTTATTTAGTAATGTTCAAAACAATATATTATATGTTCGACTTTATGTCGTTTAATCGCTCTTTCCAAATATGGCATAATACATGCTTTTCTAAATAATTGTCTTAACAATTATTAAACTGTATTCTACTTATAAAAAGTTCATAATTATCATGTAAAATGCGTATTAACAATAAACAGTAAAAATATGATGATATAGAGATGAATCTCAAAATACGTATGTAAAACGTTTATTCGCGAAAACATATGACTCTAAACTTTAAACATGTTTGCAAGCAAAACAATACAATGTCATTGATAACAGTTACGATAAACGAAAAATACAATGAATAAACCTATCGAGGAAAGTCTTTTTCTTTCTCTAACTTGTAAATACTTACCTAAAAAGAAAAGAATATGTTCTTAATTCATTGCCTTTATTCTTTCTACTTAAAACATGGCGGAGACTGCGCCAAATTACCGCAAAGAATAACTAACGCAAAGAACGCTCAACATTTTTTATAGGGATGCCTTCATCAACCTCCTCACATATGTGAATTTATCAATTTTGTCAATCAGAAAAACTAGTTCGGCGAAAATTTCCTTTAAATGTATTCTGTTTAATACAAATCATTATACTGTTAATTGTAATGTTTGTATTGTTAAAAACGATGTACTGACGACCTTGATGTTCCTCAAAATGAAGAAGATATCATTAAAGTAAGTTATTGACCTCGGACATTGAGTCTTATGGTCATTTGTCTCCTGATTCAGAAATCAAGTGCGATTATAGTAGTCGAAAATCTGCGTTAACACCAGGAGTAAAATACGACAATATTATTACCCCAGCCAACATTCTATATCGGCCCGACATCAAACCGACATGGTTTTCTATGACGGGCCGATGTCGGCTTTAACCTCGGCTGCAAATAGGAATGATATAGGCCCGACATCGGCAGCACAATATCGGGCCGATATCTTAACGATATAGGCCCGATATTTCTTGCCGACATCGGGCCTACATCAAAACTATAGCGGTGCGATGTCAGCCAACAGTAGAAAAATATCGGTCCTATATCGACCAGGTATCATGCTTATATGCTAGCATGTTGATGACATCTAGCAGCAAGCATTTGACATTATCTGCAAAAACACAAAATAAAAGATAATTATTTTACAAAATAAGATAATAAAGACACATATTTTAACTTAAATGTGCAAATGACAATTACTTTCATGATTATGCATGTCGCGAAATCATGTGACAAATATTTTCAAACATAATTTAACATCTTAAAAAAGAGACAAACAGATAAATTGTATTTTTCCAATAATTTGAGGTGTAAAATCAAATTATTAACAGCGTTTACAGATTTGTTGAATCATCATAACATTAAAAAAACATGCTTTTCATCACCTTCCTTTGTTAGCTTTTCTTTTTGGCGCTTAATCTGTTAATTGTAGGCATGCAGTGAATATTTTCAAACTTTTCATTTAAAATATAATAAAAGAGTGATTTTAAAGTAGTCAAAACATAAATATTGAATTTAATTACAAACCACAAATCATTTCCAAACTCAACTATGATTATTTTAGAAATTCATATCAAAATGTACAATTATTTGCTGCATGATTTTCAATTCAACAGAAAACGCAATATCGTACCGATGTCAATCCAATATACAAAATAGTTGCATTGATAGGTCATGTAGGCCCGACGCAGACCCGATGTACCTTTTTTGATGTAACACGAAATGTGGATAATGTGGTTTTAGTAATTGAAATCATACACAGGACAACTTATTCACATTATTAAGTAAACAATTCCATTGCAATGAGAATTTTTCAAAATACTCAATATGTCGGCACTGCAGCGGCCCGACGTCGGCCAATAGTCGGTATATCTTGCCGACATGCCGACATTAATCCTATATCGGCCCGATATGGTCATGCTGGCTGGGACGCAACTTCTAATCACATGTTACTGTGATAAACTTCCGTTGTTAAAATGGGAAATTTGCTTATAAAGTATAAAATAAACGGAAAAGTCCATTTGGTTGTGTTTCAAAGATGACCAGACTTTTTATTTAATAGCAATTTAATGGTATGTTCAGCAAGATCATTTTTTCTGATTGTTTAACTGGTAATTGCATCAAGATATTTAAAGTATACTGTCAAACACAAAAAAACTACATCTGCTAGTTAACCAAATTATCCTTTTAACAGTTAAGGGTATTTATGAGATGGGTGTCAACATAATTTTCAGTTTCATGTACACCATATTCTCGAACACGTTATTCTAGGCGAGAATGTCGTTTCTGTCATGCTTTTGTTTAAGGTCAGATGTCACTTCTACCGGGACATTGCTTATTGCCAAAAGATAAATTATTATCTCAAATCGGACTACAATAATTTGGACTTCATTTGCAGTTTACAAATAGACACTTCCAAACCGTCGAAGTATATATCGAACAAATAGTTTGCAGGAATGGTTATTTAAAGATGTACCATTCAAAGTATCTAGTTAGAGTTTCAATGATATGCATTTCGTCATTATCTTCACTTTGTGGGCGGGACTAAGTTTATTAGCCGAATAATAAGGTCCTTCCGACAATGTTAATTTTCTCCCTACCGTCCCGTCGACTTGTGTCTGGTTTTTTTTCAAAGTTCATCTATGCAGGCTTTCCGAATAAATGCGTCATTACGGAGAGAGTTAAGATATCTCAAAATTTTACTGTATGATTAAAGACACAACTTATACATGTATAGTGTATTGTTTACTGCACTTACTCTTCAATAAGCAGAAGTAATTCAATAATGACAAATGTAACATAATAACCAAAGTTTGATTCACAAATGCACATTGTAAACAAAAATCCAGCAAAAGTATATATAACTCTCGCGAAGTTTATTACTATTTCTCTATATACGATATAATCATGGTAAGAAAAACAATATACAGCATATTTAATCATGTATTAGTTATACATGGAATAGCTATAAGGAAAAACACATTTTGTATCCAATTTCGTCTTTTTTATGCAGTTGTGCTAATATTACATACAAGTGAACGTAATATTTTTCTTGTTAAGTCATTAAAGGGCAAACTAGCCCTACTTTATTTCACAGAGTTAAGAAATGATTCAATTAATATGAAAAGTATGTCGATACATAATTATGGTTATTAAGTGTATGGTGCGCTTTTGAATACTTCTATCGTATTGGCTTTTTCGTATACATTTACAATATTACTGCAAAGAGCAGTGGTTATTTAAAATCGATCTTAGTGAAATCCGCTTTTCAAGTTATCTATAACAATGTGGTTTTCAGTTCAGGTATGGATTGAATGAATATTTGTACGAGAATTTAGTTGGAATACTTCTGTTTGGATATTTATACGGTAAGTTACATAACTTAATTTCATTAACTATATAAAGTATATAGGATGTTTAAGATAAAATTATCTTACAGTTATTATTATTATTATTAATATTATTGCAAAACTTTTAAGATTCATATTGGGTGTCTATATAAATTTATTCAAAGTTAAGATTACTTTTCTGAAGCGTTACTTAAAATATGAATGATCCTGTATAAACAAGGGTACCGTCATTTTGTTCTGAAACTTTTATATCTTTACAATTTTATCAAAAGACACAATGCATTAACTTAACAGGACTCTGTTATACAACTGTTAAAAGCTTTATATATCAATGTTTACCCAGCTTTATGGGCTTGTAAAAGAAAAAAACTTGAAGAGGTTTTTGATGTTAAAACGTTTATATATTCCCACTTCAAAAAGCAAGCTTACGCCGGATTATTGCCAATATTTCTTCTTTAAGTGATTTCTGTTATTCATTCCTGAAAATTGTAAATTTCATATGCTCATGTATTATGTAAAATGTATATCTCCGAAAATTCGGAGACAATAAAGATACAACTTATCGTTTGAATCTATATCATACCTATAGTGTGAAGTAATGCTCATATTTGGTTATAAGGATATACTAAGTGTACGCTTACGGCATCAGTCGTTGTTGTTTCACCGTCTGTCTATAATTAGCCGTCATTTTATGAGCTGATTTGTTGTCTCTTTAGTGAATGATATCATTTATCGTTTGTTCAAAGTCTAAATTAGTGATCAAAATCATAAATTTGTTTGACCAATAACAGATGTATCTTTGAGAACGGCATTAATGGAACTTTGCACCTCTTTAGCAGACGATATATTAGTTATTTGACGTACATCGGCTACCTCCTTAATGAACCAAAATTTCAATTCTCCGTCCTCCATCTAGCCAGTATGGTACCAGTTAAATAATGGAATATATCACATATAAAATGATAATTCAGTGAAGGTTGGTATTAATTCGCAGGCGCAAACATTTTCAGACACTCATTTCGTCTAATCATTATGTAAAATGTAATCTTGAGGAGTAACAAATATATCAGAAATGTGAAATTACCTGCTAAGTTATGAATTTCGATTAAGAAAAATGACTCGTTGTGAACGGGATTACTGACGTTTACGACCGAAACTCATTAATTCCTTATTGATGTGTGCAGAAATCAAATAAATGAAATTGTAATTTTATTGTTCAAGTCTGTCATATCTCACACATTCAATACAAATCAATGACAACGAAAAATTAAGTTTATTGCCTTTCAATCAAAGGTAAAGTATTAAACGTTTCAGCAACCCGTGTAATGGGATTTAAACCTGAATTAAAATCCTGTGGTATTAGATTATATATGTTAAATTTAATCAAATAATTGTGCAGTTTTGTCGACAAAGTATGGTAATATTCTACAAGGTCATAAGGTCAGTAGTTAATAAACACACACAATAACATAACAAATATATTAAATCATATTTGCTTTCCTTTACTACTAGACTACTCAGATTTGGGGAATAAAAGCTTCGAAATAATCTAAATAAATAATTAGTTGAATGATTTAACATGTTATGATAACATTACAATATTTTATACACAGTTTAGAATATGTGATATAATAATAATATAAACAATTTAAATAATATAAAATAATGTTTTCACTATCTGGTGATTCAAAAATAACAACAAGTTTTATTTAACACTAAAGATGTCATGGAATCAATGAAATAAGTATGCGTAGTGAAATACTTTCTTTCGAATCTATTTTCATGACATGATACTACATTATATTATTATAAAATGAGTTAAAAGATTACCTCTTAAAAACTTAAAGGTAAATAAAATATTGTTTAAGTAGTTAATGCTATAAAAATATGCCAATGTCATGATTAATTGAAACACAGTTTGTTTTGCGTTGTAAAGAAGGCGTTCCATTAGTAGTCATAACAGAAACCTTTCCTTGTGATGATTTTAGATCGATAGCTGATTTAATGAGATTCCTTTTACCTTTTATTTATTAATCGTTTGCAAAATGAAAAAAAAATAAAGAAGAAAGAAAAAACATATATCGACTTATAGATAATTGAAATTCGATGATACATAAATGATAGTTTAGAAAGACGAGAGAGGTTATAATCAAAAGTTTTATCATCGACCAAATAGCTTGGTGTCAAATAAGTTTAGAATTTAAATCTTACGTATATCATAAGTTTATCTTAATGAGAAAAATAGCGACCATATCGACAGTATAGTATGGGTTCCAACAGATAATTTTGTAGAATATATAAAATAGTATGAATTTGTACATGATTTAGTAATTATGTCTAATTACGTCTATGGGTGCTTCAAAGAGTAATTTAATGCATTATTATCATAATGTTTATTGAAGCACTATTTTTGTCATATCGATTAATTACATCATTCAATGGACGTTTTAAACAGAAATACATATAGACTAAATTTTAATAAGAATCAATACACTTTTGAATAGCTGTCCCGGTATATGAAAGTATCTAAAGTATTTAACTGTACATCAATATATTTATGATCGATAAATATATTTCATAACCATTCATAGTCAGCTTATTTAACGATAATTTGATTAAACTGATGCATGGGGATTCAAATCTTTTTATCCCCACATGAACGCATGGTGGTATTTCATGTAAAGAATCAATCTAAACTCCATTTATGTATTATTGTTGCTTTCGTTGGTTCTTTTCATCGTTCACATATTCCTTTCAGCAGTTATTAAATTTTAAGCTATCAGAGTTCACTCTAGACAAAACCACACTTTGTCAACAAGTTAGGCAAGAAAAGTTATAGAGCATTTTTACTACAAGTGAATATATCTTATTGTCCAGCGCTTTTGTTTGGGGAAATCTGTTGTTTTTTTTTTTGGTTTTATGGTGTGTTTTTCCAGACAACAATCTTTGAAAAATTAGATAGGGTAGGATTTTCTTTAAATCCAGGTATAAAAACGGCAAAACATGTTACTTGATCATAAGCCAAGATAGGGTAGGGATGCCTGAAACACTGACTACTTTAGGCCGTGTTATAACTGCAATACAAATTATCAAAATAATAAAAAAAAACATTTTGTTTCTTAAGTCAAATGGTTGGATTTTCCCCTTACAAAAGTTTGCACATTGGATATTTAGAACAAAATTTGTTTAAAGGGACCCTTTTGATAATTTAACAATTTCTCTACTATTAAGCCACTCGATTTTTCTCTAGTTAATAGGCAATAATTACTAAAAACGATTTATAATGTTTCCCAGGTGTACGTTTATAATAGTACATATGTAGTTTCATTAAATCACCATTGATTACATTTGATTTAACCTTTAATTCAAATACTTTTATTGTATTTAGCACTTGATCTTTATATATTTAATCTTATTCTACGTTATTATTAATTGATCAAATACAATTGTATGTAGTGTAGCAATATTCCTGAATGTATCAAAGACGTTACCATACAGGGTATTAAAATGTCAAGCCGTTATTGTGTCATCACTGAAACAGGTTCTTATATATCTTAACTGAAACCAGTACTATTTTATTGATGGTGACACGCTTATCCAAATGTAAAAATTATGTCATAAAGTCGTCTTACAAATTAATTTGTAGTTAGGTTTTTTTTCTTTCGTTCCAGAAATGGCAACTGAACGCAGAAAAACTGGAAAGAAAACCGAGTCGGCGAGGTATAAACTATGTACATGTATAGAATTATATAATTCTACCTTATAGTTTAGCACTAGAGATTGATTGTAGAGCATAAAACACTTTAATTGATTTAGGCTGCTTTATTGCTTTTACTGCACGCCTTTTTATTTGTTACTATTGTGCAAGTACGGACTTGGTATTAAGATAGTACTAAATAAGATTTAAAGAGAATATGACGCATTTATCAAACAAAACATTAGTTTTATTACACCTTTTCTTCAAACATAATCATTGATTAAATCAAGTTTTAAAATTTCATAATTTTGAATCTCCTATTCAGAATAATGAACAAAATCGTTTTCGATTTACTAGCAAAAACAGTATTGATGTCAGCGTGGCCTCTTATTTATACTTGATAGTTTAATGTAAAATATTTTAAATTTGTAATTTATGTAAATTCAAAATCTTGGGTTTTTTTATTTCTCATTTATCAAAGCTTTCTCGGCTATTTTGCATTTTCTAAATAAAATTGCAGGTTTTCCTAATTAATATGAACATGTTTTAGCTTTCCTCTTTGATTTATTAACTTTTTATATGTGAAACAATGGAAATAGATTATATGAATATTGTATAGATTGGCAAACTGATTAACGAATCGATTTAATGTCATGAAATAGAATTAACTCATTACTTACATATTTCTAAAATATTAATGCCAAAATATTAACACTTCTTTTTATAGATTTAATTATAGCAGTAGTGTTCTTTTGATTGATCTTCATGACGCATGTTATTTAGTGTAACTAGCTTGTGATCTTTGCTTTTCATCAAATCCTCCATCTAGAAGGGGACTTAGACAGGTACCTGTCGCTGATAAAGAAAACATTAACGGGTATGACCACCTCAGAGATGAAATCAATAAAATCTGGACATCGTGGGTCGAAAATAACTCGAATGTAAGGTAAAAGAGTCAAACTTTTAACTTGTTTTCCTCAGTTCAGCAGAATATGTATAATTGATGGATCACAAAGTCATTTTTATAGCCAGGAAATATTGGATTCACATATGTAGCAAAGACACAAGTTGATTGCTATTACAGAAACCGGAATTCAAAAAAAAATTAAGGCAACATTGACTGTCGGTAAGATACCTACTTCTATATTGAAGATCATTTGTAGAAAATAACACAAAATGGTAGTGATTATGTAGGTAGAAAATAATTAACATCAAATGTATTTGTTCAATATACAATGATAGCTTTTATACGGGCAAGGAAGATTGTACCTTGGAAAAATATGTTTTTTATGTATATTCAGTAAGACTGGTGGAAAATAAATTGTCTGGTCCATATCACGACATCTTGAACTACAAACAATATATTTACGGATTTCTTTAAGTTACTAGTTTCCACTCTTCATTAATTATGTTTGAGTTTTCAGCTTTATATATTTGTGTATAATTTATGATTTACTCATATGACCAAATGTGAGATTAGATATAGTTAGAGATTTGCTTAATTTGTATAATCACGCTTGCTGCTTCATTTTTTGAACATTTCTTTTTATTTTTGTGTGTGTATGTAATGTGCAAGACAAACCCGCTTTTATTCCTATATACACCAAAAAAGTATACATTAAATAACGACGTTCTTTTCACTGAACCGGTTGTGATACAGTTATCTACATTCACATTAAATATTGTGATGTTGTTCCTTATGTAGCAGTTTAGTAAAGAAGTTATCTTAACACTTTGCCTGCTAAACATCTGCCATGGATAGGTCCAACTTTGAATTTAGAGCAGTACGTTCAAACTGTAAAGAATTGAAAGATCAAAACAAAGACATTGAGCTACGAACAGTATACAGCCTGGTAAGACTACACAGATATATAGATTGCTGTGACTCTCTACTGCTGACAAACGCTAATAACTTTCGTTTACAACTGGGTTCCGGTTAAATTTACATAAAATGTTTGAACATTTCAGTGATTTATGGAGAAGAATTGAACAATCAGGTCTTGAAAATGCACAAAAAAAGCTGTCAACATCAAAAACAGAGCTGGCCGTTATAACAGGGTAATATTATCCAAGCTTTACATGCTAAAAGTTAATGAAGATAGTCAAATATTCTTTATTTATTCGTATCTTATTTTTGCTAATAATGTTCCTGTATGTCTTTGTTAAAAACCGATAATTAATAATTGAGAAAACAGTTGGACATTATGTAATATAGTCTTGTTAATTAGGTTTAATTATTGTAATTAATATATCTAATAGTATGTACATTTATACTAGCTATTTCGCAAACATTTACATATTCCTTTGCGTAAATAAAATTCTATGACAATTTTATTACAGAGTTTCGTCAGATGATGCTGATCATATTTGTTCTGTGATGGTAGAGTTCTGTGAATTGTTAAACTGTATACGTCTTGCATATGTGGACAACGAAAGCGAAATATTTGATGGAGACGAACGAGAAAAGAAGTATATACAATGTCCTATATATTAAATATAGTCTGACTTCAAATACTGGAGTGGCTAGTTCAATCTTTACTTCGACTTCGCCAAATGGTCATTCGAACAAAACTTTATACGGTTGTCCCGTCTATTGGTGCGTTATTTCGTACAAATGAAAATCTAGCGGTTACTTCTTGTATGAACAATGACTCACGATCTTCGTAAATAAAAAATAAATAAATGAATCTTTTTTCTTTGTCTTCTCTTAGAAGATTAACCCATTTCAGTTTTTATTGTTCTCCAGGAGAGATTGTTTATAATTTTTTGTTATCTTGCTATATTCCATGGAAAATAAAGAAAATTTAAAGGAATCCATCTTCTTTCAGGTTTTTGAAAGTATCATGTCCAGCAATATTGGACATTTGGAAAAGTTACAGCATGTTTGCTTCTGATTATGCTTCGACATTTATTTCCAAGTAAGTTTTTTTTTAATTTCTGATAACATTTAATTCAAAAATATAGAACACCTAACTATGCAGTCTGTCATTCATGAGAAAAAAAACAACTAGCAATGATTTAATATAAATCATCCGTTAGACGGAACAAAAATAAAATAGATTATGTTTGCATTTACATTAAGGTTTCAATAAATCGAGTTATTCGAAGTTTTAGAGTAACGTTGATGATATTGCATTTCGTTAATATCAGTTATAAATGAAAGTATGAAAGTTATCTATTTCATCACACATTGTTTATTATTATAGAGGTTGGTTGAATTCGTCCGAGCACAAAGATTTACTGGCATCAGTCGCTGAAGTAGCTGGTAGTAGTGCCAAACTGCTCGTCATGGCAGTCAACATGGATAGCTATCATAATCTAGAGTAAATATTTAAATTCCTGGATAAAAAAAATTAGATATTATCACATGCTTTAATGTTTGTAGATTCGCGTAATACAAAATATGGTCCATTAAAAATAAATTATAGATTCAAATACAGTAATATTTAAACATATTCAGTTTGATTAAAATCTTTTTTTTTATCATTCCGTTATAATCGGCATAATACGTTGACATATTAAATGTATATGTACTTGTTTACATGCTTGAACCTGTCTTTTTAGCGATACTGAAGACCTACTTAAAGACGCGATACAAGCAACAGTTGATGTATGCAAGGAAACTGAAGATCTGTTGGCAAAAACGAATGCGCTAGGGTAAGTACTATATTGTCCACCGAAAACACGATTACTAGTGGTTTATGTCCATTTCTATAAAATAAACAAAATGAGTTGAACCCATCTACGTAAAAGTTGAAAATTTGTTTCTTTTTAAAAGATGCGTTCTTCTTTAGGTCAGCAGTGACATTTCATCATCTTGTCTTTATTCATTTTCTTTGTGACAATGACATTAATTTCTATAAAAAATGCGTTGAATACTCTTTTACTTTCAGTGAAAAACATACAGCTGTTGACAAATTAACAGAGATTCTTGGTTGGATGTTTTATGGAATAAGTCACATGTCAAACAAAGTTATAAAAGTTGGAATAGAAGCAAGGTACTTGTACATTTTTTTGTATATCAAAAAACAATTTTACAATTCCTGACATAAAGACGTCATCAAAAGTTTTTATATAATTCTACTATTGGGAAGTACTAAATGCTAAACGTAAGATGATAAATACATGGCTGTAATATTGTAATGGAATTTAGTCGGCAGTGTTTCAATTTCTATGTACTAGTATACTATATATTTTGTCAGACTTAAGTTGACTATAAGTTCATCAGTTACGTTAATATACTATTTACATTATACCTGCAGAGCCCCAGACAATAGTTTTGAGGACTTTGATGTACTGACGACAAAGATTGCTGAATTGACAAAACAGATGCAAGAAAAATGGGGAGAACCACCGTATGTAAAAAGCTTTATTTGAAATATAGTAAGAGATATATATCTCTTGGTATTGAAAACAAAACACCATTTGTTATTTATTTGTTCTATAATACCACAATAGAAATAAAACACTTCCATCGATCTATTAACCCAGTCGTATATAGATTTACCTTGTCGTTCTTTAGAAGCAGTCATTATTTTAACTGTTTTAGTCCTTCTTTTCGCTTTACATTGATATTAAACTTACTATGCAAAATTGTCAACAAATTCATGAGTAATGGCGACTATGCGACCGTTCAACCTGTTTTTATGTTTTCCTGTTTACCTTAGTTACGTATTGAGCTTTTCCTATGTTTCAAGTGATATCGTTTATGCCCAACTCTTTTAACTATAATTGTAGAAAAGAAGAAAGTTCGCCTCCACCCCAACAAGTTCAAGAAAAGAAGCAAAGGTATACATATAACATTGTTTCGTACTTTTAAATTTATAAATTTCGTGTCACTCCTAAGGAATGCAACCCAATATTTATTATTGTTACAAACGGTTGCATTAAAAGATAAAATGCAAATCTAAAGTGAATAATTACTTCAATGAAACTTATAAAGGTTGATGCATATGAGCTGTAAGAATTAGTTTGGACACGTGTTCCGTTAATGTTTTCAAACTCTCATTTCACACAAGTTTAAAATCATGATTGATGTTGTAACTTGTCGTTCAATACAGAATTAGAAAGGTACATGTATTTACTTTTTACAGCAATAAAAAGAAAAAGCCATCTAAAACGACAGTAATCAGGTGAATCACTGTAGCAATAAGTGTTATGAAATAGGAAGCTTGTATTTCAGTAGATAGAATAGTTGCATCAGAATAACTATAGAATATCAAACTTTGTTATGGCTAGTTTTGAAAATCAGTTAATAACTCATAATGTTGTATACTGTATTTAAACAGAGAAGCAAACATTATGGATTGCACGCGTTAAATCACAAGTTTTAATTTTTGTTGCAACGAAACAGTTGAAACTTTATCTATTTCAACTGTGAAAGAAGACACATATGTTAAAACTTTATCATAACTTCATTGTGCCTTTTTAGTGTTAGTTGCATTTGTAAAGTATTTCAGCGGAATGTAGATGTTAGCATCGCTTTTTTTGCTTAAGATGATGTGAATGAGACATTGTTGTACAATTTTGATCAGTATGTTCATGTAAAAAATGTATTTATTTTCAAGATTTAAAACGTAAGGTAAAAATCATTAAAATTTTGGATTATTTATCTACTTAATTAAGACTTTCTGATAATTTCATGTGATTGAATATTTTTATAAAAGATATAGGAAGCATCTATTTGGTCGTCTGAGTGGAAAACGTTGTTTCTCTCAATTTATTTGCTTCCCGTCGTCATGAGATTTCAAAACAGAAAAAAGCTGTTTCTCTATATACAATTTTGTGCTTCTACAGGTGCCCGATATAGTACGCTTTAGCATTTTTAGTTATCTTTATCCCATCGCCAGTGAAAATATGTACATTCTTTTTCACACCTTCGCTAAAAATATGTACATTCCATGCTATGCCATGCTTGAGTCATGTAAATAACAGTTTTACGTATATAAATTATTTAGTAAAGATACTGTGAAAATAGAAGAACCGACGGAAGACAAAAAGACTAAGGAGAGTTACCTTGATGTTATCTCTAAATATAACGAAGCATATGGCAAGTTCAGTGAGGAGGCATGGAAAGATAAGAGGTACAGGATTAATAATTGATTGTACTATAAATTAGATAACATAAAAACAATTATGCGTTTTATACAAAGGGTATACTCATGCAATGAATTGCTTATTGTAATAACAAACAAACAACAACAGCAACAAGAAACGTTTACTTTGTAAGAAAATATAACATGTTCTGAAACATGTGGAATAAAATAACAATATGACAGCAAAGCGTAGTTTTTGTAACATGTTTTAATTTTCTGATGACTTGTTTGGAAGATAACTATTGATATCTTACAGGTTACCAAGTATGACTGGGTCTGGTGGGGTGCAAGTTAAATATAGAACAGAATGTTACAGTCAGATAGGGAAACTACGTGTTGGCGCATGCGCTATGACTCAGAGGAAAGAACATCTGGACAGCTTGGAAATAACAGACGATCATATTTTACATTCAGATGTTTTCGTGATAAGTAAGACGAGTTTGTAATGTTCTGCCCTCAAAGTTCGCTTCAAAATAATTGCAAAAAGTTATCATATATTTAATTTCAGTTCGAGTACATGTATGTCTTTCAACTATCCTTGTACATTCATATACAGTAGATTCCCTATTCAATCCCGCTATTAAGACCTTTTTGTAAAAGAACGGATTTTTCTGTTCTTTATGTCAGTAGTTACATGCTCCAAAACTAAGACCACCTCGGTTATCCACTTTTAAGACCACCAGATTCAGTCCAAATTCTTTGATTTATTCTTTATTTGAGACTAGTTATTTTAAAGTCAACTCCAACCAAGATCACAGATTTGTTGTTATTATCTGCTTAAGTGCTCTTAGGCATGACGCTTGATTTTACAAAGTGTAAAAAAACTGTTATGAAATAAGGTGAAAAAGTTAATTTTAGAGATACTGTGGTTCAATGTTGCTTTCAGCACATTCATTTTGCGAAGAATTAATTTCTTTTATGATAGGTGAAATATGTACATTATATAATAATTAATATTGAAATCAGACCAAAGAGAATTTAATATTAAATTTCTTCAGAAAAATGTTTTGCTCTCATCTGATTAAATATTATAACATATATTGTATTTGTAGGTTAAGATACATATTGTTTGTTCATACAAAATGACTAAAATAGACCATGGTCATAAAGTATGTAAGCAATGATAAGAATATCCACAATTAAGACCACCCCGCAATTAAGACCACTTTGGTCCAGTCCCGATGGTGGTCTTAATTGAGGGTTTTTACTGTACATGTATTTAAAATATAGGCAAGGTGTCGCTGCATGTCACCCTTAAACATTACACTTAGTGCACACTTATGGCATGTTTTCATTAGTTGTTATGCATTGGTTGATACACCTTGAATGGTTCGCATTTAATTTGAATTGTCTATTTCATTTCATAAGCACCAAGTGCACTCAACTGTAGCCAAGAAGTGACTATATATGTTCCACTATTAAAGATAAAGGATACCGATATTAACGATATCTACCTGAACTTAAAATCAGAAGGAAAGTGGCAAGAGGTCAAAAATCCACAAATTGTAAGCTTATCTTATTTTTTTATTTTATTTTTGATATTTTTTGTTATTTTTTTGTTCATAGTTATAATTGGAAAAGCTTCTGTTTCATTTTTACACATACATGATTTGAACATAGGCAGAACAACTCTCGGATGCTGGTGATAGACCTTTTTTCTGACACAAGTTCTTTATATTCATGAAGCATCTAACAATGTTTCTATTTTAAAACCCAAAGAACATGGAGCGCCTGTAACAATAATTTGATTTTAATCTATAAACATTTAAACTTCATTATCACGTTTGTTTCATACTGTACGTAATAAATGCTTAAGCATCAACAATTTTAAAATTAAAACTGGAGTTGATTTCTATATTCAAACTAACATAAGCATTTCAACCCATTTTTTTCTCTCCAGATACAGAATGACGAGCAAAGTTTTATTGTATTCAATACAATGACATGTGAAGCATTTACTGCAATGTCATACTCATCGCCTGACACTATTTTGTTAACACCAAAGGGAGCTAACTATGTATGTCCAGATAACGGGAAATTGGAAGTTATAATACCAGAAAATTGCTTCACATCGGATATATCACTAGAAATTAAGGTTGGTACATTTACTAGACCGGCGCATATAAGAGATGTTGCTGTTAGTATAAAATGAAAGTTTCATGTCAAAATGTAACAAGAAAAGCATTGATGCAAAGCATCAAAGGGCGTCCAAGCAAGAAATGCAGCAGGTGCAGATGAACTAGTAGATATATGATGATAAACTGTTCAATGGTTCATTGGTTTTAACCAGAATTGTATATCACTTATGAATGAACGAACGAAAGACATTGTTCATAATTTATAAATTTGATTGGCATGCTAGAAATTAGAATATTACTTGTTATTTCTTTATGATCGTGATTATTAATAGCAACGGATATACATGTAAACAATCATTTAATTATAATCCATATGAGTAACGCATGATCAACACCACACTTGTGTAATTGTCCCTTATTATGTTGCCCTTATGTTATCGGTATTAGCGAAGACCCCCTCTTAAGGTATCTGTTCACACTTAGTAACAATATGACACTTGTTATATTACCATGTTGAGCATAAATGTTTATTATACACTAATTGTAATATCTTTTTTAATAAAAAAAATACAGATTTTATGAATATTGTTTTCTTTTCTTTTTTGTGTTTTATGCACTATTTTAATACTGAGTTTTTACGTTTACTACTCTTTTTTTTATTAAAATTGTAAAATAAATTTTAAGAATTCAATTGTCATAATGACCGACGATTATAAGTCAAAACTTAACTGGAAAAAGTCAGTAAATTATGGTTAAACTTTCAATATATAATATTGTTTATTCTTAAACCATATACATGTACATTTGTATTTTTCTTTATCATTTCTTAAATTATCAATCAATTCATAAAATCTGATTTGTAACTTTGAATAATTCCTCGGCATCTTTACTAAACACGAATAACAAATTAAATAAAATGTTTCAAAGTTGATAGTGTCATATTAATGCCATAAAAATGTACATTTTTTCTCAATTATTGTTCATATTTATTGTTTTTATCACATATAGATAAAACATGAGATTTGTGTTGTTGGTTTTTTTTTCGAATTGTATGTTTATGTATAATAATAAGCAATAATTTTGAGAGTTGATCTGTGTTTATTAATTATTGTAACCAAACTAAGTGACAAACATTCATTTTGAAAAAAAGCTTATTTATCTGTAAAATATTTGTTCTGTTCTGTAACGATATCAAACATCTACTCCAAAACCGGGAGAGACCGGACAATAAACGTGTGGTACTATTCGCCGGTCGTCAAAATAGACCAGGAGAGACCGGGAATTACTGACAGGAGTACATCCCTCTATAAATAGATTTTCGGAATATTTAGGTCATCAACTCATCATTCTATTTACAGCTTTCGAAATAACATACCATAATAATCCACTGTGTACTACAAAATGATAAATAAAAATACCTTGAAGAGCGCGATTTATTGACGGAAAAGGTTATTTAATTTGAAAATGTTTGCATTGCGAAATTCTCCAGTTCGCTATTCATTGTACATATCGCGACTAATTAATAATCAAGCACCCTCATACCGATCGGAATGATCGGCGTTTATTATGAACAACTATAAAAGGCTCGAGAAGTTGCTGTCGCCCTTTCACAAAATCTGATTTCATTATATAAAAGGGCGCCGCGCTTCGGCGCGGCCGCCAATGAGGAGTATATTTTTGAAAATCCAATTTTTTTTTTTTGGGGGGGGGGGGGGAAAATTTGGCAGTTCAAGTTTTTTGTTATCGTTATTTCCTATCAGCAACAAACGCTTGTTTTTTTATTATTATGAATACGAGTTAACATTAATTTCATGCATATAAATTTTTATGTTTTATAGGTTGTACAGTTTGACAGAAATGGGAACGACAACACATTAGTAGGTATTGTTGATGCCTCAGATATTGTTCATATATCCTCTCGGACTGAAGGTGCGGAGATGAAGAAACCAATCACCGTCAACCTTCCAATTTATGAGGACGTTGATGACAAAGATACAGAACTTGTCGTCGCAAGATGTAATGCGACAGAAGTGCAGGTGATTACCAACAATCTATGAATTAATTAAAAAGGCATTTTAAAAATAATAACATATGTTTGTTTGGCTCTTTTTGATTTGTTTGTGCAACTTTCTAAACGGTTTGGCCACCACTTAAGAGACCGGTATTTAGAAATACAAAATGCATGAAGAGATGTATAGACATCGCTCCACCTTTGTGCTCTACTTAGGAACGATCAAGCAGCAATCATCGTTTAATCATTTTAAATTATCCATTCTTCATCTATTTTCACGCACATACTCGTAACATTTAAAGAATGACAGTATCTTTCGTTTATGATATTATGTTATTAGCAATACATTAATAAAGCAAAAAAATAGGTGAAAACTGAATTAATATCATTTACTTACTATATATAGGTGCTGGATAAAAAACAGATAGCCATTAAAGCGGGTGATCGGAATGATGTTTACAGTGTTGATATGAAAGGTTTTTGGAGGTAATTATTTACGAACCAGATAAACTAAGCGGACCGTTTCATTATTTCCGTATTCGGAAATATTGTGACATTCTATGTTAACATTATATTTTATAAGTGATTAAGCCAAAATCAGAGAGTGTGTAATCTTAACATGATAATTATTTTCATGTATTTCAAAATAAAATAAATGTTGTATCATAATGCATAATACATATTATTAAACATTTTATTTAACCACATTTTAGCAATAAGTTATTACACAACAGAATCCTTCCATCTCTACACATGCATTCCATATTTGTAGGCGATATAACCTTATTCACATATACATACATGTGATACATTTAAAATAACACAAAAATGAAAAATTAAATGGTAATAAAACGAAGCAAAGTAACAAGAAAAATAACCCATTTGTATGCTTTAACCAACAAAAGGCGATATATTCAATTATTTGTTATAAGAAATAACAATGTCTTAAAATAACACATATCTGTATTAACTTTACAAAATGTATAAATCCTTAAAATACTTGTCTTTGTAGTGTGGCCATATTACGAATCAAGAGAATATTTCTTAATATGCGAGAATCCATTAAGAGGGAGTTTTATATCGGCTTTGGTATTAAACAACCTTGCTATATACTTACTTTTATTGACGATCTATCTCGCGGAGATGAAATGCAAACATTTGCCATGGAAGTTGTTGAGAAAGACAAAGCAGACATAGTTGCAGATGAGAAATTGCAAGCAAAATTATTCGAAATTAAGAAAGGTAGATCTAAGGAAATTCTTCTGAAACGAGGCGACCAGATTCTGATGCACGTGGACGGACAAATGAGGTGCTCTGAGGCTTCATCTGAAGAAGAGCAAACGCTCTGTTATCTCAATGGCTGCACTAATGTCATCTCCATATCAACAGAGATTAAAAGAGATCCAGAAAAGATGCCAGATGCTATGTTATTTTACAAACAGAAACCAAATGATACGACGCTTCACTCGATAGCCATTGTGACAAGGGAATTATCGGAATTACCGACAGGTGAGTTTAACATTTGAAATATTTTAGTAATTAGGAAGAAGCAACATGTATGAAATGTCGCAGCCATCGCCAAATGTCTCAAAATGTTATAGCGTAAAATGTCGCAATGATGACGTTAAATGTCGCACCTTTTTCCTTACCTTTAAGCGTCGCAATATCTAAATTTATGTTAAACAATTCGTATTGTGTCAAGATTAACGTTATGTACTAGCTGTGATGTACAAAGTATTGGTTGATATTAGTCTGTATTACAAATTGACGATCACAATTCACGCCAAAGAGCGATAAAACACATTTGTACACGTTTTTGATTTAGCAGCCCAGATGTCGTGGATTCGAGCTATGACATCAGCTTTAGACAGATATTTTAAAATCTATAGCAAAAGGGAGTACAACTCTTTTTCCATTTCTCGTAACAGAAGGGTGAATCCTGTGATGTGTGTATTTGGTCGCACGGTCACTTTCCTTACTTGTCCTCTGTGTATGTAAATGGTCGAAAATCTCTTATATATCGACAACGTTTTCAAAGAAGTTTTGGTAGAACCGGCTTGTTGAAAATCATGTTCTTAAAAACTATCGAAATTATAAAAATCTAATTAGGACTTTGTTACTTCTGTTAAATAAGTTTTAAAAGTCTAAGTTAAGGACTTTTTCGATGTTTAAAAACTATTTCGGATATATGCATGTCCTAAGTATTAAACACTTATTAGAAGAAACATAAAATTCTTTTTTTTTTTCTTGGTATAAAACCCCCTATTTGAACGATTAAAGTTCAAATTAGGTTTCAATTTCATATTTGAATTTATTATTAAAGATTATATTTCTTTACTTCTAATAATGCTTTTATTTCTTCTAACTATGAGTAATAATTCCTACTTAGTTTAAAAATTGTAATAAGATTTCTTATCTCTCCTGTATAGGAGAAAGAAAGTCCTAATTAAGTTTTAACACACCTTTGAGATTTTCGACCATGCGACCACATACATGCATCGAGGACATATAAGGAAAGTGACCGTGCGACCACATACACGCATCACAGGTTTCCCCCTTCTCGTAAGAGAAGGGGACAAAGAGTTGTCCGCCCTTCTTTAAAGGGCAGACTTTAAAATTATGCCATTACCTTATTTTATTAGGTGGCCAAATTTTAACATATATGTCTTGAATTGGTTTATATAAAACAATAGTAATGCAAACCAAGCGGGGTATGCATTATGTTTATGACAGAATTATTTTAATTTTGCAAAACATGAACGTTTCAAAAACGTTTTATTTGCATTAAATATTGAAGGTATATTTCACACTTTGTTTTCAAATATTAACGGTTAACCTGGGGGCATTTTTGCCAAAGTACACATTTCATTTCTATATTTGACTTCTACTTATAATTAAAAAGTAATGTGATGGGCTGCAAGAAAAAAATTAGATTAAACATGAGCAGCCGACAATTCTGGTACATATTTGCAAGTCTTATCTTACCCGCTGAATTTGTAAAACTTCCATGTGTTTTTAGAACTGTCTATCAGTCTGGCATACCAAGATAGAAGTTTCTAAAGTTAGCCTTAAGTACAGAGCTGGTTCAGTCTGCAAGGATGATATAACTTGTAAAATTATTTTGGTTCCAGAATTGTAAAAGGTGCAGAGGTTATATTCACACAAACAATTATTTTTTATTTAAGCTTATTCAAAGTTTATACAGTTTTCAATCTGCTTTATGCTAATGTAACTGTAGCATATGCCTTTAAAATGTCATTTGTTATATTTTCTCAAGATGGAAAAGTTATCAGTGCGATAGTACACCACTTTTTTAATGACACACAGTAATTACACTCAATGCCATTTCACATTACCTGAGAATATAACGGATGTCCCTACGTCTATGAACTCAACAGTGGAAAATTTGATCGTACCGAATCTGTAACTGCCTGTTAATATAAAGCTTTTTCGATGCACCTTTCATAATAACATTGTTTTTGTCATTAGAAAATTGTTACAAATGATAGTTTAAAGCTCCAATTATTGATAGAGGTACAATACGTTTACAAAGAAGAACTCAAGAAAAGACACACTGGGTTGATATTTTACATATTTGACCTTAAGTGATGATTGCATCAATGAAATTTATAAAACTGTATTCTGATCATGTCAAAATAATAACACATATTATAATACCTTTAATATCGATAAAACCGCAGGAGGTGAAAGGCCAACACAAAATATTTAAAAAATCTGATCTGAGGTTGAATTTTAGAACAAACTTCGCGGTGAGTTTGATCCATCTCAAGCTGATGTCGTAGCTCGAATCCACGACATCTGGGTTGCTAAATGAAAAACGTATGCAAATGTGTTTATAACCAAGGGGCTCTTTGGCATAATTGTGGTTGTCGATTCATAATACCGACTACTAAAGATGACTTCAATTTCAACCAATTACTTTGTACATCACAGCGAATCTTTTCCTATATGATAGATAGCGTGTCCATATATCACCTAAATAACGTTAATGTTGTCATAATACGAGTTGTTTAAAATGAATTTAGATATTGTGACATTTAACAATAGTGTTGTGACATTCAACGATAAGGGAAAATAGTGCGACATTTAGCGGCAGTGTCGCGACATTTAACGGCAACAAATTTTGAGACATTTAGCGGCAAGTGCGATATTAAGCGTCGTTGAGACATATAACGGTGCCACAATAATGAACCTCTGATAACTCTCACCTGATTTTATTTACAGATCAAATTGCAGCCCGGACTGGCATGCATACAGTCTTTACCGACACTAAAAAGGGAAAACAAATAGACGAGTGTAAGTAATGATTTAACATAGACGTAATGTATTCAAGTCGTGGTTTATCTACACTAAAATATCAGGTGCTACTGTGTCATTCTTGATTAAATCAAATAATAAAAACATGTGAGGAAAGATGTTTTACACACAATCGTTGAATACATATTTTGAAACGTTTATGAACATTTAAATGGCTCTTATATACAGAAACTACGTAAATTAACCACTATCTATTTAAATACACTTATATCAAACTTAAAGCATTATATACTTACATGTAATGTATTAATGAACTTAAAGCATTATATAGATGAATATTAAGTATCAATATATTAATATAGCGGCAATACAAATTTTGAAAATGGAGAGTCTAATGTCGTTAGCAAGAGAATTGACGTTTGACGATGCGTCTAAACTTGGTGAACAACTCGGAGTAAAGCCAGAGGTGATCAAACAGATTAAAGAGTCTAATGAGAAGGACCCTGTTGTTGGCAATTTTCAAATATTGTGCCAATGGAGAGGACCGTAAGTACAGGTTTTATATGAACGCACTGATAATTATACTTGACTGTGTCATTTAACAACCTCGAGTAGAATACGACTACAAACCAAGGACTTTCAGCAGGGGAACTGGGTATAAATTCTTCACAGAAAAGTAATTCTGAGCTACCAATATTGTATTAAAACATTTGTCCTTATCGTCCAATATTCAAGGCGGTATGATGTATTTTTTAAATTAAGAAAATATTTCAGTCGATATGATACTCGTATATCATTTGAGCCGCGTCACAACAAAACCAACGTTATGCGTTTGCGACCAGCATGGATCCAGACCAGCCTGCGCATCCGCAGTTTATCAGTTTCTCTACTTGTAATAGGGTTTGTAAGGCAACAGCACGGATCCTGATCAGCCTGCGCATCCGCGCAGTCTGATCCATGTTGGTCGCAAACCCATTATGTTGGTTTTGTCATGACGCGGCTCATATATATTTTATGTGTGTTACAGGAGAGCTCGTGCTGCCATGGCCGACTTTTTGGTGAGCAGTTTAAAGGCCGTCGGCAAGATGAATTACGCAGATCTTGTTACTGAAGTCAGAAAACATAACAGAGGTTTGGAAAGAACAGATTTCCATAAACCAAAAGACCACCGGAAAATTGCAGCTTAGAATTATAATTATAAAATAGCCAATTTTCTGGATTGCCATGTTTTTAATGGTATTTATACTTACACCTAAATGACACATCTTTAAATTGACATGATAAAGTTAATTTAAGGAAATCATCACTGCTCATATTTCACTGACATATGAAGCCACTGTATGTATTTACACAGACAGTATTTCAATTACTTACAAAGGCGTCTTTGATATTAAATAGAAAATTTCAATGACAAAAAAACTGTAAAAAAAAGTTTACCGCCTGTCTCAATGCATTCCGTATATAACTGCCTTAATTCTTAATGCTCTGTGTGATTTATTTATTTATGTATTTAATAATCTATATATCCTTCGTTGTAAATAGTTATAAAATAGTTTGAAGTGTCAGTTTGACTTGACATTATGTTTTTTTTCTTCGTAGGAGTCTATTATGTAGACCATTATTATTGAAATTTAAATTGGTCTGTTTGCTTCCTTGTTAATATTTTGTTATAAATGCTAAAAACGTTTTAGATGTTACTATTTCTATAGCCTAATGTTGTTGTTGTTGTTTTTCTTCGTCTTCTAAGATACCGTTTGCATGAACTGATCATCACAAACTTGTTTTGTTTTTGTTTTTTGGGTTTTTTTAATGCGTTTATTTAAGGTCGCCGCCGAAAAGCCCAAGTCGGGCCATCTAGAGATTTTTCGTCGATTTTTTTTCCAGCGTTATTGGAGGAAGACCCCAGGTGCCCCTCCGGGCATTATTTCAGGCACGAGCGGGCACCTGGATAGAACCACCGACCTTCCGTAAACCAGCTGGATGGCTTCCTCACATGAAACATTTCGACCCGAGTAAGGATCGAATCTACAGCGGTGAGGGACCTGTGATCTCAAGTCAGCGACCTTAACCACTCGGCCACGGAGGCCCCTATCAAAACTTGGTTTTAACATCGACTGTGACATATATAGGTCATATCTCGTCGGCCGGTCAACCTTAACGGCTTTTCTAGATAATATACCAGTAAATACCAACTTCTCTGCAAGAGTCGATCGACGGCTAATCCCGCATTATTTCTGAATAAGGGGCGATTTTAAATGGCTATCAGATGTCCGAGATCATTATTCACGGTGATTTTTACCTCAGTCATGATCTATCCGAAAAAGATTGGTTAGTTACCCATACACGTGTTGATATTCTGAAAAAGATTTGATCTGTTTCCACTCAACAACACTTGACATACCACCTGTATAGAATAGAGCCTGATGACTTCCGGTTCCAACACACAATTATGCCGGGTTTGGTAATAAGGAACAACATTAAAGTTGATAAAATGTTTATTTCATGAAAAATGTGTTTATGTTACAAACATAATTTAACCAACGACATCCTCTATGAAGTTAAATAAAACTTTTTGATTTTTCAATTTATGGTCATCTAACTTTTTATAAAAAATGACTAACAAACATTACTACTAGGCAGCATGATTGAATTTTCAAATATTACAATGTCTTACAAGTATTCCTGTAAGTTTATAGTACACAAAATATATCTAAAAATTCTATATTTGATACCATATAAATCTATTTGAATTATGGCCACTATTGTAACATGTGACGACTAAGGAAGTAAATACGTACATGATAACATTTCACCGGTAAAATGACATACTGTTTGAAATATATTCAAGTTTCAACTTTCAATCATCGACTTGCAAAACCGATTTAGTAACAGTTATTGCCGACCTTTTGATTTGTATTTCAATATTTTGATGTTAAACTGGATGATGCATTTACGATATAAGTAAGATAAAACTTCAAACAATACTTAAATAATATGAGTACAATGTATACGAGTATAATACTTTAAAACATGAGAAGAAAAATAAATCGATATGAATATAAACATGTAAAATATTATCACTGTGAACCAACATAGCTACCTGAAACTCTGATTATTCTATGTAACACGCTATATTTATGAACAAAAATGAAACACGTCACTTGTTTTGGATATATGACTCTAAGTACTTGAAAAAATACACAAACTTTTTATCGACTTTCTTATGGCAAACTTTGTGAAAGACAGTTTCAACTCCCATTGCATTATTTCAAACCTATTTTGTATGTATATATAATGTATTTACTATTTAAAGTTTTTAAATGATTGAGCAAAAATAGGTTGTTAATTAAATAATTATGCAGATGATATTTTACATGTAGAGAGTTTATCTGGCGTAAAGTTTATATTTGTATTTTTGATGCATTCGAAAAACATTGCATCCCATATACAAAAAGATAATATATTTTTATTGATAACTACAATCAGTATTATATTATACCTTTATCAAAACCTAACAAAATACAATATAATACAATATAATACAAATTATTTCCATGGTCACGTTCGTAACTACTTATGCGAAAGTTCGCTACTGGACTTTTATAGAGTAGCAGTTCTCAAAAATATGATGGTGCTTATATATACATGTATAAACAAAATTTAATAAATACTGTATGATTTTGATTAAATATTTGAGCCGTGTCATGACAAAACCAACATAATGGGTTTGGGACCAGCATGGATCCAGACCAGCCTGCACATCAGCGCAGTCTGATCAGGATCCATGCTGTTCGCCCAAGTAGAGAAAATGAGAGCCTGCGGATGCGCAGGCTGGTCTGGATCCATGCTGGTCGCAAACGCACTATGTTGGTTTTGTCGTGACGCGGCTCAAATATTTATCTGACATGACTCACATTTAATTCTTTATACCATCTGTCTCTTTTTTCAACATTGCTTCACAAAAATAAGTATTATATATAATGTTGGCTTGTTTAAATACAAGTTGACCCCTTATCTAATACTTAAGTATAATATTTCAAAATCAAGATTATCTAAAGTAATGTGTTTATGAATTCCTGTGTTTGTTTACTCTTAGAGAGGAGACATTTGCTTAAATTAAGGTTTTTCGAAATTATAATACATGCATTATTTACAATTTCAATATATACAGGTTATCAGAAAATAGTACACAATATTTATATACAAGGCACACTTAATTTAACTTGTTCTCAATCAAAATATTACATGTTGTATAACACAATAATAATAGATCTCACGAATAAGTCTCAGTTCATATCATTCACTTAAGAATGTCTACAAAGAAAGATAAGCTCAATACACCTGAAAATAGTGTCACAGTTTTTTCTATGATAGGGCTTCTATCTTTGCACAACTAATTTCGTCTTAATTAATGTACACATAAAATATGCACACATATAAAACATGTACATTACGAACTGCACGCGCATCAAGCACTAGAAACACATTGTAAAGCTAAACTTATACTTTGAACCATTTCTTCTACATAAAGGCCCATCAACGATATACGTATCTTTAACGATAATTTACAGTAAAATAAATATCAATCATCATTGTTCAATTTTCATACAAAAAGTTTCAACTTTCCCATGGAACACTTTTGTGTTATTCATATGTCTTAGTAACTACTCACTAGTTCACTGCAGTTTAATTTCATTTATACTATGGGTTGAAATGATAAATATATGACGCCTGATGCCATCTCTTGACGCATGTGAGATATCTCAATTGAAAAAAAAATAGATAAAATAGATGCACTCAAGTGCAGAACTAATCAAATTAAAAGGATATTACAACTGCTGAACAGTGTGATAAAAAGTGAAAACTGTAATTCAAGCTTACGAACGTCACACAGTGTTCAACCAGTGGTTTGGTAAAACCATCACGATATTTCAAATACACATGTAACATATTTAAGTGAATGAAACCTCAAAGACCATTAAAGTGTCGGCGTCGTCCAAGCTTACAATGACATGACTGCGAAATCTGTTGTAAGCTAGACAAACGGGATTGACTATACCATTGTCTTTCTTTATAACTGTCCCTACAAACCTATCTCTGCTGTCAAACTGACACACATTGTGTGCTTCAATAGACGATACTAAAATATTATCGTTTGGTAAAGCTGTTAAACCAAATGCATTGTCTAAGGTTATGTGTCTCGTCTTCGTTGCATTTTTGTCAATGATTAAAATCTTATTGTCCATGTCAGTTATATATAGCTTTGTCTTGTCTGAGTTAACTGTTATATGTAGGGGAGTTGTGAACAGTCTGTTGCCTGTGTTGTCAGTTTCAATGACACGAAGTAGTTTACCAGACATGTCGTATGTTCTGACATGACCTTGTCCATTGTCCTCCCTTTCACAAGTCACAAATAAGGCCCCATCCATATAACCAATGTAATTGCATGAACAGTCTGTTTTGAAAGATTTTGCCAAAGTCATGCCTGATGGCGTATAGGTCAGAAATTGCACCGCTTTTCTATCTCTAAGTGTGACGGCCATTTGGCCAGATTTTGTGGCACAAATACCCAAAGGACCTCCATCTAACTGCAAATATTCTTTCTTACCGTAAGACTCGTCAAGCCGTTTAACTCGGTCATTTGATAGATCAGTCATTACAACTGTACCATCAGAGAGAGTGCATATATCACTTACACCGCAAGTCTCGGCGTCACTCTCAAATCTGATATCTACTTCGTTCGCCAGTTTTGTTTGACTAGGAAGATTGATCTTTGCCAGTCCTGTCAATCTGTCCATGTACAGTTTTATGTCTTTATCAAAACAAATGCTTACCCCTTCAAACTTTTGGACGTTGGACAATATATTAGAAAGTTCTTCACGCATATATTTTATCTGCTTTTTCCCCATGCTTGTGTTTTCTTCATCATCAGGTTTGAAATGCGTCAGCGAATTGTCAATTTTGATAATAATTTGATCTATTTTATCAACTAACGCTTTCATTTCGTCACTTATTTTTTGGCATCTTTCATTTACTAACTCTACAGACTGTTTTTCAAGTTCATCTAACCTTAGAACTATTTCTTTTTTGTATCGCTTGATGTCTTTGATGACGTGTATTTTTGCAACTGCAACATTTTTTATTTCTTCCTCGATATTCGTTTTGGTAACTTTGTATTTCTTTCTCCATGTTTTGAAATCTTCTTTGAATGCTTCAAATTCCTTGTTGTTCTTTCGTTCACCTGCCATTTCTTGTGAATGAGATTTCTTTGTATTTTCGAGAAGACAGCTAAAAGTAAAGAAACAAGATAATATATTTGCCAAAGCCCATTAAAATACGAGTAAACTAGAATGGTTTAAATTGTTTCAAGTTTTCAAGTATCATTTTCATTTCCCTTATTAACCGTGACACACTCCTGCACTATATTTTAATTCGTCTTAGAATTTCCTACGGGTACAGAGATCACTTTCAGCGAGTCTAGGGCTATATACATGTACCATCACGGTTCATCGTTGTCTCGGAATAATTCAAACGATACTCGAACCAGGGACTCTAGGAATATGGTTCGGCGGATCTACCGACTCGACTGAGGTACACATTTTAACAGGTTTTTAACGTGACATATAGATCACGTGTCATGGCCTTAATTTTTAGTTTAAACATTATTCATTAAAGCTGAATTGTGGTGACAACGTGTGGTTTATGCGAACTATTCTCAAGTGAATTTCCTGGCAATGACTAGTTGTGGTGCCAAACGGGGAAACATGTTCTGTTCCTACTAGGACTCGAACCAATGATCCATGGGTTAAAAGACAAATACATTACCACTAGGTTAACTTTTCCCATATTTGTGAAGTTGAATTATATACAATGTATTGTTGACGCTAAGAAGATAAGATCGAGGCATGGACTATATTTGAATCAATATATTAAATTTAAGCAAGGTTAGTTTAAGTAAAAGGAAGAAATAGCGACATAAACTTATTGATTGAATTTCAGAAGGTTACATTACTTATCACTAACATTTGTGTTTTAGATAAAAAAAATATATAACGTATATAAATCAAAGTAAACTTAAAGTAAAACAAACGAATCAGTTTTCATGTGCTTATATGAAAAGGAATTTCGATCAGTATCTGGTATTGCGTGTAAATATACTACTTCAATTCACACTAATCAGGAAGTTAAAATTCTCCCCCAATTCAAAATTCATGTTTATATTTATCGCGTTTCCATACCTATATAATGCGATGGAAAACTATTTCCTTAACAGTAAGATGAATAAACAAACACCTCTTTGTTTTACTGAAAGGCACACATATTTGTACATTTTAAAGATGTTACCCGTCTTAGTGAACGTTTCAAAGTATTTAAGAAAATAAAAATGTATTCAAATGTGTAGTTAACACAAATTGTTTGATGACTTTACTCGCAACAGGTTGAAAGATATAGGTACATCTATAAGGAAGTTTGAAAATCTATGTTTCCTCGATTAGGGATAAAATTTCTGAAGTGCAACAAATTTAGTCATGAGCATTTTCATACTTAAGATATTTATAGATTTCCATAGCCCATTAATTAAGATAAATGAACTGTAGCTGCTTGATGTTAAATCAAAAGCAATACTAGTATATTAAAAAAAAATACTAGCTTTTAGTAGCATGTGTTAAGTGCACACATCTTATGTATGGTATAAAATAAAATAAGTAATGAAACTAGAAATATGTCTGAAAGACTTTACATGTTACGACACCGATAATATAGATTAAGATGTTATGACAGGACAGCATTGTTGGTATTTCTTTATTATTATATTATTATTTTTTTTGCACGACAGAGAAATTGACCGGAATTCTTTTTTTTACTTCTGACCTTTGACCTCTAGCTGAGATCTAGGTCTTGGGAATGACACCTCGTCTCATCGTGCTTACATCTGTGCATAAACCAGCTGAAAACAAACTAATTCTACGGAGTGAGGAGCTAATCAAGCGCATGACACAACATCTCGTCATGGTGAACATTTGTCACAACTTCCTTGATGTATATGACAGACACATGGGCGGCCGAAAATATTTTCGGACACCCGCACGCATTTAACACTATATGTACGGTAAATATTTTTGCTAGCTTATTCTAACATTTCATGATGTATTACAGAGATATAGACCAGACAATATTTTCTGTTTGTGGCAGAATCTTTAAAGTAGGGATAAAAGTACCATCACTTCAGGGGTCTTCGTTTTCCACACGAGACACCAACTCATAATGCTTATCAATTCCAAAATCCATTGATGCATGGCAGATTTATGAGCTGGAGAAGATTTTCTAACCGCTGACCTTTCACCTCTAAGCGTGAATTGGATCTAAAGACACACTGCACCATCATGCTAATCATTTGAGCCAAAATTTCTCGATGCATGGTACAGTTCTGGGCCGGAAGGATTTCGAACACACGCACGTACGGACGCTAAAACTATATGCCCCTTGCCATTATCATAGTGGGGGCATAAAAACAGATGCCAATTTAATATATTGTACAGAGCTTTTATCATATTTTCACTAACCTGTCTGTCTTTACGTGACTAACGTCATCACTGTGGTCAATCTTATGATCTATAGAAGGTGCGATTATTTCTTCACAATGATCATCCGCTGATCCCCCTGTAGTGTCATCCACTTCCATATTGTTGTTTGTTGTTTAAATTATATTAGTTATATATCAATGCTCCCTTATCTTACAGTATTCCTTTATATCAAACATTTTATGCTATGAAAATATACAGTTTGCTTCCCGTTTACTCTGCTGCTACCTTTAACATTATTTTATAACTTTATTATGTTTCGATCGTACGTTATTATCAGTGAAACAGTGATAAAACTAGCACAGTCAACGGAGCACAACAAATATAAGTAAGGTTCGTTAAACGTCAAACAAAGATACGAAATACTGATAAAGTTTACTTCCTGCCAGTCAAATACACTGTAAAAAATCTTTCAGTTTCATGCTACATTAAATGTAATAGTTGTGATTTATTGCTGGTATAGTCAAAGATTATTTACATTGTACAATTAATGTAGTTTAAGTAAAAATCTACCACAATAAATCATTTAACTACAATATACATTTTACAAAAGAACCGCGTTTCGCAATGCTATTTTTTTAAAGTAATTAGAAACCTTACGTAAATAAACATTCCTACCATATCCATCTAAATTAGAAGTACGATGGGTGGGTTCTTCCTATAATTTTGCACACATCGTGTTATGGTATAGTAAACACAGAATATTTTCCTATGTTAAAAAGGTTTATTTTTCATATATGATACTGAACAAAGGTTTCCATAAAACACAGATACTATGTCACAATGACTGTCTGTGGATAAAATTGTTATGTGACAAACTAGACTGTGCTAACCTTTCCCGAAGTTAATGTATTTATAATCGGAATCATACACCGTAACTTAGTATTTCCTTATAAGAAAGTAATCGGAAGTTATGTTTTTGGCGGCAATAGTGCACGAGTTTCTTGTAATTAGTAAAGCGGGCATTCGAGGTTTATTTGTCAAGCCGTTTAGCAAAATGTAACATTTCCGAAAATATTGGAATATTTTCGATTATATATTATACAGAAAGTTTTGTAAATGTCTTATAATTGTTTTCTTTTTCAGGATTATGTACAGCTCGGAGCAAAGTAAACATGTAAACATTTATACGCAAAATAAATAATATCCATGGACTTTCAAAATCGATGAGGCATATTCAATTAATTCCGTTTTGATTCACTGTGAATTTTTATTCTGTTTGCATAAAATTATGTACATGAAATGAGTTTATTTGAAATTATCTGTGTCTTTGTCTATTTATAATTTTCAAAATTCGTTTCCTTTTTCCATTATGACATAAAATTTTAGACCGCTAAATTTGGGTTTTATGTCAGGTAGTTTCGAAGGAGCCGCTGGTTTTGAGCCTGGATTCATCCTTCAACAATACCTCCCCCTCCCACGTTGGAGTAGGGTTGGATATCCCGCTCGCAGCAACCTGACTTTTCGAACATTTTCAAAAACTTTTGTTTTTACAAAACTCTCTTATTCAGTTATATTGGAAAGTTAATATTTCTTTACTTTTACACGAAGTATTTGGCATATTTTAACAGATGAATTTGCTTAGAAAATTTATTACTATAAGTCATATGGAAGCTTTTTTGGACTTTTGTCTTAACAAAAATTGATATGTAGATTTATATCCAGAATTTTGTCTTTGTTGGTTAGGAAAATAAACAGTTAGCTTACAAATACTCCCTCTAGCCTCTTTAAACTCTGTGTTGTGTTGTTTATTATTTCAAAGGTGTATTATTAAAGAATGTAAATGATTTATGCTCGTTTGAGTGTAACGAATTAGAGCATAATGTAATTTCCTTTTAAGTCTATATAAACTAATTGTCCTCGGGGCGGAACCAATTCTGATCACAGAGGCATGATTTATATAACTTTTGTAGAGGACCGTTGCAAAAAATCTAAGCTTCATGCATTGAATTTTCAGAGAAGATATTTCTTACACATGTTTACTATTTAATTGTGTAAACTATAAGTGACCTATAAGGCTGGGCCATTTTTGACCCCAGAGTTATGATTTATTACCTTTGTAGAAGTGCACTAGGTACCGCTACATGCAAAATATCTAAGATATGAGCATTGAAGTTTCACATGAGAAGACATGTCTGTGATATGCAGGCTTCATAACCTTAGATCCCCTTTCAAAATTCCAATTCCATTCTATTGAGTTCCGCCCATTGTTTTTCGTTTAAGGCACACGCAATTTTTTTAACAATCGATGACTTTACGCCGCTTTTCATGGAATGCCACTAACGTGTCACATTGAAGGTTCCATGATGACCGCCGTATGAACGCATTTGCAGATGTTTCTGAATTTAAAAACATCATTTTCGTGCTTAGGTGTTTTGTATTCTGCTTCAGCCGGTGCCAGGGGCGTGGACGTTAACTTGCACTTTCCAGTACCAAGTCCATGAACAGGCTTAATCAAACCGAGCTTGCAATATTTACAATTTTTTATTTTGGACTTTCTTTAGGAATTCTGTTTTTCTCCGAGAAAAAAAAATGTTTTCAAATATACATGTACATATGTATGTCTTTCAATATTATACATTCAGAGAAGATTTTTAATTCGTGTTTCCTACTAAAGTATATGTTAACTAAATGGCCAAAGGGCAGAACCATTTTTAACCAAAGGAACTCGCCTGTTACTGATATAACCTTGGTATGGGTCCACTAGGCAATGCCATATTCCAAATAACAAAGATCTGGGCATTGTAGTTTCACAAAAGAAGTCGTAAATGCATATATATAAACCAAGTGACCACCGGGAATAGCCAATTTTGACCCCATGATTTATATCACTTTTGTACAAGACCACAAGGTGATGCTAAATATCCAAGATCTGGGCATTGTACTTTCAGACAAGAAGAGTTTTACACATTTACTATATATAAGTCTTTGTAACTAAATGACCCCCATACAAGATTTTAAAAGATATCATTTTTCAAGCTCCTGTGATCTACTTATGCATCAAACTGGAACCATTTATAAAAACCTTTGTAGAGGGCCACCTACGGATCATTTCTCTGAAGTTTTGTCAATATAGTTTAGAAGATGCTGTTTGAAGAATTTGTGGATATCAACAAACAACAGAGAGCTTGCCATCATAAAAGCTCACCTCTGAGCACAAAGTACTAAGGTAAGGATATTTTGAAAAGGATATTGAGGTTACTCACATGTACAGTAAACTGGTACAGGTTAGAGGTATACAACTTTATACTCAAAGAAATAATGTACAGATATCTAAATTTTATGAGACAAATTCAACACTTGCTGTTTTTTAGATTTCTGAATTTTTCATGATATGGCAACAAAACTGCAGCATGAGAATATCAACATTGGCCATTTCGTTTCAGAGAAAATGTGTTTTTTTATATATTTTAAAGTTGTAAATGGACAGATGATGACACCTGCTGGTAGTTATTTCTCTCCAGTCTTACATCAACAGTGGTGTAGCTCCCTGTAGACTGAGGCAATTTCTAATTATCCCCTGTACATATCTATAGTACTTTTATACATCAAACACTTGTTTGACAATCAATCATTGTTTCCATAACATTTGCATAAGATCCCTACACGTCAGCAAACACATACATTTAGACCAAGCTAAGCCCATTTAGCCCCCTTGTCAGCAAAATTATAAAGTGTGAAAATGTAACAGCATTTGGAACATTACAGAATTATTATTACATGTATGAAAAATTGTGAGCCAAAGATGAATCAAAACAAAGCATGTTTTCAAATATTTTAATACATTAACAAAATCCCTGATTAAACAATAAAATTGAAACAAGTAAACATTCAGCATATAAAATATTAACAACAAGTTCATATATCTGGTGGTTTAACATCATAATCTTCATCTGTCTCTATCCCAATATCCTCCTGCAATAACAATAATGTTGTGTTAAATAGAAGACAATAACAATAATGTTGTGTTAAATAGAAGACAATAACAATAATGTTGTGTTAAATAGAAGACAATAACAATAATGTTGTGTTAAAAAGAAGACAATAACAATAATGTTGTGTTAAATAGAAGACAATAACAATAATGTTGTGTTAAATAGAAGACAATAACAATAATGTTGTGTTAAATAGAAGACAATAACAATAATGTTGTGTTAAATAGAAGACAATAACAATAATGTTGTGTTAAATAGAAGACAATAACAACAAGAAACATGGCAATGCCATGAAACCAGGTTTTCAATTATCACCATTGTAGATAAATATGTTGTATTTGAAATACAAATACAAGCAACAAACAATGTAACTATGTGCAATGTAAAACATGAATAATGTAGGAGGAATTGCCACTGAAGAAGTGTTCACTATAATATTATGTATAAGGAAAAAAACAAAGGGCCATAATTAGGTCAAAAACTATCCAATCACAAAACCCCTACAATATGTGCCAGGGTGCTTGATGACAAAGCTTCTGTGAAAGTTTGAACAAAATCCGTTGAGAAATGTAGGACGAGTTCAGCACAGAAGAATTTGTTCACTATAATTATATTGATAATTCTGTATAATGAAAAACAAGTTACAAAGTAGACATGAAATAATATATCATATCTTTTTTTAAATTACCTCCAAAGATGATATGACCTTTGACTGCCAAATCAAGTTAAAATCATGTAAACAGGATTTTCAATGTTAATGTCACTGTGACCTTGACCTTGGAGCCAGCCATGCGGAACATGCGTTCTGCACGTCATCTTGATGTGGTAAACATTTGTCTGAAGTTTCATCAAAATTCTTCAAAGGGTTGAAGAGTTACAGAGCGGACAGGATTTTCAATGTTAATGTCACTGTGACCTTGACCTTGGAGCCAGCCATGCGGAACATGCGTTCTGCACGTCATCTTGATGTGGTAAACATTTGTCTGAAGTTTCATCAAAATTCTTCAAAGGGTTGAAGAGTTACAGAGCGGACACAATTTCGTTTGACGCCCGCCCGCCCATCCGCCCAGCCGCCCATCCGCCCGCCATACCCCAATCTAATAACCAGGATTTTCAAAATTGAAAACCTGGTTTAATATATCATATCTTTTTTAAATTACCTCCAAAGATGATATGACCTTTGACTGCCAAATCAAGTTAAAATCATGTAAACAGGATTTTCAATGTTAATGTCACTGTGACCTTGACCTTGGAGCCAGCCATGCGGAACATGCGTTCTGCACGTCATCTTGATGTGGTAAACATTTGTCTGAAGTTTCATCAAAATTCTTCAAAGGGTTGAAGAGTTACAGAGCGGACAGGATTTTCAATGTTAATGTCACTGTGACCTTGACCTTGGAGCCAGCCATGCGGAACATGCGTTCTGCACGTCATCTTGATGTGGTAAACATTTGTCTGAAGTTTCATCAAAATTCTTCAAAGGGTTGAAGAGTTACAGAGCGGACACAATTTCGTTTGACGCCCGCCCGCCCATCCGCCCGCCATACCCCAATCTAATAACCAGGATTTTCAAAATTGAAAACCTGGTTAATAATGTTGTGTTAAATAGAAGACAATAACAATAATGTTGTGTTAAATAGAAGACAATAACAATAATGTTGTGTTAAATAGAAGACAATAACAATAAAGACAATATGTAACTGAAAACAATCAATATAATGCTAAAAAGAAGATACATTGTATTATCAAATACTAGTATTGAAATTATCATAATATCAGAAATGTCATTCAACAAAGAAATATGGCAAATGATTAACAGCAGGTACATCATCATTAATTCTTGTAATGTTAATAATGATGACTGTAACTGAACACATCATTTTGAATTAATTATAGAATATTACAAATTATATGGTGCTTGATATGGCCGTGGAAAATAGATCTATCATCCTAGACATGATATATGATTCGGCCTCTCTCTAGCTTTATTATCATTTCAAGGCAATTCATAATGTTTTGGTAATTGTTTTAATTTACTAGGCTACAAGAATGTTTTTCTAAAATTTTGACTTCAATACCAACCAAAGTCTATAATCAGCCCCCTAGTAAGTCTGATACATATTGGTAAGAGTCAGTCAAACAGCTTTGTTGATATATTTTTCATAGAGCAAGACCATGTTTCAGAGGAGAACAAGATATGTTTGTAAAACATGTATGCCCCCTATCGGCAGCCAATTAGTCATGTGATCAGGTTATTATGACTGACTTTTGACCTAGTGACCAAAAAATCAATAAGGGTTAATTACTGGTCATGACTAGTCACTAGGTAATTGTGACCGCAAAGGTTGTGTGCAGCAATTTTATGACAAAGTTATTACAAATCTTACCAAATAATATATGCATAAATTTTATGAATCATGCAGGCCTCATTAATGACAGCCAAGTTGTTTCATTACATAAGACCTTGAAAGGACTTTTAGTTTAATAAAAAAATATCAACGGACTCAAGTTGTTGAGTTATTGGTCAAAAACAGTCTTTTCATACAAGGTCAATATGACATTGACAATTGACCCTTAAATCAATAGGGGTTTATCTACTGGCCAAAACCAATGCACCTGTGAAGTTTGAAGGTAAAGGGCCCATGAGTTGGGATATTGATCAGAAAACGTTACCTTAACCTATAAAGTCATTGTGACCTTGACCTCTGACCCCTTAATTAAAAAAAAATCATTAAGGTTATCTTATGACCAAAAGCAATGCATCTGTAAAGCTTGAAGGTCAAGGTTGTCCAGTTATTGATAGAAAATACAAGGTCAAAGCAACCTTGACCTTTGATCCCCTGACCCCAAAATCAATAGGGGGTCATCTACTGGTCAAGACCAATGCACCAACAAAATTTGAGGGCCAACAGCCCATAGCTTGCCAAGTTATTGATCGGAAACCGTTTCACCTACAAGGTCAATGCAACCTTGATCTTTGACCCCTTGACCCAAAAATCAATAGAGGCATTAACTGGTCAAGTCCAATGCACCTACCAAGTTTGAGGGCCAACAGCCTATGGGTTGTCAAGTTATTGATCGGAAACCCTTTTACATACAAGGTCAATGTGACCAACACCTTTGACCCCAAAATCAATAGGAGTCATCTGCTTGTCATGAACAATCACCATACCAAGTTTGAAGTTCCTAGGCCTAAGTGTTCTTTAGTTATTGATCGGAAACCTTTTTTTACCTACAAGGTCAATTTGACCTTGACCTCTTGACCTCAAAATCATTAGGGTCATCTGCTGGTCATGAACAATCATCATACCAAGTTTGAAGTTCCTAGGCCTAAGCGTTCTTTAGTTATTGATCAGAAACCTTTTTTACCTACAAGGCCAATGTGTCCTTGACCTTTGACCCCTTGACCCCAATATCAATAGGGGTCATCTGCTGGTCATGTGACAATCCCCATACCAAGTTTTAAGTTCCTAGGCCTAAACATTCTTTAGTTATCACCCGGAAACCTTTTTACCTACAAGGTCAATGTGACCTTGACCTTTGACCCCAAAATCATTAGGGGTCATCTGCTGGTCTTGAACAATCATCATACCAAGTTTGAAGTTCCCAGGCCTAAGCGTTCTTTAGTTATCACTCAGAAACTGTTTTTACCTACAAGGTCAATGTGACTTTGACCTTTGACCCCAGAATCAATAGGGGTCAATGTGACCTTGACCCCAAAATCAATAGGGGTCATCTGCTGGTCATGAACAATCATCATACCAAGTTTGAAGTTCCTAAGCCTAAGCATTCTTTAGTTATCACTCGGAAACCATTTGGTCTACGGACCGATGGACTGATAGACCGACCAACAGACAAATGCAAAGCAATATACCCCCACTTCTTTGAAGGTGGGCATAATAATACAATGTAATGATTTTACTCACATAAAGTTGTTTCTTTGGCTTTGGATATCCCTCCAGAATAGCATTGAGAATGTCATTTGTCTGAAAATAAATATGTAAAATCAGTGAGTGTTATCAATAACTAACCATCAAATCAGTGACAAATATCCCTAACCCAAAATCAAATCAGGGAGAGTTATCCCTAACTTAGTTTATACAAATTTACTTATTTTAATTTGATTGTGTTGGAAGCAATATAGCATTTTTTCTTATAAATTCAGTTTGAGTTGTCCTCAATCCATCAACAACTCAATTAACTTAATTACAACCTCCAAACTGATGAATTAAAGCAACCTGCATTCAATTGAATTAAACTTATTTTTTTAGTTTAATAATATTTTATTGTAAAAATATACACACAATATACAATTTCATAATTTTACAGAATAATCAAGTGTACATACAAAAGGGTTGGGCCAAAAGTTCTAACAACATTATCCTGAGGTTAATCAGAAATAAGTTTATATACTATTTGAATAAAGTTGTGTGATATCAAATAATTATAAATTTCAGTTTTAAGTAATTTTCAGGAACTAATTTTAACAAATGTTTTATATGTAAATATAAATAAATCAAATAGACAATTAATAGAGAAAAAAATATATAACAAAATTAGAAATATAGATAAGCAATATAATAAAATTATGATACTAAGAGTGATTAAATTAAGTTATTTAAATATTCTAAATGTATAAAGTACGAGGGGTGTTCAGGAAGTTTAAGGACTTTTGCTGTATTTTTTTCCTTAATGGTGCGTTTTTATCCATATTTCACAAAATGTGTTCAAATATGTGCTCAATATGTAGTATAACGCTTACTAACAAGAAAAGACAAACACCGCTCGAAATTTGTTTCTATAGGAACCGCATAACGCATACCCGGAGCACTCCGATTTTATCGTATTTAAGATAATGGTACCTATATATTTAATTGATAATAATTTTCTTAAATTTCAATGGATAACGTCAAGAAAAGCAAGAGCGTTAATTACAACGTCAACGTCATTTCCTGAAATTACTACTCGTAAATCGTTACAATTGTTTGAATAACAACGGTTTTAACATCACTGGTGTTTACACAAATCAAGAGAAAAATGACGTCAATAGGCGACGTTGAAGTCCGGGCAATCATCAAGTTTTGTACAAGAATGGAAAAGACACCAACGGAGACGTATAAAATGGTTCAAGCATCAAGTACAACAAAGAAATGCTGTAGATTTAGACGGCATGACATGTTCCGAAACGGAAAAGAGTCAATAGAGGATGCCCGGACCTCGCGCCGATGGATTTCCGAGTTTTACAGGTAATCAAAGCACAGCTGCGTGGTCGACTCTTTGATTGCGGGTTGGAATTACAAATTGAAACCCAGAGAATAGTGTCATCATTCGACAACATCTGGTAGGAGGACACGTACGACAAATTGGTCAAGAGGCATAGAAAACGTATCGCTGTGAATGGAGATTACGTCGAGAAGTGAGTCGATATGACGATCGGGGAAATCTGACGTTAACATATTAAGCACTGACGTGATGTTAGCGTGCTCCGGGTTAGCTTCGGTGTATGTTTTGTTTTATTTGTAATTTACTTATTGTTTAATGTATTTCATTGTAATTTTTACAGCTGGCTGTAAAAGAATTAAATATTTTATGGTGTTTTTCTTGTTTTTCAATTCCTATTATTTATCAAACTACAGCAAAAGTCCTTAAACTTCCCGAACACCCCTCGTATAAGTTTCAAAAGTCAATAGTGTTCCATTTAAAGTTATTTATGGCTTTTGAATTAAGTTTTTTAAGTATCAAATTTTGAGAAAAAGGTATAAATAATAGAAGGAAATAATAACATTATTGTATTAGTTACAAAAGCTGCAAAAAAAAAAAAATAAATAAATAAATAAAACAAAAATATTCACCGCACAAAACCCTGTTTAATCTTAAAGTACTGTTTCAGCAGTAATATATATTTATTTTATTCAATTAAATTTCTTGCTTGTTTTAATAAAAGTCTGTACTTTTTTTAAAAAGAATTTCATTTTCGGATTCAGAACGCCCTTCTATTCCAAACAAAAATTTTCGTACACTAAGAGGATGAAAAGATCTTGTATTTAAAAACAATGTTCGTCTTTGTTCACTGTATAATTTGCATTTAAAAAAATAGTATTCTGAATTTTCAATGTGTGCTCCACATATACAAGATGGACTGGAAACAATGTGATTATCATATAAATCCGAATTAAGGTTACTGCAGTTGTTTCTTAAACAAGTATGACGTACAGTAGAGGAACCAATGGGGATTTAAATATATTTTTTTAATGTTTGCTTTAAAGGAATGGAGGGATTCTGATTCACGTATATTAATTGGAAAGTTATTCCATAGTTGTAGTGCTGATGGTAAAACAGATTTCGAATAAATTTCTGTTCTTCTGACAATTGATGTGTAGTCTTGATTGTTTCTTAAAGAATATGGGTTTTCATGTGCATATTATACAGATGGGGGAAATAATTGCATTTAATAAAGTGGTAATAAATTGTTTTTGCCTTTGTATATTAAAACTAATTTTTGAATATGTCTCCTATCTGAAAGCGAAACCCAACCTATTTCTGTTAATAATTTTTGTATAGTAACTGATCTTGTCAATCCTGTAACAACACAGGCAGCTTCATATTGAATTTTTTCTAATGTTTCTTTCTCGTATTGCGCACAGTTATCCCAGACTAAAGACGCATATTTAAATGCGGACGTAAATAGGATATATATATACGAGGGTTGTCCAAAAAATTCGTGCACTGCAGTTATTGTCGTGAGAGTTATTAATTAAAACAAATGAATTATATATCACTTGAAAGAGAAATCTGTCTCAAATAAGAAAACAAAAGAAAAAACCGAGTAACCGGCGTGTCGTGTAAAAGAATGGTCATTAAGTTACCTTAGTAACGTAATACCGGCGCAAGACAAAAAATTGGGTTAGTTCATTACTGTACTTGTATTGTTTGTTGCTTGTAAATATAAAGTGGTATTTGCTTTCTATGTTAGCATTTGTTTTACTGTCAATAGAGGAATGATTGATGAAAAGTATTGTGTAGTTTTTATTGTTTTTATGCAACACACATGTAGCATAATCCATCAGTGCAGGAATATATTGGACAACCCTCGTCACATGCGCCGGCATTACGGACGGACGTCTGCCTGACTGGTTGTCATCGTCTACCGACTCTCTTTCACTTCCACAGAGCCCACAGAGCGTTTGTGCCATTTAAAAACCAGCCTTCGTGACACTGAACTTGTCCCGCTTGCCCTTTTAAGTTCTTTGAAGGTATCTGTTGGTGATTTACCAATATTTGCACCAAATTTAATAATCGTCCGTATTTCCAGACGTTTAGCGACTGACATTTTCACGTAATTACAGTATTGACGACCGCACATAAATGTTTGTTTACAATAGGGCAAATGACGCCATATTTTCTAGTGACGTTAGGAATACGTACACACACTTTTCCCTGAATTTTAACGTTAAAATGTAGTGTTTAAAGAATACTGTGATGCATCAAAGTAATGAACTAACCCAATTTTTTGTCGTGCGCCGGTATTAAGTTACCAAGGTAACTGTATGACGATTCGTTTTCAGGAAATGCCGGTTACATGTTTTTTTCTTTTGTTTTCTTATTTAAGATATGTCTCCCCTTCAAGTGATATATAATTAATGTTTTTCTATCAATAACTAACACGACAATAACTGCAGTGCATGAATTTTTTGGACAAGCCTCGTATTATTAAGTGATTCTCTTTTAATTTTGAATTTGAGCATTTTCATGGAACTGAGTATTTTAGAGGCTTTAGATACTATGTTAGATATATGTTGATGCCAAGACCCATCTTGACTAAATGTGACCCCAAGATGTTTATGATGTTCGACAAAACTGAGTTGTACATTTTCAAAAAATAATTGTGGTTTGATCATATTAAAAAATGAAAAAAAACATCGCTTCGGTTTTTGCCGGACTGAAATTGACTAACCATTGCTTAGACCAACTTGTTATTGTCGCTAGATCCCTGTTTAACGTTTCTTCCATAAAGGTTATGTTTTTTGAGGACACAGAAAGAGAACTGTCGTCTGCGAAAAGTCTAGTAATACTTAAGAGTGAGTCTTCTTTGTCATTAACATATTATGAAAATAATAATGGACCAAGTACCGAGCCTTGAGGAAAGCCCCCTTCTAAAGTTGATAAAGAAGAAAATGTCGAGGATACGAAAACATTTTGGGGTTCTGTTATTTAAGTAGTCTTTTTACCATGTATTTAGTTTCCCTTGTATACTGTATTGCTTTACTTTGAAGATAAGGCCAGAATGCCAAACTCTATCGAATGCTTTAGAAATGTCACAAAAAATAACACAAGTAGATTCTTTGCTGTCAAATGCTTTGCAAATTTGGTTATATAATTATATCATTAAGTTGATACTCTGTAGAATGACCTGGCAAAAACCGGATTGATTTTGATATATTAAAGAATTTGTATGAAGATAATTATACATATGTTTAAAAATTATGTGTTCCAAATTAAACTTATGGATGATCAAATCAGTAAAAGTTAAATAAAACAAACTAGAACTATCACTAAATGTGATTAATACCCCCACAAGACTGCTTCGGAAATGAGGATGTTACTAGTAACAGAATACCTTGTAAAAGAATTGAAATATAGAGTTATGGTTGTGGGCAATTAAAGATAGTTGTGGTTCTTATATGTTGCATTTCCTTTCAATGTGGTTGGCCATTGATGAAGTTTAATTGAATTACTCTGTAATTAGTCCAGAAAGACAAAGAAAAGGAACAAAGGGCAATAACTCTATAAATACTGAAGATAGAGTTATAGATCTTGTGCACTGCACTTCCTCTTATTGTGCTTGACCATTGTATGAAGTTGTTTTGAATTCCAACCAGTACGTTTTAAGTTACGTTCCTGACAAGGAAAAGTATCAAAGGGCAGTAACTCTGTATTTTGTCAAAATGGAGTTATGGCTCTTGTGCACTGCACTTTCTTTTAATGTCCTTGACAACTGTATGAAGTTGTATTGAATTCCAAACAGTAGTTTTCAAGTTATGCTCTGGACAAAAAAATGTGCTTGACCATTGTATGTAGTTATACTGAATTCAAACTATTAGTCTTCAAGTTATGGTCCGGACAAAAAAAAAGCAATGGAAAAGCAACAAAGGGCAATAACTCTGTAATTACTTTAGATAGAGTTATGGTTCTTGTGCACTGCACTTTCCCATATTTTGTTTGACAATTGTATGAAGTTGTTTTGAATTCCAACCAGTAGTTTTCAAGTTATGCCCCGGACAAGGAAAAGTAACAAAGGGCAATAACTCTGTAATTAGTCAAGATAAAGTTATGGTTCTTGTGCACTGCACTTCCTCTCAATGTGCTTGACCATTGTATGTAGTTATATTGAATTCCAACCATTAGTCTTCAAGTTATGCTTCGGACAAGGAAAATGCAACGGACGTCTGGACCGCCCGACGAACCAACCGACCGACCACCGGGTGACTCCTATATACCCCCCCCCCAAACTTCGTTTTTGGGGGTATAACCAGTGAGAAATACCCCAAACCTACTATTATTATCAGTAGGACTTATCCCAACTCCATCATCAAATCAGTAAGAGCAAGCCCCCAACTTGCCATGAAATCTAAGTAAATAAACCTAAACCTACCATCATTTCTGTAATACTTATTTCCAAGTATTACTGGAAGTTATCCTAAATCTATCTTAAAATCCCTACGATATCCCAAAGTCAGGTGAGGATCAAATCAGAGATCCATCAATTTATCATCAAATCAGATAAACTAAACCAAACTAATTACCCAAAAGCAACAGAAGCAAAAGATGGTACATTTTTGGGGCATAATAGGCCTTTAAGTCTAATGGTGGGTAAATATCAGTATTTACAAATATCAGTTCTTAAGAAATGGCTAATGTCGTAATGAGCATGTATACTTGGTATAAGTGAATAGCTTTAATAGTATCTAGAATAACTGGCATTAAAGGTTAGCCAACGCTGACAAGAGGGTCATGACAAAAGCTCTACCTTTTTTTCTTCAAAAAGTGGGGTTAAAAATCATAATTATCATACACCACTGGGCTTGTGACAGGTAGGCTTGATGAAATAAATCAGAATTAAGCAACAAAATATCATTACCATTCTTTTCCTTTTCCTCCAAGCTTGAACATACTTCTTTTTGTCTCCATAAACCTATAAAAATACAAGATCTTAGTCTAGACAGTGACCTACAATAATGATTTTATAAGCCAATATCTTTTGTAGATGCAGAGATTGGTACATATAAAACTTAATGATAAATTTTCTTAGTTACGAGTTACGAATCCATGCTAGCATTATGGATCTTAGAGAGTGACCTAAAATTATGACCTCAAAAATGTGTGAAGATTTATGTGAGCAGCGTAAGTGGTTCTTGAGATATGGAGTTGCACCAAAAATTAAAACAACAACATAACATGTATTCTACAATAAGCATACAGTGCATATTCTCTTATACCAAACTACTTCCCTCTTGACAAAGAAAGAAAACTGACCCACTAAGATGACAGCAGTTTATTATAAATTTATAAAGCAAACCAAACTAGAACTGCCACTGTCATGGCGTGAATACCCACGCATACTACTTTGTCAGAATCAAGAGTGGTCATTTAGAACTCAAAGACAACCTCCCTGCCAAATCTGAGGATAATAAGCCAGTGCATTGCTAAGTTATGTAGTCTACATGTTTTTAGTGGCAAAGATCAAAGTGACCTTTACCTTTGACCTAAAACTGAAATTGCCACTGCATGACTTGAATACCCTTTCCCCAATTCATGCAGCTTTGCCTGGGGGTGTTTTATGATGAATATATGAGAACATTATTATATATACTTCAAAATGTAAAAATGTCACAATCAATAAACTGCGGACTGGCATTCTTAAGCGTTGAGCAGACAAGCTTATTATAGTTAAAGACCCTGTTACCTTGACCGTTGACCCAATGACCATAAAATCGATAGGGGTCACCTAATTGTCAAGACTAACCTGCATGCCAAATATATTAGGGTCAAAAGATTCTTAAGTTATTGGGCAGACAAGCTTTTTTTAGTCAAGGCCCTTCTGACCTTGACCTTTGACCTGGTGACCTCAGAATCAATAGGGGTCATCTACTAGTCAAAACCAACCTCAATACCAAATATTAAGACTGTTGACCAAATCATTCTAAAGCAATTGAGCGGACAAGCTTTTTGAAGTAAAAGTCCCGTGACCTTGACCCAGTTACCTCAAAATCAATAGGGGTCATCTACTAATCATGACCAATCTCAATACCAAATATGAAGACTTTGGGTCAAAGGAATCTAAAGTTATTGGGCGGACAAGGAAAATCCGACAGACGCCCGCCCCACGGCCAAACTGATTCCAATATACCTCCCTTACAACATTTTTGTGCAGGGGAATAAAAAACAGAAATTTAACAAGCAAATTCGTTGAATTTATATCCCCCGCGGAGTACTGGTTATTATTAACACAACAACTGAAGACATAAGGCTTTATTTATATATTAATCATGGCATAAACAGTAATATCCTTTGAACTTGATAAATATTCAGGGCAATAACAGAGCCATAACTTTGTGTTAAATAGTAAAATCTGGAAATGCCAATGAGATGTATGCATACTACATAACTAATCAAGGGCCATAAATCTGAGTAATAAGAATCTGACTGGAACAAGGCGACTATATGCACATCTCCTCTTTAGTATCCCATAAAGTTTCATTGAATTCCAGCCAGTAGTAGCAGAGAAGTAGCGAGGAAACAAATATTTTTTTATATGGATACTGCATAACTAATCAAGGGCCATAACTCTGAGTTAAAGTGTCTGACCGGAACAAGCCAACGATATGCTCATCTCCTCTTGGTATTGAAGGTTCCCATAAAGTTTCGTTGAATTCCAGCCAGTAGTTGCAGAGAAGTAGTGCGGAAACGATTTTTACTCTATATGCATACTACATAACTAATCAAGGGCCATAACTCTGAGTTAAAGGGTCTGACCGGAACAAGCCGACGATATGCGCATCTCCTCTTGATATTGATGATTCCCATAAAGTTTCGTTGAATTCCAGCCAGTAGTTGCAGAGAACTACTCCGGAAACGATTTTTACTCCATATGCATATTGCATAACTAATCAAGGGCCATAACTCTGAGTTAAAGTGTCTGACCCGAACAAGCCGACGATATGCGCATCTCCTCTTGGTATTGAAGGTTCCCATAAAGTTTCGTTGAATTCCAGCCAGTAGTTGCAGAGAAGTAGCGCAGAAACGATTTTTACTCCATATGCATACTGCATAACTAATCAAGGGCCATAACTCTGAGTTAAAGTGTCTGACCGGAACAAGCCGACGATATGCGCATCTCCTCTTGATATTGATGATTCCCATAAAGTTTCGTTGAATTCCAGCTAGTAGTTGCAGAGAACTACTCCGGAATCGAAATTCGGACGGACGGATGGACAGACAATGCCAAAACTATATCCCCCTCCCGATTCCACCGGCGGGGGATAAAAACAGCTGGTGCACCCAGTATATATAATCCAGCAGAAAATAACACAAAATCTGTAAACATTATTTTTATCTTGATGATGTTAGATGTTTTGTACACATTTGATATGTACAACCATTTACCTTTTCCTTCTCTTCAGGTGATACAACATTACCACCTTCCTTTAACTGTTTCAATTTGTTCTTATAATGGGCACACTGAAATAACACAAAGTTACACAAAAACCTAAATCTTCTAATGAATGGATTTTTCCTTTAAAAATTTTAAATGTAGCATCAAGTAAGATTATTTTTCCATAAATAAATCAATTAATAAGAAACAAGTAAAATCAGATAATTCATATCATCTGGTGAAAATTAAAGAAAAGGCAGTAAATTTCTATCTTTAAGTGATTTTGGCTATTTTTTCTAACTTGGTAAGATAACCACTAAAGAAAGCATATACACATATCACAGTGATAATCAAGCAGTGACAATATTCTAAAAGCTAACCTTTAATCTTTAATTCTGTAAGACTTTAAAATTAGTTGGCTTGTCTGAATCTCAAAATAATAAATAAACTTACCATTGCTGTTGTTTCATTCAACTGTTTTTGAGCTTCTGTTGTTGTTAAACAACCATTCAACATCCTTAATTCTATAGTTCATCAGAAAGAAAAATTAATATAATTGTATTGAATAAGAAAAATTAATAAAAAACGGATTTTTTTTTCTGTCAAGTATGAAAACAATACACCAAGAACTTAAAAAGTTATGATCAAGGGTAAAGTTTGTGGACTGCAATGCCATCATTACTGTAACTTTACATCTATTCTTTTTTCTTTGAAAAAAAGTTGAGCAAAAAATAACATTAACCATTTCTTTATATTACACACTTTAAATGCAAAAATGGCCTGTCAAATAGTGATTTTACTGTTTCCCAAGTGTATCATAATAAGAATCGTATTTATTGTCATTCTATATAAACTGAACATACATTTAGTATAGGTTAAAGTTTATTAGTACGTATTTACAAAATTAAGTTGGTCAGGCGCTGCCTAGCCACATGACCAATTTAATTTTGTAAATACGTACTAATAAATTTTAACCAGCTTAGTGTTTTAAATTATTTTTATAAACAACCGATTTACTAGACTGATTAACAGTTTGCCGATTTACCAAAGTAAATGTGTAATTACGATTCATTTGAAATCCTGCAATCCTATTGGACAAAAATAATTTCAAACACTAAACTTGTTTCGGAAATGTGATAAATATCATTCCTGCACTTACATAAATAAGTCTGTCTTATACAACTAAAACGAAGGATAGCTTCATGAAAATAAGAAAAAAAAAAAGTATTGTTACCCTTCATTGTAAATTATCTGCCCTTGAATTTAACAAAAAAGTCCAATTCAAGGGCAGATAACTCAAAAATGAGAACGGTGACCCCAAATTTTTTTCGCTTAAAATATTTCTGTTATCATATTCTAACAACATGCCAAGTTTAAAGAAATTCTATGGAACAGTTTTAATTTTGCCTATATGTCTATATGAAAACTTCCGAAAACGTCCTTAAGGCGACTTTGACGTGAAATTTTGTCTTGCAGCAATTCTCCACAACTTTGTGGGGCAGCCCTTTTACATATTATATTTACCTGACTCCAGTCTTTTCACCTCCTCAAGATTTGTCTGTAATTTCTGTGTAAATTCAGCAACTTTACTGTCCATATCTCGAATTTCTGAGTCATCAACCTATAACAAAAACAAGAGCTGTCGGTAGGACAGCAACGCTCGACTATTCTTAGTGCTTGATAGTAAAAAAAATGCTTGATAGAGTTACCTCCTCCTGTTTACAGGTTGGGGTCATGATGGTGAACAAGTGTGCAAAGTTTCAAAGCCATATGTCAATGGACTTTGAAAATATTTGAACTATTACAAAAACTTTAACGTAAATTCTAAGTCGAAAAAGGGGCTTAATTCTGTCAAAATGCTTGATAGAGTTACCTCCTACTGTTTACAGATTGGGGTCATGATGTTGAACAAGTGTGCAAAGTTTCAAAAGCCATATGTCAATGGACTTTGAAAATATTTGAACTATTACAAAAGAGCTTCGGTAGGACAGCAAACTCGACTATTCTTAGTGCTTGATAAAAAAAATGCCTGATACAGTTACCTCCTCCTGTTAACAGGTTGGGGTCATGATGGTGAACAAGTGTGCAAAGTTTCAAAGCCATATGTCAATGGACTTTGAAAATATTTGAACTATTTACAAAAACTTTAACGTAAATTCTAAGTCGAAAAGGGGCATAATTCTGTCAAAATGCTTGATAGAGTTACCTCCTCCTGTTTACAGGTTGGGGTCATGATGTTGAACAAGCGTGCAAAGTTTCAAAGCCATATGTCAATGGACTTTGAAAATATTTGAACTATTACAAAAACTTTAACGTAAATTCTAAGTCGAAAAAGGGGCATAATTCTGTCAAAATGCTTGATACAGTTACCTCCTCCTGTCTACAGGTTGGGGTCATGATGTGAACAAGTGTGCAAAGTTTCAAAGCCATATGTCAATGGACTTTGAAAATATTTGAACTATTACAAAAACTTTAACGTAAATTCTAAGTCGAAAAAGGGGCATAATTCTGTCAAAATGCTTGATACAGTTACCTCCTCCTGTCTAAGGTTGGGGTCATGATGGTGAACAAGTGTGCAAAGTTTCAAAGCATATGTCAATGGACTTTGAAAATATTTGAACTATTACAAAAACTTTAACGTAAATTCTAAGTCGAAAAAGGGGCATAATTCTGTCAAAATGCTTGATAGAGTTACCTCCTCCTGTCTACAGGTTGGGGTCATGATGGTGAACAAGTGTGCAAAGTTTCAAAGCCATATGTCAATGGACTTTGAAAATATTTGAACTATTACAAAAACTTTAACGTAAATTCTAAGTCGAAAAAGGGGCATAATTCTGTCAAAATGCTTGATAGAGTTACCTCCTCCTGTCTACAGGTTGGGGTCATGATGGTGAACAAGTGTGCAAAGTTTCAAAGCCATATGTCACTGGACTTTGAAAATATTTGAACTATTACAAAAACTTTAACATAAGTGGTTACGCCGACGCCGACGCTCGGGTGACTGCAATAGCTCTACTTATTCTTATCGAATAGTCGAGCTAAAAACTTTAACGTAAATTCTAAGTCGAAAAAGGGGCATAATTCTGTCAAAATGCTTGATAGAGTTACCTCCTCCTGTCTACAGGTTGGGGTCATGATGGTGAACAAGTGTGCAAAGTTTTAAAGCCATATGTCAATGGACTTTGAAAATATTTGAACTATTACAAAAACTTTAACGTAAATTCTAAGTCGAAAAAGGGGCATAATTCTGTCAAAATGCTTGATAGAGTTACCTCCTCCTGTCTACAGGTTGGGGTCATGATGGTGAACAAGTGTGCAAAGTTTCAAAGCCATATGTCAATGGACTTTGAAAATATTTGAACTATTACAAAAACTTTAACGTAAATTCTAAGTCGAAAAAGGGGCATAATTCTGTCAAAATACTTGATAGAGTTACCTCCTCCTGTCTACAGGTTGGGGTCATGATGGTGAACAAGTGTGCAAAGTTTCAAAGCCATATGTCAATGGACTTTGAAAATATTTGAACTATTACAAAAACTTTAACATAAGTGGTTACGCGGACGCCGACGCGGACGCCGACGCTCGGGTGACTGCAATAGCTCTACTTATTCTTATCGAATAGTCGAGCTAATAAGATTTACTTTTTAAAGTGAATTGGTCTCTGAGAGGCCTGTAATGTCATAATTATGTTGATAGTATTAAGCATACATGACAACAAATCTTTGAAGAATTATATTAAATGTTGTTTGTAAGTGTGAGAGAAATGGCTCAATGTTATTATTCATAATTTTTATTCATACCATATCATTTAAAACTCTATTAACAATTGTTTTCAAGAAATATTTTATATGAGTATCAAAGTGATACATTTCTACAGTTGTTTTTAATATATGACATACATGTGGAAAATGTGCATGGGAATAATTTATTTAACTTTTGTACAAGACCATAAGGTGTTGCTACATGCTGGACAATATTTTAACCAAATGAGCATGACTTCTGACGAAGTCCACAGTGCTACATGAAAAAAATCTAAGCTCCAAGCAATCTAGTTTCCTAAAAACAATTACAGGGGCACCATTTATATAACTTTGTAGAAAACCACAAGGTTTAGTTACATAGTAGGCCATTTTTGGCCCAAAGGGCATGACTTACATCACTTCTGTAGAGGACCACTAGAAAATTTGACATGCCAAAAAAAAAAAAAAAAAAAAAAAAAAAAAAAAAAAAAATCTGGACATTGTAGTTTTGGAGAAGGAAACTTTATGTACTTATATTATATATAAAATAAGTGAACCTCCACGGGACAGAACCAATTTTGGCTTCAGGGGCATGATTTATATATTAGTATGTATTGTATTTTGAAGAATGATGTTGCATGTAAAACTTTAACCAAGGATTATTTAATTTAAGAAGGGCCATAAATCTGTCGAAATCCATGCTAGAGTTATGGGCCTTGGAACAGTTACCTCCTATTATGCTCTAAAATAAGTGTGTGAAGTTTCAAGCAAATATCTTAAGTGGTTGATGAGATATGATGTTGCATGAAAAACTTTAACCAAAGTGTTATGCTGACACCCGAATAAGTAGGATGGACCAACAAACTATTCTTTGAAAAGTTGAGCTAAAAAATGCAATGCCATCCCATTTTACAACAGTAAAAAGTTAAAACAGAAGCAGTTCATTTTTTTGCTTCTATACAATTGAACTTTGCCATAATGCTGTAGTGTCTAGTGAATTTATACCACCGTCAGGTGGGACCAATTTTGACTCCAGGGATATATTTTAAACAATCTTGGTGCAGATTCACTAGACACTGTTTCATGCCAAATATCTTAGTTCTAAGGCATATGCAGGAGTATTTTTTTCATTTTTCCACTATTTAGACAGTATATTTATTTTTAAAATTTCCCTTAAAGCTACACTCCGACACAAAATGGGTCTAAAAACATCAACATATTTGTTTAAAGTTATTAAATATGTATAGAAGCAAAATTGGCAGCTTTCACAAGATAACTGTGACCTAACAGTTGTTATGTTTCTCTTGATACAGATATAAACAACCCTTTTATCATACCCAAGAACATCTTGCTAGAAGGACAGTTTGATGCAGATAGAACTTACTGTATAAATATTAGTTTTAATCCGGTTTACCAATATTATCATGTACTTTTTTTTATCTCTTTTTTTATAGACATAATTTTCTATTATAGCAATTGATTTCAGGATAAAAATAAATACCACTGTTCTATCTGCCAACCAACGGATCCACTTGCAACCAGTTGACAGGTGTGTGTGTAATTTAAGTCAATACAATATAAAATGTTGTAACGGTTAAAAATAACAGCATCATAAAATAGCAAAAACTTTACTTTTATGTTTTTTCTTCAGACAAGACATGTATTAATCATCTAGTTCCATATAAATACACAAGCTTATGGTAAAATTTTATCTTTTGATGAGGTTTTATTTAAAAAATGCCCAAACTACAATATGTGGGTAATAGCTTTAAAACATTGAATGGTTTAATCCATATAGAAAGACGAGTCCATTTAAAATATTCAGATATTATGGTAAGGGTTAAGAACATTTTTTATCCCTTTTACCATCAGGAAAAAACAAGAAGATAAACAAACCTCAGGAAACTGTGATTGGTCAGCCACATAAACTTTTTGTTTCCCATACACTTTTTCTTTTATCTTGCCTGATTCTGCCAAGCTCTCACATGCCTTCACTATAGCCTAAAAAATTAAATATAATTTTAGTTTTTTTTTAAATTTGTATTTACATGTATTTCGATTTGTAAAACTTTTAATTATAAAACCTATTACTGAAGCTATAATTGGTTGGTTGGTCATCTGAGTTCAGTTCAGATATAGGCACTAATCACTAGCTCATGCCTTTAATCATTTCAATAACTTCCATTTATTATATTTAGGAAATTTAACATGAATGCTAATTAAATGACATTAAATCCCTGCATACTAAAATCTCAGTTAAGTAATAAGATTTATGTTAGAACATGACATTACTATCAATATAATGAAAACAACAACAATAAACATGTATGATGTATATACTCAACTGTTTTACCAAACTCCTTGTGCAGATTATTGCATATATCTATTGCACTGTATGGTCTATTCTGCTTGTTTAAATAATCAAGGACTGCAACTCCAGCTGGAAATATGTGAATTAAAATATAGACAATAAAAGAACATCAACATTTCACTAAATTCACTACTTTTAACTGACGGATTCTGTTTCTGTTCTGTTTAAAGCCTTAATTAGGTTATACATTCGGTGATATTTAATGTTAATCAAGTGATGGTACAAAAGGTCCAGATTGTCACTTTTATTACTTATTGTGTTAAGGTTATAAAAGCAAAATTTAAAACTTTATTGGATACAAACATAAGACAACTTAATTTTTCAGTCTGTATATACAGAGGAACACAGTCATTTTCCCCTATATTTTACAGCCAAATGAATTATGTCTGTTTCACCTAGCCATGAATAAATTTTATATATTTTCCCATAAAATGCCCTAACCATATCATGTGAAAACCTCTGACCAATGAAATACCACAATCTGCTGCAGTATTTTGAATTGAAAATTTGACATATCGGAAAAAGGTGCGTTAAGTTTCATATGATGATTTGATTGAACAGTAATTACAAATAATTTAATTTTATCATAATTAAATGCGCAATACAAAAAAAATATCAATTCATTATGAATTTAGTGTGTTCTACTCATGAGCATTGTACAAAAACAGTGCAATCAGATCTCTGTAGAGTTTTATTTTTTGACATTTGTTACATGTCACTAACATGTATGTTGTACTTGATAGTACAAACAGCGAAGGTGGTAAGATTTGACACAAAGATTGTCAAGATCGGTGAAAAATTGATGAATATATGCATGGAGTGAAATATACAGTAGTGATATCAGATTAGTTCTGGCTTCCAAAACTTTATAAGCCGCTATTTAACATTTTTGTTTTTCATCTGATGCGGCATTAAACTTTTGGATTAGACCCGTTACGAAACCTCACCAGGATAACAAAAGTTGATTTAACCTTATTTTTCACTTGCAAATACACTTGACCCAAACAATTCTTGTGCATTTTACGATAAAACAATTATTTTAACATTGTTCTATACCAATTAAATTATCAAAATATTAATACTGTCATTAAAATTGCCTATTTAACTGTAAAACATCAATTATGCCGACTACAGTTGGCCATGACATTTAGGTGCCACGCGAGACCTCGTATGATGTCATTCGCGGGAACCGATTAGAATAGAGTCTTGTACTATATTTAGAACATCTTTGTTGACATGATTTCAATATTTTTATTCAAGATAATGTTTTTATTTATTTTCATTATTTTTTTATTCTTAAATATGATTTTATTGAATACAAAAGCCAGTAAATCACCTTTTTCAATATCTTTAAAAAAAGTAATTAATAAAAATATTGGAAGCACATGGGTTTGTAAAGGTCAATCTCGTAATCACGTGGTCAAACATTTTGGCAATATGGCGGCCAAGTGCCGAAATTTTTACCTGTCGGAAACTATTAGGTAGTTTATGTTCGTAATAAGATTTTTATTTGTCCATCCTTGGCTTATCAACAGATTTAAAAGTTTTATCAAGGTTACTTCACTTTACTTCATGACATGTTCGATGAATGAATACGAGCGTGTCAGATTCCTGGCACGATTATTGGTGGACTTTCCCTACAGGGTTGTCTTCAGCATTCACGTCATGTCATAGTATATAAACGGGTACGCTGAAGACCTTAAGCTTATATCAGATCTGTGATATATGCGCTGAAAATTGAGATGCTATTGATTTTTCGCTATACAAAATGAAAGTACAGACTACAGTAGAGTAAAATTGCTCTTTTTTTGTCCTAAATTTTTGTAAATAGATCTACTTATGATGTTTGGATAGTTGGTTGTAGGGGATGGGGAACAGGGTATACTTATGCCATGGTGTAAGTCAAGGCCACGCACCGAACACCTGTGGCCACAGGCGCTAGTCACATAATCAAATATTTTACATAACCGGTCTATATATGTATATAAAGATATATCTTATTATAGTATATAGCCCATATAAAACTTTAAAAAGTTTGTTTCAAGCACCTGTGCCATGATACGAAATCAAATCGATGATTGTGGTTCAATCTCATTATCTGGGACATAAAATGTAATGTCCCAGGTTCATTCTATAATAAATATATATGTTGGCAGTGTAAGAATCATTCAATAAATGTTTCAAATTACCTTGAGCGTCTTTAGACTTGCTCATTTTTCCTTTTTTTTTTATGAATTCTAAAATTGGCGGGAGATCAGGACAACGGTAATGTCAAACATATTCCGAGTATCAAGGTTAGTTTGATTATAACATTCCGTACTGGTAAACATGTTCTGGAACTGGGCGATACGTATAGTATTACCGTTATGGATAGTTCACGTTGCACTACCCGTCACAATAGATAAGTAAATCTGTTGCGCTTATTTTTAAAGCTGCCACTGTAAAAGTTTGTTTGTGTACCTACGGTTTTCAATCACAACCACTTTTCAATCATCCCTGGAAATTCTTTCTTTTTGATCTTATTTGTCACGAAACCAAACTGTAAGCACATCTTGTATTAAACTTGACTACATTTATCAGCAGCAATGTCAATTATGGCGTTATAAAAGAAAATAACAGTATTTTAGTTCAAAATATGTAAAATTTGTATTTTCCACTAATCCTTTATTTACCCAGTTACAAATCGCAATAATTTTCTAAAAATAATTGATTTACAGACTCAGTTTTTTGTCAGTCTGCAGAAATGGTTATTAAGTTGGACAACTGTTTCAATATCATTAAATCGTAATGTATGTTACACTTCAAAAGCTATAATTTTAATATGTACATATTTTACCATACAATTCTTAATTGGAAGGTTATATGTCAGTAAACTAACAGTCACTTAACCAAGGAAAAACATTCTCTCTGATAACTTTTCAGAAAGCTGTCACAAGAATGGGGTCATATAGACCCTAAGATCCTAAAAATTTCACAAGAACATGCTTTTTCTGTTATGCACATTGAGATATACATCCATACCCCAATTGTGATAGCTGTACTACTGCAGAATGATATCAAGATTGAAAAATGGCATTATAAACAGGTAAAAATTGTTTATTACCATTTGTCTGAAGTTGAGTTTGTCAAAATTTCTTCAAAATACATAACTGGTTATATTTTAACATTGTATGACAATTTTTGTGTGGTTCAGTTTATATTTTGTTAACTGATTGAAAAGTGGTTGTGAAATTTTGAAGAACAGGAAAATGGGTCAGTCATGATTTGTCCTCGATTCATAATAATAATTCAGGCAAAATCTTAAAAAAGTTGTTGCATTTATTAGCTGAAATGATAATATTTGCAGTATTGTAAGAGAAATTTTATTTTTATAATTTCACTGTCAGTTATTATAGAAAAATCTGTTAGCTGATCGGAAAGTGGCAGTACGGGGATACTGCTTAATACAAGAAAATGTCTTTTTTTTTTCAAATGTGTTATATATATGTTACAAATTAACTAGGTCTAACCCCACTCCACAATAGTAAATTTTTTGTCTTTCAGATATTTAATATTAATTGGTATTAATTGAAGTCATAGAAATGGGACAGAAACTGAACCAAAATATTAAACTTCCATTTGCGTAGTTCATAAAGTCATTATATTACTCGTGCTTTGAAAGCCGCTTTGCACGAAATTCACGCACTTTTACATGGGTGGTGTATAAGAAGACCAAGAAAAAGTACTGCTTTTAGTCTAGTTTAGGCAATTCAAATATTAACCCATTATATCTTTTCTGTTCGATGTTTTACGAGCCCAAACTGGCCCTGTCGAAATATGCAGAAATGCCGATTCTGAATGTGGCTTAAAACATTTTTGTAACAAATACATTTTGTACAATATTTCACATGTTTCTTTTGCTGTTTATTATTGTCATACCGTAATTTTGGTAAGTGGCGATCTTTTAGATAAGCACGCGTTTCTCGTGCATAGATCTCTACTAGTCCAATATATAAAAAGTTACGGGCTTGTTATAGTTTATTGCCTACCGACTCCTTTGTTAAAAGCGATCTAGTAAATCACTTACCGACCGCTTAACAGGTCTGCAATTACTTACCGACCTGTTTTGTTCTATCGTTCCCTATACAAAAGAAAAAATGTGAAGTTTAGAAACTCGTGCATTTCATAATTACACTGTATACGTATATTCCATAACACGGTAATGTTGAAATAATGCAGGAATTGTGCAAAAATGACGCTAACTAAGTTGTGGGGATGATCACTTCGGATAGGAAAAAGTATCGATATTATATATATTTTAAGGCATGCTCATCAAATTAAAAGAAACAAATAGTGTATACGGCTGCTAGGGCATTATATTTTCTAGCTCTCGACGGTTATATTATTGATGCATATCGAATCAAAGCTTTCTTTCCCAAAATATTACTTTCAGTGAGAGTATAAGTTTGTCTGAGTTATGAGTAAGGCCGTTTTTTTCCGTCAAATTTGTTCCAGTTATTTACATTAGAATTTGGATATGTATACCATTAGTCGCTTGTCACAGGTATACGGCTTGCGCTTACCATCCTAGCTAGGATCCATTCTAGACTGCGTGCCTACATGCGGTCTTATCAAACATGATGGGATGATGCTAATTTAAGTACACAGCGGAAGAAAATAAATTCTTCCGATAATAAATAAAATTCTAAGCATATTTAAAATCAGTTCCATATAAAAAGCCAACATGCAAAAAAGAAAAAAAAGAAGTTTATCTACGTGTGCCGCTAGTATTATTTCTAGTTCTAAGGCCATCACATTTTTTCTTTTGAAAAATGAAATCGTTTGCTTTATATTAAAAATAGCACGATCTCTATTTACCATGAAATTAATTATATATAAAGTATTCCTTTTTAGAATTAGAATTGTCATATACGTCACATATAAAATGGGTGCCTTGATTTAAAATAATTGTTGAAAGGCACCCATTATATTTTAGGGACACATTTTGATTCATATACACATGCTACATGTTTGCAATTGCGAACATCTACCTTTGTAGGGGCAAATGTTGCAGGGCATGGCTGTTCAAAATATCTCATGGATTTTCATGCATCATGTATATTCTTTGATTTTCAGACAAACTATCCGTGAAGTATTGTGGAAATTTTAAGACCAATTGTGTAGTCTGATAGATGAGCTGGGAAATTAAACAGAAGAGTGTTATTATGCCGTAAGTTAGAGTCCTACTTAAGTAGGATTGAATCACTAACACAAAGTTTCGTTTTATAATTTAATGTTACTTTCTCAGTGGAATACCACAAATAATACATAAAATATTCAAAGGTTATCCTGATCAATATTTCGACTGCAAGACCGTCCGATTTTATAATCTGATATTTCATAGATGTCTGTCTTTACGAAAGGCGACCATCATCTATATAATAAAAAGCCCTTAAGCACACAATTTGTTGGGCTAGTCAAGAAATAGATATTATCACATGCAAAAATCATTTGGAGTGGAAAGCTACAATTTTATCTCTTGGAAATCCAAATTCTAACTGTTCAATCTTAACAAAATTTTAAAAATTGGTTTAAAATTTCAACATCTTTGTTCCTATAAAAACAAAGAGAATAATAAGGTTTCACTACAAAATAAGGTAACATAGCAACATGGAAGTTATAATGTTACTTAACAACAATCATCACCTGGATATTTTATCAGTCATAAAGTTTTACAACTTATTAAGTACAATGTACAGTCAGCTAAATTGATAATATGAACAAAGAAAAACCAGATTTAATCTTCTGGTTACATAATAATTAATTTGACATGTTATTAAACATGAAATACATTGTATTTGCACTTAAATTTTACCGTATTTGCTATTTCACATTCTTTTGAAAATATGGCCTTTTTAGGTAATAATAACATTTACTTTCTGTGTTTAAGAGTAAATAGCATGCATATTTATTTTTTGTATGCTTTTCAACTGCACCACACAACTTTGTGGCCTTCTTCTCAAAGTAAATGTACATGAAAATATAACATCAATTCTATATATAGATAACCCATAAAAAACATGACTGATAGCATGCCCATAGGCTCCCCTTTTTGATGTTTCTTGTTCATTCTGCTTAGCTTAGGGCAGGTGGTGTACAAGAAGAAATGGTGAAATCGTTAAACTGTATATGTTGCCATCCAGGAACGGTGACAGTAAGGTATTCCTCATATAAGAATGTAAAAGAACTAATACAAAAATCCTTTTAATTCAATAAAATTTAAATAATTAAAATTATATGGAATCATTTATATAAAACAAATACATACATGTATATTAATTATCACAGCTAGCTACAGACTAAGTTTTCAACAATGATGTCACAAAAATTGTTTTTATGTGATTATAACAAACAAAAACTGCAACAAAACAGTCTGCAGTATATAAAAATCAATACAATGATTAGAAAATATACAAAAAGAATTATATGAACATTTTTCATTATTATTTCATTTCTTTATATTGGGTGGGTTTTAATTTTCATTTAAACTTTAATGGTTATACATGTATATGGCAACTTGATAGCAGGTTAACATATGTGCCTTATTTTAGGCACAAGTAGGCACCTTAATTGAACCAATGCCATCCTATAAATTAACTGAATTATTTCATCACATGATCTATGGGGAGATATGAACACATATAGATCATTGATTGTCAGGTGATTTATTGTCAATGCTTCAAACACTCAGCAGTAAAGTCCAAATATGGTAATTTTATGATGTCAAAATAGAAATGTTTCATCAAATATAAAGATGGTCACAACATAGAAATTTGTTAACATCATACTGCATACATATAGAGGATATTTGTTAAGTTCAGTGTAAGATCGCAATATATTTCACCGAGTGAGCACCAAAACGTATATTTCACGAGTGGCGCAGCCACGAGTCTAATATGAACTTTTGGTGTTCACGAAGTGAAATATATTTCGATCTTACACTAAACTAAACAAATTTTCTTTTTATTACATGCTAAGAAACGTTTAAAAAGACATTTTATCCTAGTACTAAATGAAAAGCGCGCCAAATTCTAATACAATGTGACGTCATTTACGACGTCACGTCATTAAGCTGGTTTCCAGTACTGTGCACGCTGGTATTTCACTGAGACAACTTAACGGGCTTAAATTCAAAACAGTGAAATTATCAATTTGATAATTTCACTGTTTCAAACAGTGAAATTACCAGTTTATAAATCACTGATATATTTCTATAATCCACCGAAAAGCATGTAATAAAATTATATAAACCATCTAAGTTCAGTAACTTTCCTTACACCAAGAGTGTTCTGTGATTTAGCATATAATCTAACAATTAATTTACAAAGGAGCTGTTTTAAACAGGTATCAGACAGTTATAACAAATGTCTTTGTTCTCCTTACATTTTTCAATAGCAATCCATAATGACATTAGTTTTCATTGCAAATCTTCAAAGTTCATGGCAATATATAGTTATAATATGTCTTTTAGACATATACATGTACCAAACATCTGTTAGCCAGTGTTCAATGTAGAGTCTCACATCTTACTAGGCTGTATAGAGCCAAGCCATGAGAATTCCTGAAACAAATATAAAACAAATCTGGAATATATCTGTCAATTTTATAGATCTGAATGAGAAATTATGTTGATATAGTGTCAGCAACTATCTTTAAAACTTGTTTGTGCTGAACTTACTTTTCAAAATTGATCATACAGTTAACATTTATCAATTTTGCAATTTGTCTTGATACTATACAAGTATATACCTGTTTCAATATATCATTGCTACTTATCAATATTTCAGTGATTGTATCTTGGAATGTTCATTTGTTCTTAAACTGAACATTCTGCACAACTGGCCACTTTCTGTATGCTATACTGATAAACAACAACACAAAGAGAAACAAAATATACCGTCATCTCGATTCCAAGCCAAATAAACTTTACACATGAAAAGTGGCAAATTTGGCTACATCAGTACAAGCAAAAAGTGGCAAGTTATACAATAAAAAATTTCAAATATAATAAACCACCCTACTTTCGTTATTTTCATGTCCATTTCTTGAAATGTAAGTTAAAAAAAGTGTCTATATAATCACACTGAAATGAACATTATAATTTAATGCTATCAAATGTTCTCTATCAAAACAATCCATCTCAATTTAGAAATAATTTTCTGTCAACTTATCTAGGTATGACAATTATCTTGATGCTGATAGAGAACAGACTGCTAATATAGCTTTAAACTCTTTATCCCTTAACATGATGGAACCCTTAGTGATAAGCTTTTGCCACAAGTATAGAGTCTGGTCTGACTGTACGTTTTTAAATACATGTATAATGCTCCTAATTCAAAATTAGATAAATCTAGCAAGTTAAGTGTAAATTATGATTATATACCTGAACTCTTCTATCTGCCATTGTATTGATCATGATGTTGACCATAGAAGCTTGTTTCTTGTTAGCCATCGACTCTCTCATTGCTTTCTGTATATCCTCAGGCTTCTCAACAAAATAACCATTGCCTCCAAACGCTTCAAGAACTTTGTCATATCTTGCATTAGGGGAGAGAACTGTTGGTGGGTGACTGAAATAATGTCATACAGTTGTACTGTGATAGTTGACAATCATAATGTAGGCATTGTCTTATGTATTGCACTTCTGGGCTATTAGTTACTTTAAGTATATTTAATATATAAGAACTTGATTATTTTAAAATAAAAGAGACACCTTCAATCATTCTTTTAGCATCCCATATTTACAACTTTCTGTAGAAATATAAATTGTTATGTAAGATAGCACTTTAAGACAAGAGCTGTCCGTAAGACAGCGCGCTCGACTTTTTTAGTGCTTGCCTATAATACAAAACATTGACAGTTAAGGGCCATAATTCAAATAAAATCTACACCTTCAATCATTCTTTTAGCATCCCATATTTACAACTTTCTGTAGAAATATAAATTGTTATGTAAGATAGCACTTTAAGAAAAAAGGAAGATATGTACTACAATTAATTTGTAGTGTATTAGTTTTTATCAAACGTTATTGTTAGTCTGACACATGAAATGTGACCAAGTTTTACGTATCTGGAAAAATTGTATCTGTAAATCAAATTATTTATCTGACATACAGATGAAGATTATTATCAAGAAATTACAATGAAACAAACTTGATCAGTAGCTAGTGAAGTAGTTGCCAGATAATGATTGGACCTTAAAAGCAAAACATTGGATGTTGATGATTACCAGCTGGGACCAAATTTATCTGTTTTGTTAGATTTTAAGTCAAGGTCATATGATGACTTTCCAGTATTGTACCTCTTTGTGCATTATTTCATTTATGAGGGGACACCTGATGAAACCATCAACCTTTCTAAAGCTAGCTTTCTCACATGAAAGAGTCCCTGGTGGGACTCAAAACCACAGTGGTAAGGGGCAGGTGATTTGGTGTCAGCAACCATTATCACTTGGCCACAGAAGCCCTGGAACCTAGTAATCCTTGGATACTTTCAGTTTAACTGTTTGTATTTATGTACCTTAAATACTTATAAACTTGTTTACAGATAATAAAATATGAAAAGCATCACAATCTAAGGGAAAAAAATGTATATAAAATTATAAATGCCTGATAAGTCTGTCTGTCTCTTCCAAACTATTGAACACTTCTTCATTAAAACTCTTTGTTATTCCATTATTATTTATGATTACAAATACTATTGGGAGTCTATATCTGGAAGTATAAAAATATATAAATGAAAAAATATTTACTCTTAAAATATTTATTACAGCTCAGAAATAGGCAGCAATTTTAGGCAAGTAATATGATTAAATACATCAACCTAAAAACTGTCTATAAACAAAAATATGGCTGAAGGTGATGGATGCTCACCCACAAATTAGTGGACAACACAAAGTATCTACCATGAAAATATAAAAGATATCAGTCAATAAAGACTGCATAAGCAAAATTGTAAATCTTTTTGATCTGTCTGGTAACCTTCACCCAATTGACCACTTGTAACACTCCTGGCAAGCATTAATAAAAAAATTTAAGTACCATGAAGGGATATCTCAAAAATTAGGCATGGTAAAACTAAAATTATTTGACACTGCAGTCTTCATCATGCTAATCATTACTGTGTGACTTTTAAATCAAATTCATTCAACATTTTTCAACAAGCATTATTAAATATTATAAAGGGAGATGACTAAAAAAAAAATGTTATTTACTGTTTTGGTTCTTTGACAATGCACTTCCTCTCACTAGTCTCTATAAATGTGTGAATTTTCTATGAGATATCATTGATAGTTTAGAAGTTATACTCTGGACAAGCATTTAACATTTTAAGTATCATAAAGGGAGATAATGAAAAAATTAAACAAAGAAGAATTAGGGTTCTTTGATACTTCACATCCTTTCATCAGTATCTATCACTTTTTGAAGTTTTAATCAAATTCCTTCAATACTTTTCATGCTATTTTTCATGTTACTCTCCAGACAAACTACTTCAGTATCATAAAGGGAAGTAATTTAAAAACTAAACAATGTAGAGTTATAGTTCTTTGACAATGCTCTTCCTATTTCCACTCTCTACCACCGTGTGTAGTTTCATTGAGATCTCAATGATAGTTTAGAAGCTATTTTCTAGACAAGCATTATTAAATATTATAAAGGGAGATTATTAAAAAACTAAGTAATGTAGAATTATGATATTTATCCCATGTCACTCAAGTCTGAATGAACAGAAGGACAGACAAGGTGGACAAAGTTGCTTCCCCCTATCTAGGATGCAATAACTTATTGATCCTGATGTTAATGATAATATCAAATAGCTGTACTAACCTGCAGACTGTTTCCACCTCAAAGCCGGAGAATCCAAATGCACTATCACCTTGGATACAGACGACACGTTTATCTGGAGCATAGTCTCTACAATATACTGCTGCAGCTATAGCAAACCCTACACCAACACCCATTGTACCAAATGTTCCTGCATCTAGTCTATAGTTTAAACAATGTTATATCATATTATTAATGAATAATATTTGGTTTGTCTGTTTTAAGAGAATATAACATAAATCTCACAGAGAAGAGTTATAGGCAATATTTCAATTAAAGTTCTGATCAGTTATAATATCAAAATCATCATTTAGATTAACTCTTAAAAATGCTTCAAATATGATTTAACAGCGTTTTAAATCACATTGGCACTGAAATTGTCACATGTCAACTTTACAGCCTAACTGGAACATGAAGGCCTCAAGAGCCTCTCTGTACATTATTTATGACACAAGTGGGTCCCTTGGTGGAACCTTTAATCTGTGGTCAGTAGTGAGGCAAAAGTGACTTTAACCATTATGCCATGGGAGTACCTTTTTACTTCGGAGTAAAATTTCTACTATGTTTAAGAAAGAATGTTTACATTTTAAGTCAATAAATGAAATACATTTAGTTTTAACACCTGAAAATCTGAACAATACATATTTCAGATTCACAGTCTATTGATTAACATAGGATAGAATGAAACCTCTTATATTTTTCTTCAATGTTTGAAAAATATTCCATGAGTACCTGGACAATAATATTGAATTCACAAAAAGATTGAGATTAATTTTGTTAATTGTTGAAAGAACTGTATGTTATATAAAATATTTATACCTGTGTCTAGGCAATGCATTGGGTATGCAAGATCTGCTTATATCCATAGTGTTTGCCCCTTCACTTATAACTATTGCATCTTTTGGTAAAAATTTGTTCACCTGTAATAAACAGTAAAACGAAAATTTTATGTTCTGTAATTTTATCAACTACAGAGATACAGAGATGTTCTGTTCTAGAAGTAACCACTGGTTCTTTAACATAAATAGATGTAAAGCACCAACATGCAAAGCTACTTTAAGGGTTATCTTAAAGACATTTGGTAATTTGAGATGGCGAAGTATGAATCAAACTTGTGGTTCCTGCATTTGTAATCATACAGCTTTACCACCAGAGCACTGTGTCTGTTTATATATTTGTATTACTCCAGCAATTATGTCCATACATTTGTTTATACAATCTACATACTCCACAGCTATTTGTCATCTGAGCTTTTTTATTGCAATATACATGTATAGACAATAGGCTCTGAAAATGAAGCTAAAATTTCAACTTTTTATGTTCAAATTTCAAGTGTTTATCTTTTTCACACAGAAATGGTTGTGTTAACTTTTAGTCGGCTGACGGTTTAAAAATCTACTAATGTGACCAGTGCAGACAAAGATAACTTGGTATATGACCAGTGCAGACAAAGATAACTTGGTATGTGACCAGTGCAGACAAAGATAACTTGGTATGTGACCAGTGCAGACAAAGATAACTTGGTATGTGACCAGTGCAGACAAAGATAACTTGGTATGTGACCAGTGCAGACAAAGATAACTTGGTATGTGACCAGTGCAGACAAAGATAACTTGGTATATGACCAGTGCAGACAAAGATAACTTGGTATATGACCAGTGCAGACAAAGATAACTTGGTATGTGACCAGTGCAGACAAAGATAACTTGGTATATGACCAGTGCAGACAAAGATAACTTGGTATATGACCAGTGCAGACAAAGATAACTTGGTATGTGACCAGTGCAGACAAAGATAACTTGGTATGTGACCAGTGCAGACAAAGATAACTTGGTATGTGACCAGTGCAGACAAAGATAACTTGGTATATGACCAGTGCAGACAAAGATAACTTGGTATGTGACCAGTGCAGACAAAGATAACTTGGTATGTCTGTGCCACCTGCACTCCTTCACTGATCAATTTTCAATCTGTACATATTTTGAAAGTTTCCCTAAAAATGATAAATGGTTTTGTCCAGATTGAAAGATGGACAATTACAAACCTCATCAAAAGCAGCATAATAATTAAGTGGTACAGTTTTGTCTTGTGACTGTTTCTGTACACTGATTCTGTTCTTATCTAGTTTCTCATTTAATTCCTTCCACCAGGGGGCAGCAGAATTAAACACAAACTTTGATGGTCGCCTCGCCAACTCTTCATTCATCTAAAACATGAAAATACAATAAAGTCAAATGCTATTTAATTGGCAGTATTTCCATTACCATGTACATTATGTAATAGTTATAGTACATGAAACAAGTTAGTTACGAGGATATAACACTGGTTGGGGCAACATCAAGAAGTGTTTCTGCTAAAAAATGGTGACGCCGTTAGACAGAGACAATTTTTTGCAGAAACATCCCGAAATGTCGCTCAGCCAGTGTTATATCCTCATAACTAACTTGTTTCATATACTACAACTGTTTTATCGCAATGGCATAATGTTTTCTTTTTTTTTTTTGTAACAGAAATAAATAAATAAATAGATAAATCGTTAGCTATATTACAGCTATTTATGATAAGGCAGTTTTTCAAGTTGTTTTTGCTGCTGCAAAAAAAAAAGATATACAAAAGACATCCAATGTTAGAGGCGGATTGTAAACTGTTACCAATGTTGATTCAAGATTAAAGGGCTTTTTTACAGTAGAAGTAATTCATTCAGCAGATGTACCTTTTGATTAAATGCGAGTTAATATCATTTCATTAATTATCATTGTTTATATTTTTCATTATATTTATTTATTTTATTTTATTTTATTAATTCCATTTTTTTTTTTTTTTTTTTTGCTACTGGGAATGTTCGTTACCCCTGCCCCATTGGAGTCTATGTGAAAAAAAAACTACACTGATATATACAAGGTGAGAAAAAAACTCAACAGCTATATAGCAGTTGAGTTTTTTTTCTATATGAATCAATGAAAAAAATGTACTGCTATATATCAATACAGTCTTCAAATGCTCATTGAAGTGTACCGAGTATAATGGGTTAGTAAGAACAAAGAAAACATTTGAAATCATGCGATAACATACAATTATCAAAAGTTCACAAATGTTATATTTAAAGGCTATGACTTTACACTGATTTAACCAAAAGTTGTTCTTAAATATGACAATACAGGACACAACTATTCTGATATCTTGTCTTGTTGCAATGGCAACTACAGTTTATGACATTGCAAGAAAATGAAATAATTATTATGATCATTGCAGGTTTCTACATGTAACAGACAGACAGAAAGACAGACAAGAGTATAAGAAAAATTACCTGAGCAAGTATTGCAGAAAGATCTCCAATCAGACCAACTGCTGGTGGAACATTGTTTCCTATCTCCTCTGGGCATATGTCAATCTAAAATATAGATGCCAATTATCTAAATTATAAACATTATTAGCTGTGCAGGAATAACAAAACATTAGAAATTACTGCAGTATACCAATTTTAGTAATAAATTTAAGTTGTTAAACATACATGTATAACTTATTTTAGCTCGCTTGTGAGCTGGAAGCTTATAAGAACCACTATCAAGCAGAGCTGCATCAGTACTAAGGGTGTAGTACTTAAGTACCAGTACCAGTACTTGGCAAATTATGCAGTACCATTACCAGTACCAGTACTAGATTTTAGCTCGGTACTGCAGTACCAGTACTTTTTTTGGTGAAGTAATTAAGTATCAGTACCATTACTTTTATATAGCCATCAAAGTTTGAATAAATACAGTGTCAAACAAATAATTGCAAAATTTTTACATTATTCAGCAAAGAAATAAAATCATAACTTACTTTTAAGCTGCATGCCTCCAGATGACCCAAAATATTTCAAGAAAATTAAACTTGGAAAAAAATTACTAAAACTTTGAGAAAAGTAAACAAATTAAAGATTCAAGTGATAATTTATATCTTATGTGCAATTAATGACTGTATTTTGTAGTATTTATCACTATATTTCTACTGCGTTACTACTTCAGTAGGGGCTATTTATGCATATTTTGACCTCTTTTGGTAATTTACGTGGATTTTAAGTGCCGATTGTAATGTGTCAAGTACTTTCTTTGTTCATTTAACAATTTTTACCTTTAAATACATTTTCAAAATTTCATGAAAATTAGGATGAATCTGGAGGCATGCTGCTTTAAAGTTAACATAACATATTTACAACTTTATAGTTTTAACATACTTTTTACAAACAATATTTACAACATATATTCATGTCATATCTAATTGTTTAGTAACCAGTCAACTGTATAAATACAATGCAAACATCTTTCATTTAAAACACAACAGTCTTTTGTTGCCTTTCACACCTTAACACCTCTGTTCAAATTATACTTGTGCAAATATAAATAACAACTTTTAATGGTGCTAACAATATCACTTTTTTCACTTGAAATGGGATTTTTTAGAATAGAAGAAATTAATTTGTGTTTATTTTGCTCTTTTACTAGTAAATACAAAGAAATAAAAGATTTTAATAAGGATATTTTAGGGTAAAGTGTTATCGAGTTTGTTTATCTTAATTTAATTTTTACTTAAAGTCTTTGGTGCGTTTTATGATGAATACTACATGTATGTTAACATTTGAAGGAATATTGCAGCAAATTATCTTTAGATTTGATAACTTACTTTTTCACAAAAATAAAATATAGTTAATGTAATTTACAGCTTTATTTTATGAGAAAAATTGATGTTATTTTAAATTTTATCAAAACCAAAAGTACTGGGTAATGCAGTAGCAGTACCACTTTTTAAGACAGTAATGCAGTACCAGTACCAGTAGTAGCAAAATTTTGTAAGAGCAATTCAGTATCAGTACCAGTACTTGCAAAATCGCTGCAGTACGTACTGCAGTACCAGTATCAGTACCAGTAATGCAGCTCTGCTATCAAGTCAATCAGTACAAGTGTCATAAGAGGAACAGCTTCTTATAAATTATGACTAGATTCAGAACCTGATCTTAAATATTTAATCCCTTCAACTACCAGCATGCTCACAATATTATATTGACTAACAGAGAATACCCTTATTGCCTTTAACAAAACTGCTAAGACATATATTCTCTTGGGAACTGAAACTCATAAATCTAAGTATTCTATACAAGTTTTTTAGTTAGAGCTACTGTTACTGACATAACATTAAAACTATTGTCAAATCATTAAAAACATGGCATAATTTATATTTTTGGGGCTTTGGGGCTTCTTCATAAAATCGTTATCAACTCCATACAATTATATCTACCTGTATAATTTTGACATCAGGTCTAAATCTAGGTGGTGCTCCAAAATGAAGAATCCAGTTCAGTCTGGCCCCCAGTAACACAATAACATCTGCATCCTTCAATGCTCTGTAAACATTTCATCATATTAATTATTATAACTATTAAATGTTTTACTATTCTATTATTTTCTACATGTGTATCCCACATTTATATAGTGCCTCTTTCATCTGTTAAATACATGCTGATGTAATCACATATTTTTTAACAGATTTAACAGAAGTAACATTCAGCTTTTTTCTAATTTCCATTAATTTACACCCCAAGGGTGGTTGTGGCCAAGTATGAAGACAATGAACCAAGAAATAAAAAAGTTATGATCCAGGTACAAGTTTGCGGACAGCAATGGCACCGGCATCGGCAACGCCGCCAGGACTATAACAATACCTCTACTTTTTTTTCAAAAAAAAAGTTGAGCTAATAAAACCAGTTAGAAAGTAAATGGTTCAATTGACTGAAATCAAAAGAATTCATAATCTTTCTTAATAAATAACTCATTCTTGAAATAGAATAGGAGATATTTAGTTTAATGAATATATTACATAAACATTTAAATCATCTAAGTTTCTCTTTATTAAATCAATGTATGAGAGATGACAATTACAATCTCACATACATATATGAAGACTGTAAATAATCAGTTTATTATAAATGACTTAGACCTCTATAAAACTTCTGATCTACAGAACTGGTTCATTACATGCTAACAGTGAACTCCACGCCCCATGTTTACACAGATTTAAGGATCATGTTCAAGATCAGGTAAAAAAACTAGAAACTCAAATATTCTCCATTGCTTATCCTGATAGATTAAATGTTTAATATTAACTTGATAAAACTGGACTTGAAATAGCATGTTCATGAAAATTTAGAATAAATTTATTGTTATTTTTGCAAGATAATTTTACAGTTTATCAAATTATTGAACTTGATCCTAAAATTGATCCTTATTTTGATCCAATAATTTTTATATTTGTTTTGTTATTTGTTGATTTAATTAAAAATAAAAATTGTTTTTGTTTTGCAAATCAGCAAATTTTTAAATTTTGAATATATACAATTTAATTCTAACAGAATGCAATCAATTTTAGTTTTATAAAACAATGAAAATAAAATCAGGATCATTTGATCCTCATCCTAACCTTTTCTTAGTGAACACTGGGCCAGATATAAAGACAATGTTTAAATGAGCACTATGAGTTCAATGTAAGCAGAGTTTACTGTATGTGGCATAATAAAAATAAGAATACTTCATTACTTGTCTAAATTTCATAATTTAATAAGTATAAAATAAAAATAGATTTGCATGTTTTTTAATTTTACCGTCCTTTATCTTTGATTCACATTTCAAAATCTAGATTAAGTTTAGACAAAATTACCTTAGAGGTTAAAATTAAGATATTAACTTTTTCCTAGGTCATATTCTAGTATGTCTGTCTAAATATAGAACAGTTAAATACTCAGCTTTCCCAGTGTCATAATATAGGATTTGACCTAGTTAAACATACGAAGATGGATACAACTTCAGGAATGTAAACATTCCTTATTTCAGTCTCATAAGTAGGTTTAATTCTAAATTTTGACATAGAAGCCTAGTCTTTAACTTTTCATAAATTACATGCATACAATATTTACATGATATCACACTGTAATCTGGTCTATACTTAATTTATACAGATTCAATTTTCTTATAAAAATTTCAATGGCAAATTGAATGTTTAAAAAAATGTTTCAAATCCTTGTTTCAAATAAAATGGCTGTTTTTAGCAAGTGTCAGTTTGCACAATCTATCTTGTTTGATTCTTTAAATGAAATGATCATTTTTTTTCTTATAAAAGGTTTAACCATTTAAGTAATTAAGGTATTAAGTAATCATTGACTACTTTACGTCTACTAAAAACATATGAATATGAAATAGGAGTAATTCAAGAAAAACTGGTTGAGCGCATGCCTCCTGTAAATATAATATTAACAGTCTAATAATGAGAGGATCATGTAAACTAACTTTTGTCATACTTAGATCTTGCTGGTGCCACACACAGTGGGTGTTCATCTGGTAAGGTACCTTTACCCATGGGTGTAGGAAGGAATGGCAGCTTACAGCCCTCAACAAAGGTTCTCAGTTCATTCTCACATTGAGCATATGCTGCACCTGTAACAGTTTACTATCATTTAAAAAATATTCTGAAAGATTGTTTATAGGTCAAACTATCATGAATAGAAATATTTGATTTTATTTTTTCAAGGAAAAGTTACAATAAAATCTATATGTAATTTGGGTTGATGAATGTGTCATGGCCACTGTTATGTGCCTTTTAACATACATATATAATAACAATTAGTCAATGTTCTGTGGCCTTAATTTTAGATGAAAACATACAGTTGTTACTTATTCTTCAGCATAACTGACTTTACCTTTTCCAACAATAACCAATGGGCTGTTTGCTGAGGCTAACAAATCAATGGCTTTTTTTATATCTGTGGATGTGGCACAAGATTTTGGTGTAGGTGGACATCTAGGGACATATCGAACATCTTTTTCTGGAACTGTGGTCATAACAAAACTTCCTGGCATATCAATGTAAACAGGACCGGGCCGTCCATATATACTGTTCCTGTATGCCTTAAATCGAATTACAAAAGCATTATATCCTTAGCATAGATGTCTACATAAAACTTTTTTTACGCCATGTTTCTGATGTAATGTAAACCCATTAATGCTCATTCTTAGAAGGTGAACATAATGATGAACATATGATGTAATTCATGCTAGAATGAGGTGCCAACAATACTTGAATTACATATAAATTGTTGAAAACTGTTAGAAACAGTAAAGTTCATAGTTTACATACAGTGTATATCCCTCAGTACTTATTTCCATAGGAACTTTAATTCTACAGAGGAAAAAGAGAACACTGATCTAAAACACACAGAAATTTAAGCTGTTATGGTTTGTCTGTACATTATACATGTTGCATTGTTTTCTATAGTGAGATTTTCTATTGATTCACCAGCTTTGTACTTCAAATGCACTAGGTTTGTTCTATATATGTGTAATGAGAGGATGACATAAGATCTAAATTCGAAGCTCTATATATATGAACAATACTTGTTTTGCAATTTTTTTTTAAAAAAACTGAATGAAATAAGCATAATCTCTTTAATTTGCATAGTTGCTTAAAATACTATCCAGTTAGAAGTAAAAAGATGTGATTAACTCCATTGTTAAAATTTTCTCACTTACTTGCACATGTAGACACAGTATCTGAACATTATTGCAAGTTTAAATTGCCACAGAATTAAAGTATGCAGAAATTTAAGACCTTCCCCCTTGTTTTAACAAAAAAGTTGAAAAAACACAGAATATTAAGCCTTCAGATATAAGTACTTATAGGGTAACAGTGTGTGAAGTCCTGTGACTGTTGATATATAAATATATCAATATTATTCAAAGTATTGTATGTCAAGCTTGAATTTTTTTAGGTTTGTTCACTAATATAGAGGCATGCAGCTTTAAACTACCCTTAAAAGAAAAGAAAGTATAATTGTGTAATAACAAAGACTATATGAAGTAAATATTTTATACCTTTTCAACATAGTAAGGAATTCTCTCAATCCTACTAGGCTGACAAGCAAACTTTGTATATAACTTTGAGCATTCTACTTGCGGGTATTCCTGGAATGCCCCCATCTTGTCCTGGTCTCGCTCAGATGAGCCCCCTATTACAATCATTGGCCTAAAGGAAAGTCAAGCTATAATATAGAAAAACTGATAGGGAAAACACTTCATATGTTTCATTAGATAAAAAAAGTTTTATGATATTTTTCAAGATCAAATTTAACTTAGATCTTTAATAAAACATTGTATAAATTAATGTAAGAGTAAATCGCATGCCTGGTAAACAACAGAGCTACCTCTTTCTGAAGTTTTCAATAAATAAAGTTTGGATGATATTGTACCAGTACTTTTTTTTAAGGACAAACAACAAAGGAATGATCCCTGTAAGTCATGGATATTTATAGCATGTATCAACTATTGTGTAGCAGGGGACAAAAACATCCTGAAGAGACAAAAGCGCTTTTTTATTCAAGGGCCATAACTCAGCCATAAATCATTCAACCAGAAACCTATCTAATATGCCAAAGTACTTGGGTTACCGATCAATTATATTTAGTTTCATTCAAATTGCATTGTGGTATTGCATTGACATTTCAAGTTTTAAATAATCTCTACAGGTTCTTATGATGGGATCATCAGGATGGGACAAAGTGATTCCTATATATACTGCCCCCCCCCCTCCTCCCAAACTATGTTCGGTGGTAGTATAAACAAAATTTACATTATGTCAAATACATTTATATTGAACATACCAGCAGTTTTCCATTGCATTAGACATTCCAGCTAAAGCATGAACCAAACCTGGACCTGATACAACAAGGCATCCTGCCGGTCTACAAAGTTAATCATAGACAAATTATTATTATTATTTCCTTTATGATAATTTAATGCATGTAAGCACTTTTTCATCAGTGTTGATAAAGACTTTTTAAACATTTATGGTTAGTTCATTAATGATGATTTTTATAATGAAAATAAACTACCAGTAGGAAGTAAAGCTACAAATTTTGGCAAGAACAATAAACTTACTATTTCTGTAAACTAATATGATTATTTATTATAAACTGACAAACTGTACATACTTTCCAGTCATATAACCAATGGCTGAGGCTGCATAAGATGCCTGTAATTATACATATAATGTATAATGATAATTTATTTTATACTTATATCATTTGATTTTTAAACCTTTATATTGATAGGCACTGGATGTTTAATGCCAGTAGTAACTAATTTGTTATTGAAGTCCTTGCATCCTACAAGATATAGATTATTCATTTCATACCTTTTTTTTATCATAATCAGTGTATTGCAATATATATATTAAATATATTCAATGCTGTTGGTTCAGTCTTAAAAGTATGAACAGCATTAAATTTTAGTTTAAACACTACATAATACATGGATTCAATGCTGTTGGTTTAGTCTTAAAATTAGATTATTTTAAAACATTTTTACTTTAAAGTAAATATTAAAAAAATTGCAAGACTAACAAAATCATAATTTCCAACGGCTGAGATCCTATAGTTTTTGTTGCACTTCACTGAATGCAGAAAATAAGAAATGTAGTACTTACAGCTTGCTCATTTCTCATGGCAATAAACTTGATCCCTTCCTTCTGACAAGCCATGGCCACTTCAATGACCGGGATACCAACAATACCAAACACATACTCAACTCCCTATATGTGGTCAAATAAAACATCATACACAAGACAGAGCATCCAGAAAAACATTCATGATAATGTCAAAATGATGATGGCAATATCTCAAATTACCATTCAAATCTATATAACAAACCTTTTAAATAGAAAGATTTATGATGATAACTACATATTAAATGACAGAGACAAAGGTAGATTTCTTGTTAAAAGTTTGAAATAAGATTCTAACTCAAAGGAAGATTAAAATTTTTATAAGTATACATACACTTGCTAGAGTTAAACACCTTTTTATGTAATATTAGAACATACTTGTCTTTATACATGTTATATGATTCTGCTTTTGATAATATTTTTAATGAAAGAAGGGGACAGCACAGATTGCTTTATCCAGTATTCAGCAGAACAAAGTCTTTGTAATGATTTTAACATAAGCCATCCATGATGAGTGATATACAATGTGAAAGTCAAGTTCAACTTTAAGTTTGTACATAAAATTACATATTTTATCCAATTATGAATTAACAAGTTGGCAACAAATAACAATCCTGAACTCTCAGTCTCTAGCTAGAACTAGAGCTATCAATGAAGGTATTAAATACCCCCACCAGCAACTTTGACTATTTAAAAATAAGAGATCAGAAAAAAAAATTCAACTCAACCTATAGTAAATGAAGTATCAACTGTGTACAAAGAATTATTTCAATTAATTGCAATGCATAGATCCCTGACCTGTCCAATTCTGATTATCAGATTAGTGGATATAATAAGATTTTCACCACAACATTTTGTTAACAAAAAAACATTTGTCAATAAATTATTGATGTTTGCGGGTAAATCTATTGTTATTCAAATAAAAGGTCAGAGTAGGGATCTATCAATACCAATCAGCATCTTCATATAAGATTGCTATACATCAAGTTTGATTACAATATCTCATTCCGAAAGCATTTTTCTATTTTTAGAAATGGTGACAACTCACCTTAACCTTGACCCCCAGGGGTTCCAAATGCAATACCAACCAGCGTCTTCATTTAAGCTTACTATACATTTAGTTTGATTACAGTATCTCATTCTTAACTCTATTGGCCGGAAACCATTTTTCTATTTTGAGTAATGGTGACCTTGACCCCAGGGGGTCTAAATGCAACACCGACCGGGGTTTCCATATAAGGTTGCTATATACAATGTACCAAGTTTAATTACAACACCTCATTCCAAACTTTAGTTATCGTCCGGAACAATGATGTGGACCTAAACCAACAAGCTGACTCCTAGTCCTATATACCCCCTAAACTTCATTTGTGGCAGTATAATAATATTAAGACTATTATTGAGGATACTTGTGAAAAATTTTCCTACAAAACTTAAAATAGTAATTCCTAAATAGTTGTCTGCATTATTTGTATCATCCTTTTTCATACAACATGAATGTATAAATAGGAAAAATTATTCCTTTGCATCAATTTTCTTAAATATTTTTCAAGTCCTTTTGGCTCATTTAGCATTCAAATGACATAATATGAAAGTAACTGGTGTCATATCTTTTTTAAAAATCAAATTATTGTCACATTGCTTACGCTTGTTTTCTTGAAAATCGTGACATTAAAATTAAATACAGATGCAGAAAAAATAGAATCCAACATGAAATTTTTTTAACTGATTATTTCATGATTGTTTAACATGAGACAAACAATGTACAGTAACTACAGAGTATACTGTATTCATAATTATCCGGTAATGCAACATGAATATCGGACAATTAATGAATGGTAGAGCATATTAAAACTGTTTTGGTATATTTGTAAGGTAAGACCAGTGATTATCACTTCTGAGGTCTCCGTTTGATCATAGGGTTGGCAAATTGATTTTCATTACCCCATACCACCCTACCCCAGCCACTCATAACCCCCTCCTCTCAAAACCTGCAGTATTTTCATTTGAAACATGTTTTTATATTTGGTATATGCTTTTAATTCAATTTCTTTCATTTATGAGGTAAAAAAAAAAATGATACATATATATTTTATATTTATACTGAGTATCTTCAGTTTTTTCATGTTTCAGTTAAAATTTCTAAATGTTCTTTTGCTTAATTTAAAATATTAAAACTATCTTTACTTTTTAACTCAAAATTAATTGTTTTAACAAATAAGAACATGTAGAAAATGAAAATTGTTTCTGACTTATGCACAAATTTAACAGACTATAATTTGTTGCTTTTTACAGAATTTTGTAAAATGTTGTTCTGTTTTACATAAAAATCTAGAGATTTAAATTCTTTTGCACAAAAACTTTGTTGTTTTGGTTGTTGTTTTGGTGAAGAAAAAAATATGTCCCAATTATGTACCAATGTTTAACACTGGTCATAAATTAAAAATATTGATATTGTACCCGGTAATTAAAGTGATGACGGCGGAATTAGTTGATGTTGATATGTAGATTTGCAAAACCAAAGAGCACGGACTTTAATAGTCAATATGAGTCCGTGCAAAGAGATTGTTTTCAAACAACTTATTTTATCTATTATAAATGGCAAGCAATTGTCATTCATATTCGATCTAATTTTTGACCCCTGGTGATGTAAAAATGTATAATCTGCTTTAAAAAAAAACTAATTACTAATTCACTGTCAAAATGAGATTTTCTTTCTTAAATTTGATGCATATCAAATATATTTTAAGCAGTTTACCTGGTCTTTCAATGATTTTGCCAAAACGGCACAACCTTCCACTTTTGAATTGTCTGCCATTTTCAGATCATGTGACCTTTCTTTTCCGATCACCTCGGTTATATTCATTATACGGAAACAACCGATGTTTCACGAATGAAAAAACAATTCATGTACCATACCATATTGACTGTAAGCAAACAGACACCTTATTATGATGTTATGAAAATGCAATTGTGTTCCGAAAATAAGCTAACTTTATTTGCAAAAATAAGTCCGTGGCTTGGTTTATTGAACGTAATTAATTTAAAGAAATATATATCACTTCATGAACATATATAATGCAGATTTATGAAAAATATAACCTTCAATGAAGGTAGGAATAATTTCCATACATCTATTTTATTAGGACTTGACTTTGAATAATTTTATCTATCTATCTTCCGTTAATGTCAAACCCATCGCTGGGACATAGACATGTCTGCGCGTCAAAAATCACCAGAAAGTTAAAAAGAGTTGTTTAAAAAGAGGATAAAAGAATATAAAAAACAGGGGACTGGAAAACTAGTATATTACAAGTGAAACTCAGACTCTGTTTTTTTTTCTGAACAGTTACTGACACTCAGCCAAGCAATTGGTGTGTTTACTGGCGATTTATCACATAATTTACATAGTACTTAAGAGGAGGCTTTAGTCGGAGATGGAGGTCCATAGGATAGCAAGAAGACTCTGGCCAATGAAAAACCTTTTCACCAACACCAGTGATTACAGATAGTTAAGATTTATGTGCTCATATTCATATTTGTTAATTTAACTTACAATTGCCTCTGTTTTTATGTAGGCCTATGCATGTATATGTTGTCAATTGTTGTCAATTGTGAGTACTCGTAAAAACATACTTAGCACAAGAAATAAGAATTTTGTAGCGAGAGCCGTTGTTTTTTCTATTAAGCCTTATTTCTATTATTGGGTGTCAACTATCAACCATATGATTACGCGCGGGTTCCTCTTCGAACGCCATACCCTCCGAGTGAGAAATCACGTAATCGTGACAAATATATATATATATATATATATATATATATATATATATATATTCACTAGAACACAAACATGCAATTTATTTAACCCTTTCCCCCATGAGCATATTGTGAAAAATGGCCATTTTCACTGAAAAGCCTCCTCTTACAAGTTCAAACTGCTATGAAACTATGAAAAATGCTTCAATACTAATCAAACTTGGCACAAATGTTGACTTGACCATTGCCTTTGTAACGACATGCCCAGTCTTAAATTTCCTGTTACCATGGCAACGAGGGGACATCTCAAAATTGCCAAAAATCACTATTTTGCCTCGATTTTTTCCATCAAAATTTATTTCAAAGTGCTGCAACTTCTCAAGGGATTGAGATAGAGTCAAAGGCTTTACAGCGTTGGTTACACGCTACCTTATGATCGACCTGGGGTCATTTAAATAAGCCTCTCACAAGTCCATAATTTTCTCAAACGAAAACGTGTTTGGGGCCCAAATAAGACGTATTTTCACTATTTCAGGCCTAAAAAAAGGGGGGGGGGGTCGAAAGTGCGTTGTTTCGCGTATATATGAGGTAAAAGGTTAAGTGCAAGTATTTAAAGGTACTGCTGTTTCCGTTGAATTGATATCACCTTGTCTTAATCTATACTCTGTCACAAACCATAAATTTCTTTCAAAAATCTTTCTCGATCTGATCATTAAAACCTCTTCATTCATTTGAAAGTGTTTACTATGAGCACATCTCAAGCATTGTGTTCACATTAAATTACAATAAAACGAAAATAGATTATGTTCTATGCATGGTAAAATACAATTGCATTGCATATCATTTCCTCAAGTATTTAAGGAAATGCATATCTAAAAATTCTAAAGGAACATCATTTCAAGGTCAAAAATTTTTAATTTCCCCAAAAGTGTTTTTTTTAGAACCCCTTTTATGAGAAAAAATTGTTTAACAAAATAAAATATATGGATCCCAAAAAATTTTCTTTTTTTGCTAAAAAATATTTCTTTTACCATAAAAAATTTTGTTTTTAAAAACGATAAACCCAATTTTTTCCCATTTTCCCCCCCAAAATAAAGCCCATATTCCACATCAAATTTTCTATTGTGACGGGGCATTATTTGGGCGAACACCCCTCAATGAATTTCCCCTTTAAAACCAAAATTTAATTAATATTATTTTTGATAGATTATTTTAAAACATTTTAATTGCCAAAAATTTTTTTTGTCTTTATATTTAAAAACAAGGCATCAATTTGCTTTGTTTGTACCTTCGTATTCTTTACAACTGGAAGCAAAAATTCAATTGCTTTTATGTCACCGCGACCAGAACCCATAAACAACATTTCTAACCCAAACCCAGAATTTGTAAAATGCCCTTTAAACAATATTTATTTTCCTTTTCAAGATATGCATTGTTGATTACAAAACTAATACAAGGTTATTCTTTGTTTGCTTTTGTTAGTTTTCAAAATAGATTTCATACTCGTTAACATCATAGTTATATTTCTCGTACAATCATCAGTCTAAATAATCAATGCAGTAGTCTGACCTTATCTAAAACAATTGGTATGGCAAAGTAAATCCAATTATTTTACTCGAGTTACACAGACGATATGCTACATGTAATCAAGCGTCTAAGCGTCATTACAAAATGCAGAAAAGTTGTCTTCTTTGCATGTGTAAATCATTAGCTTTAAATCAATTTCGGTCAGCTAAAAACTTACCCAAAGTAAGTTATAACAAAAAGTGCATCTCAGTAATGTTCATGCACACCTTCATTTATTGACTCCTATCAAAGCTATAGGCTGTTCAGGTAAATGGCCTCTCGGCCCTATGGCTATGTCAACTCGGCACGGTCAACTCAGGGAATGTCAGACGTTTCACTCCCAAGACGTTTCACTATTGAGACATTTCACTCCCAAGACGGTTCACACCTAGACGTTTCACTCCCATTATGTCAATTGTATGGACGTTTCACTCCCAATTTTTAGAGATGTTTACTAGGAAAGTTAACAAATTTTAATTTCATTAATATCAAAGTTTAACAGTGTAAAATAATTTAATTTGATGTTTCATTTTGTTGATTTCAATGGTATTGTTAATTTGAATTATTAGAAGATTACTCTTTAATTATGGGTTGAGTGATAAGAGGTGTAAATGAAAGACAAATTTCTGAAATATCACTTTTATTATAAGTGTAACAACATGAGAAAATTCTATTTACTGGGTAGGAACTAGTTTCCGGACAATACCAGTTTCCGGACAAGTATTATAACGGCTTAATTTTGGCTTTATCGATGACGATCGGTATTTTATGTCATGCAGATGCTTGGTTTGATTGTTTTAGAAAAAAAACTTCCTTCCAAGTTGATACATCATTAAAATTTCGTGAGGATATCTTACCTGTGTTTTAAAAACAGCCTTATATCCCTTTGGGGCATGTAATTTGTTCTGCGCATGCGCAATATTTTGTTTATTTCGGGATATAATTTGGGCACAATGTACTTCATTCGAAGTTCATTGGGTGTAATTCCCCAGAGCTAAATCTGTAACGTATCGGAAAACGGTGTTTAGCTAGGTTTACTCCACTTTCGCACTTCGTTGCTGCCGTACACACAAAAATATCCGTTTCACTTTTCAGTCATTCCGAGACCCATCACGTGATCGTTATTTTTCCTATTATAAACATTTTTCAGTAAATCAGCTTAATTAAATAAGAAAGCTTATATGTGAGAAGAAATTTTTTGTTATATTAGAATAATTATCAGATATGAATAGCAGCTTAATATATGTCCGGAAACTGGTTCTGCAAGAGTGAACAATTTACACTTTTGATGACCTAATCTAACCCTTCAGTTTGTACATTGCTTACGTCACCAGGCAGTATTAATTGTGTTATCGGACGTAGTTAGAGCTCAGGTTTTTGGTATGTTAGTTTTATTATGCCCCCACAATGTGGGTGCATATAGCGTTGCACTTGTCCGTCCGTCAGTCAGTCCGCACTCACAGGAGAGTAATTATGTGGCTAGAGGGACAATAGGTTCTCTTTGATGTCATTCATTCCGTAATGCTTTTATGTGGCTATTTTCTTTTGCGTGGCTAAAAGAACAATAGAGAGAACAATAGAGTAGCCACATAATTACTGTCCTGTGAGAACGTCCGTCCGTCAGTCCGTCCGTACGTCCCGAAATCTTGTGAACGCAACTCCTCTTAAACTGTATGGCAGATTTTGCTTAAACTTACAGGGATGAACAACCTTAATGTGTAGATGGTAGTAAAGGAAGGAATTTTCGCTGCGACCAAATTTAACAGAATTATGGCCCTTTGTTGATTTTTTCACTATATACTATGTAGAAATTTTGTGAACGCAACTCCTCTTAAACCGGATGGCAGATTTTGCTTAAACTTACAGGGATGAACAACCTTAAGGTGTAGATGGCAGTAAAGGAAGGAATTTTCGCTGCGACCAAATTTAACAGAATTATGGCCCTTTGTTAATTTTTTCACTATTTACTATGTAGAAATTTTGTGAATGCAACTCCTCTTAAACCGGATGGCAGATTTTGCTTAAACTTCCAGGGATGAACAACCTTAATGTGTAGATGGCAGTAAAGGAAAGAATTTTTGCTGCAACCAAATTTAACAGAATTATGGCCCTTTGTTGATTTTTTCATTATATACTATGTAGAAATTTTGTGAACGCAACTTCTCTTAAACCGGATGGCAGATTTTGCTTAAACTTCCAGGGATTAACAACCTTAATGTGTAGATGGTAGTAAAGGAAGGAATTTTTGCTGCGACCAAATTTAACAGAATTATGTCCCTTTGTTGATTTTTAGTTTTCAACTTGTGGCACATGTAGTCCAAAAAATATTTGACCTAGAGTCATAAGATTGACAGAACAGTGACGTGTGGGGGCATCCGTGTCCTATGGACACATTTCTAGTTAATGCAGGTTTATTATTAAAAAAATAAACAATTAAAAAAACTCGAATTCTGTCCGGAAACTGGTTCCTGCCCAGTATAGTAAATTAAAAAAAAATAGAATAACATAGAAAGAACAACAAAGACAAATTATAAGAATCAGTTTAAATATTAAAATCACTACCAGTAAAGTAATTAATATTATTCAATAATAAAAAATATCAGTATATTAAATATATTGACTATATAATGATTTTTTTTGTAAGTCTAAAACAATGAAATGCGAAAAAATGTGTATAAAATAAATTATCTTTTAAAATTATTTTCTTCATCAATTTATTAAACAGTAGCCATTAAACAAACTTATGTAATTGTGGTGTTATCTCATCGCCTAATTAGTTGTATAAACACTGAGACAATCAACTAACAGTTTGACACCATTATTAAATCAGTTGTATAAACACTGCACTTAAGCATCAACAGTTTACTAATCAGTGGTTTATTTAACCATTAAAATATTTTTTGACAACACCCAATTTAAACAGAAACTTCTCCATAAGTTTTGTTTATATAATAATGAATTTTAGTCACAGAAAAAATGATTATACATGACAAATATTGAAAAAGTCCCAATGTTTCTAATTTAATTTAAAGATATTTCTGATTTCAATGGCCATTAAATTTTTTTACATATATCGCAAAAGCACTATGCTAGCATTAAATAATTTAACAATTTTGTATCCCATGTTTAAAATTAACGACAAAAACAAAAAACAACACGTTACTCAAAGTTAATTGTTGTCACAAGATTGTTATGCTTTAAATTAAAATTGCCTATTGAGTCCATGTTTACAAAAGATCAAATAGTTAGTTATATTAAAATGTTATTTTAATCAAAAATATTTTTTCTTTAAGTGAAATAATGTTATAATTGCACATATGGATCAAAGAATAGAAAAACACCTGATTTCAAAACAACAATAAAGAAGATAAGATAACTGAAATGATACAACTTAAAGTACTGAGTTTTAAGTCGTTGACAAAAAAGTGAAATCCCCTTTTTAAATTTATTTTTATTAAATTTAAGGTCTATTTTAGTTCAATTCAATATTTTAGGTCTATTTTAGTATATCATAAGTATCAAAATAGTTTTGGTATAAAAAAGAGTTTGGGAGTGAAACGTCTTGGTGTGAACCGTCTCAATAGTGAAACGTCTGTCTACCCAACTCGGGCAGCCCTATATTAAAACATCTTTAAGGATATAGATTGTTTAGTTAATACAACTACTAAAAATACTTTAAATTACTATAAAACTGGAAAAGTAATTATTAAGAGATCAAGTGCTAACAATCACAATAGAAATTGAAAAAGTCGGCAACATATTTTTAAAAATTATCTTTCACTTTGTTACATAAAAGGAGAGATATCAAGACAAAAAGTTTTAAAACTGATCCATTAATAAAGTTAAGGATTGAATTTTATGATAATAACACTGTTAATTCCATAGCAAAGTACTAATACGTACATGTAAGGAAGTAAAATATGTAATGTCTATAATTAGGCAAGTTAATTAAGTATTAAGTTTGAACAGAACATTTACGTCATAATGTATATTTACCTTTAATCCTATTAGGAAGTTGATTATCACCTATTACCTACTATAAACACACATGTTTATCATAGATAAAAGGTGTTTATTGACTGTCTAATTAGATGTCAGTCACTAGCCTTTCGATCCAGTAAAAATATTTGATTTTCACACTTGATTTAAGAGGACTCACAAGAACATAGCATATCATTATTCAAATTAGATCTAGGACAAAAATACTTATTATTAAAAGTCATTTTTTGTCCAATATTAGATTAAAAAAAGAAAGATATGACGCAAATAAATAATGAATAATAACCAGTAAAACATAATTATGGGTCGAGTTGATCAGTGCCAAGTTGGTATAGGGCTGAGATGACTCTGGGGCCGAGTTAGTTTTAGGGCCAAGTTGACCCAGATTCCTCTGTTCAGATTACTGCTGATCTTGCCATGTTACAACCCGGTAAAACTAAGTAAAGTGATTACGCCACGGTGTCAGAAATTTCACTTTCAAGACTGGTCATGAATAGCTTAACAGCTTAAGGTACATGTAGTTACAACTAAGAGTGAGTGTTGGGTTTATTTACCCTCGCCACCGTTATAAAACGAAGAACATGTGGGCGAGCATGTAGATAAATAGCTCCCTGCTTACTGTGACGGGATGGGTAGCGGGTACACTGAAGGCAAAACCGTAGGGTTCACCAATAATCATGCTAGGAATCTGGCACATTTGTATTCATTCATGAACCAATCCTCAGGCTTTTTATTTTTATCCGATTGGCGATCCAAACTATGGGTTAAAATCGGTTGTATTTTCTACCTGCAATGTTTCAGCTACTCTGCATTTCTTGCATTTTTGACGCAATAATTTCATGAATGACACATTGAAATTTACAAAATGTGTTTTCTATGATGCAATCCTAATACACATTAATTGGATGTCTTTTCATTAATTTATTTCACCTATTATTAGTGCTATCCCATTTAAATCAGCAATTATTGTTCGAGTATCCAAAATTTATTTATTTTAAGTAACTTCTTGACGTTGTATGTATAAATTGCTAACTGATTCTGCGTCATGATCGGCACATTTTTTGTCCGACATAACCGTTCTACAATCAGTCATGGTATTTGGGATTTACTCATGCATGGTCTGGGTAAACAAGTGATTTGTGCATGCAGTTGCTTTTCTCACAATGGTAAAGACACCACGGAAGATAAGGGCTTTTAAAGTGGCCAAAATATCAAAGTTTCTGCAATTAAACAGATGTCTGACAGGTTAAATGTTTTAATACAAATAAGCCTTGGTTCTTCCTTGGTAGATTTTTCCTTTGCAACCGCAAAAAGTGAGAATTTGAAGTTAACATGTGAAATCAAACAGTTCTGAGATTTGCTTTTGTAGTTTTTACTTTTTTAAATTTGAGCCTTCATAATTTTTAATGACCCCCATATTTTTATACAGAGGGTCACAATTGACCCTAAAAAAATCTAGTCTGGCAGAAACACTGAACCTGTATATTAAAGTATCACCCTTGACCCTATTAGATTAATCAAAAATACTCTAAATTATCTCATTCAAGCAGATTTAATCGGAGCAAAGATAAGGATACGAAGAATTTATATACACAACATAATGACTTAATAGGTAATGTAAATGAAACTAATCAAGGTCTAACAGACAGATAGATAAACAAACGTTCATTTGATGTGACTTAGTGACTTACATATGAAAGGTGTTGACTATAGGACAGGGACCAATTTAGGGCACCCAACGATAATCTATTAATAAACCAAGTATTGAGATATAAAAACTTATTTTGAACATAAACAACGTAATAATTTCCGATAGGTGAAAATATTCACCAATGATTTATAAAGTACGAAAGTTATCAACATGAATCTTAGAATACTTGTTTGTTATGGCAACGCACAGTTAAAAGATGGTAAAGGGTCAACATGGCCCTCAAATAAAAACCTACAAGGATATAGATTCTTAGTTAATAACTTTTTAAGGAGTATATTACTATAAAATTATTAAGAGATAAAAAGTAAATTGCTATAAAATTATTTAGAGATAAAAAGTAAATTACTATAAAATTATTCAGAGTTAAATAACTAACAAATAAAAATAAATGTAGGCAGCATCAGAGACTTGTATTACAAATTTGTAAATATAGCTCTGTGGCAGTATTGTTTGAAATTATCTTTGTTTAGAAGACAAAATAAGATAAGATGTTTTATGATTGGTTCATGAATAAAGTTTTTTTTATTGACTCATGCAAATCTCGGTTTGAAATTTAATTTTTTTTTTAGAAAAGAACGGTTCGATTTTTTGATAGCCTTAGGATACATGTAAGAGGAGGTGCTGGAGGACAGGGGTTTCAAAGATATGGCGGTATTGGTGGGAAAGGAGGGGATGTTATTGTTAGAGCATCCAAGAAGGTCAAGTTAAAAGAACTTCCTGAGTTAAATCCTGCACAAAGATACACTGCACAGACTGGAAGTGACAGCTCGTAAGTTGTTTGTTATATGTTTCACTTCATTGACTAAGCAGTATTTGTCTATTTGATATGAATTGTTAACCAGTATCAAAGGTTTGATCCAATACATTAAATGAAACATTTGAGGTCTGTTGGATTATTGTTTGGTCACAGTCATTGACTTAACACATGTAAAATAACTTGTAAAATGTGATAAAATTACATTAAAAGTATGAAGAATAATACAACTAAATAATCCTTGTTGTTATCCAGATGCAGATTGATCATCCCACTTGTTGTGTACAAGTATTTGCATGAGCAATATGGAGTTATGTGGAACATCTTGTTTATATCTATGTTTCTGGTATGTCTTTCAGGAAGAGATTATTGCTAGGCCCTCCTGGTGAGGATGAGATAATACCAGTCCCTGTAGGTGTTACTGTAGCCACTGATGAAGGACGTATTATAGGTATGTTATTGTAACCACTGATGAATACATTATATGTATGTTACTGTAACCACTGATGAAGGACGTATTATAGGTATGTTACTGTAACCACTGATGAAGGACGTATTATAGGTATGCACTGTAACCACTGATGAATACATTATATGTATGTTACTGTAACCACTGATGAACGACATATTATACGTATGTTACTGTAACCACTGATGAACGACGTATTATAGGTATGTTACTGTAACCACTGATGAACGACGTATTATAGGTATGTTACTGTAACCACTGATGAACGACGTATTATAGGTATGTTACTGTAATCACTGATGAAGGTATGTTACTGTATCCACTGATGAAGGACGTATTATAGGTATGTTACTGTAACCACTGATGAAGGACATATTATAGGTATGTTATTGTAACCACTGACCATGGACGTATGATACGTATGTTACTGTAACCACTGATGAAGGACGTATTAAAGGTATGTTACTGTATCCACTGATGAAGGACGTATTATAGGTATGTTATTGTGACCACTGACCAAGGACTTATAGTAGGTATGTTACTGTAACCACTGATGAAGGACGTATTATAGGTATGTTACTGTAACCACTGATGAAGGACGTATTATAGGTATGTTACTGTAACCACTGATGAACGACGTATTATAGGTATGTTACTGTAACCACTGATGAACGACGTATTATAGGTATGTTACTGTAACCACTGATGAAGGACGTATTATAGGTATGTTACTGTAACCACTGATGAACGACGTATTATAGGTTTGTTACTGTAACCACTGATGAAGGACGTATTATAGGTATGTTACTGTATCCACTGATGAAGGACGTATTATAGGTATGTTACTGTAACGACTGATGAAGGACGTATTATAGGTATGTTACTGTAACCACTGATGAACGACGTATTAGATGTATGTTACTGTAACCACTGATGAACGACGTATGAAACGTATGTTACTGTAACCACTGATAAAGTACATATTATAGGTATACTACTGTAACCACTGATGAAGGACGTATTATAGGTATGTTACTGTAACCACTGATGAACACATTATAGGTATGTTACTGTAACCACTGATGAAGGACATATTATAGGTATGTTACTGTAACCATTGATGAAAACATTATAGGTATGTTACTGTAACCACTGATGAAGTACATATTATAGGTTTGTTATTGTAACCACTGATGAAGGACGTATTATAGGTATGTTACTGTAACCATTGATGAAACATTATAGGTATGTTACTGTAACCACTGATGAAGTACATATTATAGGTATGTCACTGTAACCACTGAAGAAGGACGAATTATAGGTATGTTACTGTAACCACTGATGAACACATTATAGGTATGTGACTGTAACCACTGATGAAGGATGTATTATAGGTATGTGACTGTAACCACTGATGAACACATTATAGGTATGTTACTGTAACCACTGATGAAGGACGTATTATAGGTATGTTACTGTAACGACTGATGTACACATTATAGGTATGTTACTGTAACCACTGATGAAGTACATATTATAGGTATGTTACTGTAACCACTGATGAATACATTATAGGTATGTTACTGTAACCATTGATGAACATATTATAGGTTTGTTATTGTAACTACTGATGAACACATTATAGGTATGTTACTGTAACCACTGATGAAGATATTATAGGTATGTTATTGTAACCACTGATGAACACATTATAAAGTATGTTACTGTTACCACTGATGAACACATTATAAAGTATGTTACTGTTACCACTGATGAACACATTATAAAGTATGTTACTGTTACCACTGATGAACACATTATAGGTATGTTACTGTTACCACTGATGAATACATTATATGTATGTTACTGTAACCATTGATGAACATATTATAGGTATGTTACTGTTACCACTGATGAACACATTATAGGTATGTTACTGTAACCACTGATGAATACATTATATGTATGTTACTGTAACCACTGATGAAGGATGTATTATAGGTATGTTATTGTAACCACTGATGAACACATTATAGGTATGTTACTGTAACCACTGATGAACAAATTTTAGGTATGTTACTGTATCCACTGATGAACACATTATAAAGTATGTTATTGTAACCACTGATGAACACATTATATGTATGTTACTGTAACCACTGATGAACACATTATAGGTATGTTACTGTAACCACTGATGAACAAATTTTAGGTATGTTACTGTATCCACTGATGAACACATTATAAAGTATGTTATTGTAACCACTGATGAACACATTATATGTATGTTACTGTAACCACTGATAAACACATTATAGGTATGTTACTGTAACCACTGATGAAGGACGTATTATAGGTAAGTTACTGTAACCACTGATATAGGATGTATTATAGGTATGTTACTGTAACCACTGACCAAGGACATATTATAGGTATGTTAACGTTGTTAAGAAACATGGAAACCTCTGTGACAGAGTGGTCAAAGTTGCTTACATTAAAAATACATGATTTGTACAGGCCTTAAAGAGTAAAAAAAAATTGTCACTTCTATAAACAAAATCTGGTTCTAGTCTTATGCATGTTGTGGTCATGAAAGATATAAATACACTTTATAAAATGAAATATAAAAAAATCTCCTCAGAAACTACAATGCCCATACAATTTGTAATACAGCACCACCGTGTTGGGCTTCACAAATTCCATTAGAAATATGTAGCTGCACCATACTTCCCAATCACCCCTCAATACAAGTACTTAATTAGCTATTATCAGACAACAAATATGATCACTTATTGCTCTTACATTGTATGTCTCAATGAATAATTTGTTTGTCAGGTGACCTTAATGAAGAAGGACAAGAAGTTATTGTTGCACATGGAGGAGAACCTGGAGGTCCGGGAAATAACTACCATGGAAAGAAGGGCGAGGCTCTTTCAGTTAAATTAGATCTAAAACTGATTGCTGATATTGGATTAGTTGGGTAGGCCTTTTTTCACTTTCTATATTGGAACATTTAATTAAATGTATACTTTGTGATTTACAGTTATTACAGATTATAACGATTGTAAGTCATCAGTCATTTCTGATTTTTATAGTCGCGAAGAAACTTCAGGACACTTAATGGTATGCCATTATCCGTCTGTTGTGTTTATATTTGGTATGTAAGTATTCTATATCAAAGCACAAGTCATGTTTGATTTTCATCAACTAATTATTGTGTTTTACCCACTTTCTAATCAATTTTTAAGTGAAATTATTGGTTTTCCACAAGATAACTTTGGAGGGGTTTCAAATTTTATAACCAGGTTTTCAATTTTGCAATCTGGCATGTGGCTGGGCCAAAATGGTTTCCAGGGAAAAAACTAAAATCAGATTGACTTATCTTAATCAAACTTAGTATATAGCAAGCTTATGTGAGAACACTCATAGGTTTTGGGGCCCATAGGTCAAGGTCACTATTATTAAAATTAGAGGAATGCCCCTTTTTAACCAAATTACCTTTGCATAAATGTGTTAGACACAATGATCACATGTTGTGCATACAAGTCAGATTTCCAGTTCAAAGGTCAAGGTCACATTTGTGCATTAAACATTGCGATACTGAGTAGATGGTCTTCATTGTTATTCATGGACTTTAAAATAAATATACATAAATATGCTGCTTATTAAGATGAGGTGAAGTGAAAATAATTTTGTTCAGCAGACAAAAAGACCAGTCCAGGTAGAAAAGTGAAGTTTATACTTGAACATCAAGATAGTACAATGATTGTTGTGACTTGTCGTATCTCTTTCATTCATCCACAAATGCTTTAAAAAAAAATTATGCTCACTGAGAATATGACAAAGTAACTGTTAATGTATATTCATGTAACACTGTTTTTATAAAAGTACACCTTTGTTTTAGTGAAAGTGATTGTTCCATTACTGGGCTCTGCTTGGGGAGCATTTGTCGGTCTTGTTACTAATTGATATATACTTTTTTTTGTTTTACAGATTCCCAAATGCTGGAAAGTCAACATTTTTATCTGCTATATCAAGAGCTTCACCAAAAATTGCAGAATACCCATGTAAGTACCGTGTAGTATAGTCTTTTTCATATTCTACAATATTTATACCCCCAAAAACGAAGTTTGAGGGGGTATATAGGAGTCACCCGGTGGTCGGTTGGTCGGTCGGTCGGTCGGTCCAGACGTCCGTTGCATTTTCCTTGTCCGGACCATAACTTGAAGACTAATGGTTGGAATTCAATATAACTACATACAATGGTCAAGCACATTGAGAGGAAGTGCAGTGCACAAGAACCATAACTCTATCTTGACTAATTACAGAGTTATTGCCCTTTGTTACTTTTCCTTGTCCGGGGCATAACTTGAAAACTACTGGTTGGAATTCAAAACAACTTCATACAATTGTCAAACACAATAAGGGGAAGTGCAGTGCACAAGAACCATAACTCTATCTTAAGTAATTACAGAGTTATTGCCCTTTGTTACTTTTCCATTGCTTTCTTTTGTCCGGACCATAACTTGAAGACTAATGGTTGGAATTCAATATAACTACATACAATGGTCAAGCACATTGAGAGGAAGTGCAGTGCACAAGAACCATAACTCTATCTTGACTAATTACAGAGTTATTGCCCTTTGTTACTTTTCCTTGTCCGGGGCATAACTTGAAGACTAATGGTTGGAATTCAAAACAACTTCATACAATTGTCAAACACAATAAGAGGAAGTGCAGTGCACAAGAACCATAACTCTATCTAAAGTAATTACAGAGTTATTGCCCTTTGTTACTTTTCCATTGCTTTCTTTTGTCCAGAGTATAACTTGAAGACTAATTGTTGGAATTCATTATAACTTCATACAATGGTCAAGCACATTGAGAGGAAGTGCAGTGCACAAGAATCATAACTCCATCTTGACTAATTACAGAGTTACTGCCCTTTGTTACTTTTCCATTGCTTTTTTTTGTCCGGAGCATAACTTGAAGACTAATGGTTGGAATTCAATATAACCTCATACAATGTTCAAGCACATTGAGAGGAAGTGCAGTGCACATGAACCATAACTCCATCTTGACAAATTACAGAGTTATTGCCCTTTGTTACTTTTCCTTGTCCAGAGCATAACTTGAAAACTACTGTTTGGAATTCAATACAACTTCATACAGTTGTCAAGGACATTAAAAGGAAGTGCAGTGCATAAGAGCCATAACTCCATTTTGACAAAATACAGAGTTACTGCCCTTTGATACTTTTCCTTGTCTGGAGCATAACTTAAAACGTACTGGTTGAAATTCAAAACAACTTCATACAATGGTCAAGCACAAAAAGAGGGAGGAAGTGCAGTGCACAAGAACTATAACTCTATCTTCAGTATTTATAGAGTTATTGCCCTTTGTTCCTTTTCTTTGTATTTTTGGACTTATTACAGAGTAATTCAATAAAACTTCTTCAATGGTCAACCACATTGAAAGGAAATGCAATATACAAGAACCACAACTATCTTTAATTGCCCACAACCATAACTCTATATTTCAATTCTTTTACAGGGTATTCTGTTACTAGTAACATCCTCATTTCCGAAGCAGTCTTGTGGGGGTATTAATCGCATTTAGTGATAGTTCTAGTTCTATTTAATGATATATTTTAGATATGGTATAAACTTAATGATATTTACATTTCATATAGACTCCATTATATATAATGACCCAGTCTTAAAACGGGGAGTGGGGGCATACAGTCTTACCTTAGTGCGAGTGTGTGAGGCGTAAACAATTTCTTCTGTGTGCAACTCCTACATTTCTCAACAGATTTTGACCAAACTTTCACAGAAGCTTTGTCATCAAGTGCCCTGGCGCATGCAGTGATTTTTTTTCCAATGTTCAAAACAACCTGTGGCTTTCTTAAGGGGGAAAATATAGCGTGATAAATCAGAAAAGGGGAAATCAAATTCCAACAACTGAGAATTGAATTTACCCACACATTTTATAACAAAAATTTAATTTCAATTCAATTTAACATGCATGGTACATAGCAGAGGCTATTATGGACAGCTCTCTGTCTTCTAGCTGATATAATAAGTCAGATGCTGTTAAGTTATGGTTCTGGTGAAGAAGTGCACAGGGCATTACAAGGGAAAATATTAGCTTTTTTGGGGGAAAATATACCTGTTTTGAGCTAGGGGAAACAGCCTTTATTTGGCTGTAAAATACAGGGGAAAAAATCATGGGCATGTTGTCGGGGTTTGGTCATAGGATAATATTTGACCTAAGGATGGCCCTTTGTTTTTTTTCCTTATATAGATTATACAAGTATAGTGAACAATTTCTTCTGTGCGCAACTTCTCCTACATTTCTCAACGGATTTTGACCAAACTTTCATAGACTAGTTGTCTTCAAGTGCCCTGATGCATATTTTCAGGGTTTTGTGATTGGATAATATTTGACCTAATTATGGCCCTTTGATTTTTTTTCCTTATATAGATTATATAGTGAACAATTTCTTCTGTGCACAACTTCTCCTACATTTCTCAACGGATTTTGACCAAACTTTCATAGACTAGTTTTGTCTTCAAGTGCCCTGATGCATATTGTCGGGGTTTTGTGATTGGATAAGTTTTTACCTAATTATGGCCCTTTGTTTTTTCCATAAAATTTAATTATTAGTGTAATATATCCTTTTAATCACAACAAACTTTATTTAGTTATAAAACAGAAACTATCTAGGTTGTTGCACGCCTGCCAGCTCATCTGCTTGCTTTTGGGTCCTGTAGAGTCAAGGTCATTGTTGCTAAAAATAGAAAATCTGTTTCCAGTCAGGTCACTGTTACTAAAAATAGAAAATAGGTTTCCGGGCAATAACTAGTTTGGAATAAGATATTTTTATGAAATTTGCTTTAAAGCAAGTTTTTATAAAGACCTCACTTGGGGTGGCTTTTGGGCCCCCTATGGTCAAGATTACAATTTTTAAAAATAGAAAATTCATTATTCATGATTTACATTGCACATAGTTACATTGTTTGTTGCATGTATTTGTATTTCAACTACAACATATTTATCTACAATGGTGATAATTGAAAACCTGGTTTTGTGGCATTGCCATGTTTCTTGTTATTAAATTAAGTGCATAATGTATATTGCAAAGTGAGAACTATTTTATATACATGTACACAATGTATATTATTTATGTAAATGATTTTGTGTTTAGAAATAATCAAAATAAAGAAAATATTTAAAATGTTAGTTTTTATCATATTCCTTAACTGGCTGGTTTTAGCATTGCTGATTATATTTTAGTTTTTCCCATCGCCATCCTTCCTTGACCCTCCAAATGTTATATTTAATATATTCTGATAACGTTACTTTTTAATATCATCTTCATACCAACATGATAAATGATAGAGTCATTTGATTTGTTTTATATAAATTAATTAATTAGATGTTTATATATTGTTTTATTTGTAGTTACTACTATCAGACCACAAATAGGTGTCATGGAATTTCCTGACTTTAGAAAGGTAATAATTGTATGTTCAAGATTTTGTAGGGTTTTGTATATAATGAAACTACGTGCGGTAACATATTTGCCCACATATTTTTTTGGATATAGTTGTTTTGCTGTTTTTCAGCCACTATTCTGTCTTTGAACATGGCTCAGCTCAATGTACGGTAGTGATTCATCTGTAGGATTCAGTTGTAAATAATTAAAACAGTTGTAAAACTGTTATTAGTATGTTGTTGCAATATATATTGTAGTTTAATTGCAAATCATTGGCTATATCCTGGAATAGACCATGGGTCTAAACCAGGAATATATATAAGGTTAATTCCGTTTTCTTTAGTTAGTTCTTTATATACATGTTTTACTCCTAAAAAATACATAAGGGTCTAATCCAGGAGATTGCCAACTGTATTTGGTAATAAAACAGTTATTTCATGGGTGTTTGTGAAACAGTCAAAACTGTTGCCCCTAGGAATCAGGGATAACATTTGAACTGTTGCCAGAGGCCAAAGGTGGAGGAGAACAGTTCAAAATGTCATCCCTGATACTGACGGACAACAGTTTACTGTTCCACAAACATCCTTGAAATAACTGTCTACTGTTTCCTTCTGAAACATTAACACTGTAAAAAATATATCATAAATTTATTACTATATACCATGAAAAATTAGGTCATGTACAGTATCTGCTCTACCAGATCTGATTAAAGGGGGCACATGTTTATGTATGCACATTAACATAGATCTCATGTTGAATATTGCAGTAGTAGATCTGTCAGGACTGATTTAGGGGGCATACATTAACTGTAGATCTTGTTGTTATTGTAGATTACTGTAGCAGATTTACCAGGACTGATTTAGGGGGCATACATTAACTGTAGATCTTGTTGTTATTGTAGATTACTGTAGCAGATTTACCAGGACTGATTTAGGGGGCATACATTAACTGTAGATCTTGTTGTTATTGTAGATAACTGTAGCAGATTTACCAGGACTGATTTAGGGGGCATACATTAACTGTAGATCTTGTTGTTATTGTAGATTACTGTAGCAGATCTGTCAGGACAGATTTAGGGGGCATACATTAACTGTAGATCTTGTTGTTATTGTAGATAACTGTAGCAGATTTACCAGGACTGATTTAAGGGGCATACATTAACTGTAGATCTTGTTGTTATTGTAGATTACTGTAGCAGATCTGTCAGGACTGATTTAGGGGCATATATTAACTGTAGATCTTGTTGTTATTGTAGATTACTGTAGCAGATTTACCAGGACAGATTTAGGGGCATACATTAACTGTAGATCTTGTTGTTATTGTAGATTACTGTAGCAGACTTACCAGGACTGATTTAGGGGCATTCATTAACTGTAGATCTTGTTGTTATTGTAGATTACTGTAGCAGATCTATCAGGACTGATTTAGGGGGCATACATTAACTGTAGATCTTGTTATTGTAGATTACTGTAGCAGATTTACCAGGACTGATTTAGGGGGCATATATTAACTGTAGATCTTGTTGTTATTGTAGATAACTGTAGCAGATTTACCAGGACTGATTTAGGGGCATACATTAACTGTAGATCTTGTTATTGTAGATTACTGTAGCAGATTTACCAGGACTGATTTAGGGGTATATATTAACTGTAGATCTTGTTATTGTAGATTACTGTAGCATATTTACCAGGACTGATTTAGGGGGCATATATTAACTGTAGATCTTGTTGTTATTGTAGATTACTGTAGCAGATTTACCAGGACTGATTTAGGGGGCATACATTAACTGTAGATCTTGTTGTTATTGTAGATTACTGTAGCAGATTTACCAGGACTGATTTAGGGGGCATACATTAACTGTAGATCTTGTTGTTATTGTAGATTACTGTAGCAGATTTACCAGGACTGATTTAGGGGGCATACATTAACTGTAGATCTTGTTGTTATTGTAGATTACTGTAGCAGATTTACCAGGACTGATTTAGGGGGCATACATTAACTGTAGATCTTGTTGTTATTGTAGATTACTGTAGCAGATTTACCAGGACTGATTTAAGGGGCATACATTAACTGTAGATCTTGTTGTTATTGTAGATAACTGTAGCAGATTTACCAGGACTGATTTAGGGGGCATTCATTAACTGTAGATCTTGTTGTTATTGTAGATAACTGTAGCAGATTTACCAGGACTGATTTAGGGGGCATACATTAACTGTAGATCTTGTTGTTATTGTAGATAACTGTAGCAGATCTACCAGGACTGATTTAGGGGGCATACATTAACTGTAGATCTTGTTGTTATTGTAGATTACTGTAGCAGATTTACCAGGACTGATTTAGGGGGCATACATTAACTGTAGATCTTGTTGTTATTGTAGATAACTGTAGCAGATTTACCAGGACTGATTTAGGGGGCATACATTAACTGTAGATCTTGTTGTTATTGTAGATTACTGTAGCAGATTTACCAGGACTGATTTAGGGGGCATACATTAACTGTAGATCTTGTTGTTATTGTAGATTACTGTAGCAGATTTACCAGGACTGATTTAGGGGGCATACATTAACTGTAGATCTTGTTGTTATTATCCCCCGCCGGTGGAATCGGGAGGGGGATATAGTTTTGGCGTTGTCAGTCTGTCCGTCCGTCCGTCCGTCCGTCCGTCTGAATTTCGTTTCCGGAGTAGTTCTCTGCAACTACTGGCTGGAATTCAACGAAACTTTATGGGAATCATCAATATCAAGAGGAGATGCGCATCTGACCATCCGTTCGTCCGTCCGTCTGTCCGTCCGAATTTCGTTTCCGGAGTAGTTCTCTGCAACTACTGGCTGAAATTCAACGAAACTTTATGGGAATCATCAATATCAAGAGGGGATGCGCATATCGTCGGCTTGTTCTGGTCAGACACTTTAACTCAGAGTTATTGCCCTTGATTAGTTATGTAGTATGCATATAGAGTAAAAATCGTTTCCGCGCTACTTCTCTGCAACTACTGGCTGGAATTCAACGAAACTTTATGGGAATCATCAATACCAAGAGGAGATGCGCATATCATCGGCTTGTTCTGGTCAGACACTTTAACTCAGAGTTATGGCCCTTGATTACTTATGCAGTATGCATATGGAGTAAAAATCGTTTCCGCGCTATTTCTCTGCAACTACTGGCTGGAATTCAACGAAACTTTATGGGAACCTTCAATACGAAGAGGAGATGCGCATGTCGTGGGCTTGTTTGGGTCAGACACTTTAACTCAGAGTTATGGCCCTTGATTAGTTATGCAATATGCATATGGAGTAAAAATCATTTCCGGAGTAGTTCTCTGCAACTACTGGCTGGAATTCAACGAAACTTTATGGGAATCATCAATATCAAGAGGAGATGCGCATATCGTAGGCTTGTTCCGGTCAGACCCTTTAACTCAGAGTTATGACCCATGATTAGTTATGTAGTATGCATATAGAGTAAAAATCGTTTCCGCACTACTTCTCTGCAACTACTGGCTGGAATTCAACAAAACTTTATGGGAACCTTCAATACCAAGAGGAGATGCGCATATCATCGGCTTGTTCCGGTCAGACACTTTAACTCAGAGTTATGGCCCTTGAATAGTTATGCAGTATCCATACAGAAAAATATTTGTTTCCTCGCTACTTCTCTGCTACCACCGGCTGGAATTCAATGAAACTTTATGGGATACTTAGAGGAGATGTGCATATAGTCGCCTTGTTCCAGTCAGATACTTATAACTCAGATTTATGGCCCTTGATTAGTTATGTAGTATGCATACATCTCATTGGCATTTCCAGATTTTACTATTTAACACAAAGTTATGGCTCTGTTATTTCCCTGAATATTTATCAAGTTCAAAGAATATTACTGTTTATGCCATGATTAATATATAAATAAAGCCTTATGTCTTCAGTTGTTGTGTTAATAATAACCAGTACTCGGCGGGGGATATAAATTCAACGAATTTGCTTGTTGTAGATTACTGTAGCAGATTTACCAGGACTGATTTAGGGGGCATACATTAACTGTAGATCTTGTTGTTATTGTAGATTACTGTAGCAGATTTATCAGGACTGATTTAGGGGGCATACATTAACTGTAGATCTTGTTGTTATTGTAGATAACTGTAGCAGATTTACCAGGACTGATTTAAGGGGCATACATTAACTGTAGATCTTGTTGTTATTGTAGATTACTGTAGCAGATTTACCAGGACTGATTTAGGGGGCATACATTAACTGTAGATCTTGTTGTTATTGTAGATTACTGTAGCAGATTTATCAGGACTGATTTAGGGGGCATACATTAACTGTAGATCTTGTTGTTATTGTAGATTACTGTAGCAGATTTACCAGGACTGATTTAGGGGGCATACATTAACTGTAGATCTTGTTGTTATTGTAGATTACTGTAGCAGATTTACCAGGAACTGTTTTAGGGGGCACACATTAACTGTAGATCTTGTTGTTATTGTAGATTACTGTAGCAGATTTACCAGGACAGATTTAGGGGGCATACATTAACTGTAGATCTTGTTGTTATTGTAGATTACTGTAGCAGATTTACCAGGGACTGATTTAGGGGGCATACATTAACTGTAGATCTTGTTGTTATTGTAGATAACTGTAGCAGATTTACCAGGACTGATTTAGGGGGCATTCATTAACTGTAGATCTTGTTTGTTATTGTAGATAACTGTAGCAAGATTTACCAGGACTGATTTAGGGGGCATACATTAACTGTAGATCTTGTTGTTATTGTAGATTACTGTAGCAGATTTACCAGGACTGATTTAGGGGGCATACATTAACTGTAGATCTTGTTGTTATTGTAGATTACTGTAGCAGATTTACCAGAACTGATTTAGGGGGCATACATTAACTGTAGATCTTGTTGTTATTGTAGATTACTGTAGCAGATTTACCAGGACTGATTGAGGGGGCATACATTAACTGTAGATCTTGTTGTTATTGTAGATTACTGTAGCAGATTTACCAGGACTGATTGAGGGGCATACATTAACTGTTAGATCTTGTTTATTGATTGTAGATTACTTGTAGCAGATCTGTCAGGATGATTTAGGGGGCATTCATTAACTGTAGATCTTGTTGTTATTGTAGATTACTGTAGCAGATTTACCAGGACTGATTTAGGGGGCATACATTAACTGTAGATCTTGTTGTTATTTGTAGATTACTGTAGCAGATTCTGTCAGGACTGATTTAGGGGGCATACATTAACTGTAGAATCTTGTTGTTATTGTAGATAACTGTAGCAGATTTACCAGGACTGATTTAGGGGGCATACATTAACTGTAGATCTTGTTGTTATTGTAGATAACTGTAGCAGATTTACCAGGACTGATTTAGGGGGCGGGGCATACATTAACTGTAGATCTTGTTGTTATTGTAGATTACTGTAGCAGATTTACCAGGACTGATTTAGGGGGCATACATTAACTGTAGATCTTGTTGTTATTGTAGATTACTGTAGCAGATCTGTCAGGACTGATTTAGGGGGCATACATTAACTGTAGATCTTGTTTGTTATTGTAATTTACTGTAGCAAGATTTACCAGGACTGATTTAGGGGCATACATTAACTGTAGATCTTGTTGTTATTGTAGATTAGCTGTAGCAGATTTATTAAGGACTTATTTAGGGGGGCAATACATTTAACTGTAGATTTTGTTGTTATTGTAGATTACTGTAGCAGATTTACCAGGACTGATTTAGGGGGCATACATTAACTGTAGATCTTGTTGTTATTATCCCCGCGATGGAATTGGGAGGGGGATATAGTTTTGGCGTTGTCAGTCTGTCCGTCCGTCCGCACTCACAGGACAGTAATTATGTGGCTAGAGGAACAATAGGTAACTGTTCTTTCTCTTTGATGTCATTCATTCTGTAATGCTTAAATTATGTGGCTTTTTTCTTTTCTGTGGCTAAAAAAAACAATAGAGAGAACAATAGCCACATTATTACTCTCCTGTTAAAACGTCCGTCCGTCCATCCGACCGTCCGACGTTCTCTACAACAACTGGCTGGAATTCAACGAAACTTTATGGGAATCATCAATATCAAGAGGAGATGGGCATCTGACCGTCCGTCCGTCCATCCGTCCGTCCGTCCGTCAAAATTTTGTTTCCGGAGTAGTTCTCTGCAACTACTGGCTGGAATTCAACGAAACTTTATGGGAATCATCAATATCAAGAGGAGATGCGCATATCGTCGGCTTGTTCCGGTCAGACACTTTAACTCAGAGTTATTGCCCTTGATTAGTTATGTAGTATGCATATAGAGTAAAAATCGTTTCCGCGCTACTTCTCTGCAAACTACTGGCTGGAATTCAACGAAACTTTATGGGAATCATCAATACCAAGAGGAGATGCGCATATCATCGGCTTGTTCCGGTCAGACACTTTAACTCAGAGTTATGGCCTTGATTAGTTATGCAGTATGCATATGGAGTAAAATCGTTTCCGCGCTATTTCTCTGCAACTACTGGCTGGAATTCAACGAAACTTTATGGGAACCTTCAATATGAAGAGGAGATGCGCATGTCGTGGCTTGTTTGGGTCAGACACTTTAACTCAGAGTTATGGCCCTTGATTAGTTATGCAATATGCATATGGAGTAAAAATCATTTCCGGGCAGTAGTTCTCTGCAACTACTGGCTGGAATTCAACGAAACTTTATGGGAATCATCAATATCAAGAGGAGATGCGCATATCGCAGGTTTGTTCCGGTCAGACCCTTTAACTCAGAGTTATGACCCTTGATTAGTTATGTAGTATGCATATAGAGTAAAAATCGTTTCCGCACTACTTCTCTGCAACTACTGGCTGGAATTCAACAAAACTATATGGGAACCTTCAATACCAAGAGGAGATGCGCATATCATCGGCTTGTTCCGGTCAGACACTTTAACTCAGAGTTATGGCCCTTGATTAGTTATGCAGTATCCATATAGAAAAATATTTGTTTCCTCGCTACTTCTCTGCTACCACCGGCTGGAATTCAATGAAACTTTTATGGGGATACTAAGAGGAGATGTGCATATAGTCGCCTGTTCCAGTCAGATACTTATAACTCAGATTTATGGCCCTTGATTAGTTATGTAGTATGCATACATCTCATTGGCATTTCCAGATTTTACTATTTAACACAAAGTTATGGCTCTGTTATTTCCCTGAATATTTTTCAAGTTCAAAGATTTTACTGTTTATGCCATGATTAAATATATAAATAAAGCCTTATGTCTTCAATTGTTGTGTTAATAATAACCAGTACTCGGCGGGGGATATAAATTCAACGAAATTTGCTTGTTTGTAGACTTACTGTAGCAGAATTTACCAGGACTGATTTAGGGGGCATACATTAACTGTAGATCTTGTTGTTATTGTAGATAATGTAGCAGATTTACCAGGACTGATTAGGGGGCATACATTAACTGTAGATCTTGTTGTTATTGTAGATTACTGTAGCAGATTTACCAGGACAGATTTAGGGGGCATACATTAACTGTAGATCTTGTTGTTATTGTAGATTACTGTAGCAGATCTGTCAGGACTGATTTAGGGGGCATATATTAACTGTAAATCTTGTTGTTATTGTAGATCACTGTAGCAGATTTACCAGGACTGATTTAGGGGGCATACATTAACTGTAGATCTTGTTATACCCCCACCACAAAATGTGGGGGGGGCTATAATGGATTCGCTTTGTCGCGTCGGTCGGTCGGTCGGTCGGTCCGTCCGTCTCCATTTTCGTGTCCGCTCTATAACTCCTGATACCACTTGAAGGATTTTCTTCAAACTTGGCTCAAATGTTCACAAATCAGCAAGGGATGTGCAGAAACCCATGTTGCCATGTGTCAGCTCAAGGTCAAGGTCACAATTGAAGGTCAAATATCAAACACAATCATATATTAGACAGTATGTCGTGTCCGCTCTGTAGGTCCTACAATAATTGAAAGATTTTCTTCAAACTTGGCTAAAATGTTCACCTCAACAAGGGGATGTGCAGAACTCATGTTGCCCATGTGTCATTTTAAGGTCAAGGTCACAATTGAAGGTCAAATATCAAACAATCAAATATTACACAATATGTCGTGTCCGCTCTGTAAGTCCTACACTAATTGAAAGATTTTCTTCAAACTTGGCTCAAATGTTCATTTCAACAATGGGATGTGCAGAACCCATGTCACTCTTTTGCCGTTTTAAGGTCAAGGTCACACTTGAAGGTCAAAAATTGACTTAGAAAATGTTCTTTAATTTTAACATATATCTGAATATTTCTGAATCTAGGAAAGGTATTTGCTTGAAACTTAAAATATAAATGGAGTGTCACAATTAAGATATGCTGGTCAAGTTTCATAACTCTGTATTGCATTTTAACAAAGTTATGCCCCTTTTTAATCTTCAAATTTACATACAATCACATATTAGACAATATGTTGTGTCCGCTCTATAAATCCTATACTAATGGAAGAATTTTCTTCAAACTTTTCTCAAATGTTCACCTAAACAAGGTTATGTGCAGAATCCATGTCACCTTTGTGCAGGCTAAAGGTCAAGGTCAGACTTGAAGGTCAAAAACTGACTTAGAAAATGTTCTTAGATTAAAACATGTTCTTGTTTTCGGAAACTAGCATAGGTATTTGGCTTGAAACTTAAAAATATATGAGGTGTCACAATTACGATATGCAGGTCAAGTTTCATAACTCTGTATTGGATTTTGACAAAGTTATGCCCTTTTTAAGTCTTTAAAATTTACATACAATCAATACTAAACAATATGTTGTGTCCGCTCTATAAATTCTATACTAATGGAAGGATTTTCTTCAAACTTTACTCAAATGTTCACTCCAATTGGGCGATGTGCAGAACCCATCTTACCCTTGTGCCAGCTGAAGGTCAAGGCCACACTTGAAGGTAAAAAATTGACTTATAAAAAGTTTAGTATATTGGGAAAATGAAAGGTTATTTGTAACTGTTTCGAACATGATTTGATAATAGATATTTTTACTATTACTTGTACAATTAGTCTTTTTTTCACCAGAGATAATTTCTTTTTATGTATTTGTGTCACTTAAGTTATTCCCTTAACTACCTTTCCAAGTTGTCTTCTGTCAAGGACATTGGTGGGGGTATGAATCGCATTCAGCGATAGTTCTAGTTGTTATTGTAGATTACTGTAGCAGATCTGTCAGGACTGATTTAGGGGGCATACATTAACTGTAGATCTTGTTGTTATTGTAGATTACTGTAGCAGATTTACCAGGACTGATTTAGGGGGCATACATTAACTGTAGATCTTGTTGTTATTGTAGATTACTGTAGCAGATTTACCACGACTGATTTAGGGGGCATACATTAACTGTAGATCTTGTTGTTATTGTAGATTACTGTAGCAGATTTATCAGGACTGATTTAGGGGGCATACATTAACTTGTAAATCTTGTTGTTATTGTAGATAACTGTAGCAGATTTACCAGGACTGATTTAGGGGGCATACATTAACTGTAGATCTTGTTGTTATTGTAGATAACTGTAGCAGATCTGTCAGGACAGATTTAGGGGGCATACATTAACTGTAGATCTTGTTGTTATTGTAGATTACTGTAGCAGATTTACCAGGACTGATTTAAGGGGCATACATTAACTGTAGATCTTGTTGTTATTGTAGATTACTGTAGCAGATTTACCAGGACTGATTTAAGGGGCATACATTAACTGTAGATCTTGTTGTTATTGTAGATAACTGTAGCAGATTTACCAGGACTGATTTAGGGGGCATACATTAACTGTAGATCTTGTTGTTATTGTAGATTACTGTAGCAGATTTACCAGGACAGATTTAGGGGGCATACATTAACTGTAGATCTTGTTATTGTAGATTACTGTAGCAGATTTACCAGGACTAATTGAAGGTGCACATGTTAATTTTGGTATGGGACATAAATTCTTGAAGCATGTAGAGAGAACGAAGCTATTACTATTTATGGTTGATATTAACGGTTTCCAGCTCAGCCATAACTATCCCAAGAGAACGGCTTTTGAAACCATTTTACTTTTGAATAAGGTATGTATTTAAAGAAGTTATTTCATAAATGTAATACAAACCTGCCTATATTTACACATATTTTATCTCAAAAATGATAAAAATTATATACATACATATAGATACATACTTACTGTGTAATCATCAATGTGTTGTTAGAGACATTCAAAAGATAAATCAAAAGATTCTATTGCATACATAGTATATTAGGACTTGGCTATCTGTTTGGCATCAACATAACACTTGGTTATGGTTTTTGCATAACTTTTTATCTCATTAACAATGGAAGATATTCTTTTGAAACTTTACTGGTTCAATCATTATGATATGTCATTGTTTACAGCTTATTTTTCTAGCAAGGAATATTGTATTAAATAATGATAAATTGCAGTACATTATATCATGTGTCAAAGAGATAAGGCTGAATTATTTGCCACTTCCGTGCTAGCTCTAGTTGAAGCTGTCATCTTGATTGGTTAATGGCCTAAACGGTCAAGGTCAATTATGAAATTTTAATTCAATTCTGTACACAGAAATATGTTTTTTTGAAAACCTTCACTACAATGTTCTTCTTCTGATGTGTTTATCTTTGGAAATAAAACAACGTTGAGTGTGGGTTCTGCTTGGCTCTTGCTTTTCTTCTTAGCGCCCATTATTTGTATATGAAAAAAGTTAAAAGATATGTTTGTTTTGAAGGAGCTTGAATTGTTCAACAGTGATTTACTTAAGAAGCCAGCAGTGTTGGCTCTAAATAAGATAGATACTGACAAAGATGGTACACTCACTGATAGTATTGTTGACCAGATCCAAAATATACCAGGTAATAAACTTATATTATTATATTGAATTGACTAGAGAAATGTGTTCAACAACTGTTGTTTGGAAAATGCATAATTGTTTAAATTATATATCTGTTATATTTATGCTATATGTATATTATCTATGTTATATGTTATAATATTTTTATGTTATAGGTACATTAGCTGTTATATAATATTAATAATGTGCTCTTAAAGACTTAAGGTTATATTGTAGAGCTAATTTTGTGAGTGATTTTAAAAGGAACTGTGTTTTTGTTATGCTTAAATTTAAACCAGTAAAGCGTTAATTTAAAATGAACATGACTCTTAGTAACCAGTATTAAATAGACTAGATAACATAATGTTACAACTTGTAGGAATGTTTTCATATAATATTCATCACTGACCTATCTATAAGGTACTGACATAGGTTACATCAATATATACATGTATTTGTATTTCTTGTTTCTGGTTTCATCTGGTGCTTAACTTGTCACACATGTTTCCATACTAAGTTTCGTAAATGGTCTTGTCTGACTTTCATTTTTGGAACTGTCCAATGCACTCCATTATCAGTTTAATGGATACCTTGAAGGATGGTCAGCCAACAGTATAGAGTCTTCTCTGTGCAGGCTCTCCCCTGTATACTGATAAAATAAGCTTATAATTATAAATATAATGTAAGAAAACTTCAGTATTTTATGAAGTTACATAAGATAGATAATTTGACTACATGTAAGTGAAATAGAAAATAAGGCAAAATGAAATACGTCACACTCAATTCCTTTCAAATGGCAAATAGAATGTAAAATAATATTTATACCCCCAAAAACGAAGTTTGGGGGGGTATATAGGAGTCACCCGGTGGTCGGTCGGTCCAGCGGTCCGTTGCATTTTCCTTGTCCGGAGCATAACTTGAAGACTAATGGTTGGAATTCAATATAACTTCATACAATGGTCAAGCACATTGAGAGGTAGTGCAGTGCACAAGAACCATAACTCCATCTTGACTAATTACAGAGTTATTGCCCTTTGTTACTTTTCCTTGTCCGGAGCATAACTTGAAAACTACTGGTTGAAACTCGAAACAACTTCATACAATTGTCAAGCACAATAAGGGGAAGTGCAGTGCACAAGAACCATAACTCTATCTAAGGTAATTAGAGTTATTGCCCTTTGTTATTTTTCCATTGCTTTCTTTTGTCCGGACTATAACTTGAAGACTAATTGTTGGAATTCAATATAACTTCATACAATGGTCAAACACATTGAGAGGAAGTGCAGTGCATAAGAACCATAACTCTATTTTGACTAATTACAGAGTTACTGCCCTTTGTTACATTTCCTTGTCCAGAGCATAACTTGATAACTACTGGTTGGAATTCAAAACAACTTCATACAATGGCCAAGCACAATAAGGGGAAGTGCCATGCACAAGAACCATAACTCCATTTTGACTAATTACAGAGTTATTGCCCTTTGTTACTTTTCCTTGTCAGGAGCATAACTTGAAAACTACTGGTTGAAACTCGAAAACTACTGGTTGAAACTCGAAACAACTTCATACAATTGTCAAGCACAATAAGGGGAAGTGCAGTGCACAAGAACCATAACTCTATCTAAAGTAACTACAGAGTTATTGCCCTTTGTTATTTTTCCATTGCTTTCTTTTGTCCGGACTATAACTTGAAGACTTAAAAAGTTTGAATTCAATATAACTTCATACAATGGCCAAGCACATTGAGAGGAAGTGCAGTGCACAAGAACCATAACTCCATCTTGACTAATTACAGAGTTATTGCCCTTTGTTACATTTCCTTGTCCAGAGCATAACTTGAAAACTATTGTTTGTAATTCAATACAACTTCATACAGTTATCAAGGACATTAAAAGGAAGTGCATTGCACAAGAACCATAACTCCATTTTGACAAAATACAGAGTTACTGCCCTTTGATACTTTTCCTTGTCCGGAGCATAACTTAAAATGTACTGGTTGGAATTCAAAACAACTTCATACAATGGTCAAGCACAATAAGAGGAAGTGCAGTGCATAAGAACTATAACTCCATCTTCAGTGTTTATAGAGTTATTGCCCTTTGTTCCTTTTCCTTGTCTTTCTGGACTTATTACAGAGTAATTCAATAAAACTTCATCAATGGCCAACCACATTGAAAGGAAATGCAACATACAAGAACCACAACTATCTTTAATTGCCCACAACCATAACTCTATATTTCAATTCTTTTACAAGGTATTCTGTTACTAGTAACATCCTCTTTTCCGAAGTAGTCTTGTGGGGGTATTAATCACATTTAGTGATAGTTCTAGTTTGTTTTACTTCTTTCAGAATCTTTATCAGGGGTAGATGAGGCACTTCACCCAGAAACATTGATAAAGTTTGATGAGATATATAAGATATCTACAATGTTTGATTTAAATACACTGATTATGAAAAAACACTTACGGAAATGGCTAGACATCTGTGATCAATATAATCAGGAGGGAACTTCTCAGTTGTCATCGTTAGAAAAAGCCAGCATTACTAAACTAGAGAGGATTTTAGGAAGAGAACAAAATAAAAATAAAATGGTTTGATACATGATTGAATGTTTCGTTTATTGTTAATGAAAAAAATAAAAAAATGTTACTAAAACAACAATTTTCTTCAAAATAATGTGTAAGGCCATGATTTAACCCTTTCCCTCATGAGCATATTGTGAAAAATGACCGCCCCCCTTCAAACCCCCCAAACAGACATCCCTAGCCCCAAGTTAAATATTTTTTGTGATCCCCAAATCAAAAAAAGATTTCTGAAAATCCCCTTTTCTCAAAAAACCCAAGGGGTTTTTATTAACCAAACTTTTAATACTTGAAAGGAATGACCCTTTTGTTGTCTCCTATAAATTTTTAAAATTCCCTTCTGGTTTTTTGCAAAAAACGAAAAAAAAAAAAAATTTTCACAAAAGCCAAAAAGGGGGTTTCAAAAAAAATATGGACTGGGGTGTTTCCCAGTAGCCCTATTTTTTAAGAACTTCCCTGAAAAGAACTGGGGGAATATTTTTTTTAAGTATTATTTTTTTACGACCCCAAGTTAAAAATTTAACACAATGTTTTTTGTTAAAATTTTTAAAATTTTGTTTTTCAGTTTTAAATAATAAAGCCCCCTAACCATTGGGAAAGGGTTTAAATATTAACTAAAACATTTATAAAAAGGCCAAAAAAATTTTTCAAGGCTTTTAAATGTGAATTTTTTTAAAAGGGTGATTGCATACTCGTTTAAAAATAAAGTGAAAATTTACAAATTGATTAAAAGGGAAATGTAATTTAAAAAATTGTTTAAAAAGAAGTGAAATTTTTTACAAATCAAATTTCATTTTCTATTTTTAAAAGCAAATTTTATACTTGTTCGGGGAATTTTTAAATTTTTCACGGCTTAGACAAAATAACCATCCCCTTAATGGAATTATATTTGTTTTAAAGACAAGCTTGCACTGGTCTAGTTGTTACAATACGAGTTAAAGTGTATAAAGCTATATTTCTGCTTCAAAAATTATTGTTTGAATTTCAAAAAAGAATACTTCCAAAGTGCTTGTATGATAAACATGGTATATAATCACCTTCAAAGGCAATGAAACATGCACTGGATCATTACCAAACAGATAAAACCCTTCTTAAAATAGCAAATAATATTTTGTTCCAGAACATTTTATTCTGTTTACGTACAATAATCATGTGTGACATTCTATGTTACAACTTTTTAGGGAATCAACCATATGGAACCAATATACTTTTACTGTTGATAATTAATATTTCATAATATGAGCATTCCTTAAGAATTCAATAATGGGTGCATACTGCTTTTTTGATCACCTGTCACAAAGTGACATGCGTTTTTTTGTGCGTCATCCGTCTGTCCATCAATCGTCCGGCCGTCGTCCCTCCGTAAACTTACACTTTAAAAGACATCTCTTCATAAACCACTATATACTTGTGATAAGAACCCTCTAAAAAGCCTATCACCGTGTATTGTGTGAGCATTACTGTATTCCCTGAGGTTATCACCGTGGGTTAACTCTAGGTTAAGAACCCTTTTAAAAGTCTATCACCGTGGGTCAAGTGGACTAAACTGTAGTCCATATTATTAAAGCTGTCTCCATTGATAGACTTGTGATAAAACCCTCTATAGGTCTATCACTGTGGGTTGTGTGAGCTTTCCTGCACACACTGAGGTCTCACCGTGGGTTAACTTGCGATTAGAACCCTCTAAAAGGTCTGTCATCGTGGGTTGTGTGAGCTTTACTGCATTCCCTGAAGTTATCACCGTGGGTTAACTTGCAAATGAACCCTAAAAGAGGCCTATCACCGTGGGATGTGTGGGCTTTACGGTGTTCCTTGAGGCTCACCGCGGGTAAACTTTAGATAGGAACCGATTAAATGGTGCATCAGCGTGGTTTGTACGGGCCTTTACATCTATTCTCAGAGGCTATTGGCGTGTGTTATCATGCGAAGAGAACCATCGAGTGGATTTGTGAGCTGTACCGTATTCACTGAAGCTATGACCGTAGGCGCCCATTTAAAAAGCCTTATCAACGTGGGCTGTGTGAGCTTTACTGCATTTCCTGAAGGTATCACCGTGGGTTAACTTGGGATTGGAACCCTTTAAAAGGCTAATCATTTTGGGTTGTGTGATCTTTACTGCATTCCCCGAGGCTGTCACCGTGGATTAATTTGCGATAAGAACCATCTAAAAGGCTTATTACCGTTGTTTGTGTGAGCTTTACTGCATTCCCTCAGGGTATCACCGTGGGTTAATTTGCGAACAGACCCCTCTGAAAGGTCTATCACCGTGGATTTTGTGAGCATTACTGTATTCCCCGAGGGTGAACTTTGCCAAGAGCTCTATAAAAGGCTTATCACTGTTGATTGTGTAAGCTTTACTGCATTCCCTGGGTTAATTTGCGATAAGAACCCTCTAAAAGGTCTATCACCGTGGGTTGTGTGAGCTTTACTATATTCTCTGAGTCTATCATCGTGGGTTAACTTTCGCTAAGAGCCCTCTTAAAGGTCTATCACCGTGGATTGTGTGAGCTTTACTGTATTCACTGAGGCTATCAACGTTGGTAACTTTCGCTAAGAGCCCTCTAAAAGGCCTATCACCGTGGATTGTGTGATCTTTATTGCATTGTGTTTTACTGGATTCCCTGTGTCTATCACCGTGGGTTAACATGAGATAAGAACCCCTTTAAAGGCATATCACCGTGGGTTGTGTGAGCTTTACTTTAATTGTCCCCCGCCTTTTCGAAGAAAAAAGGGGGATATAGTAATAGGCTCCGTCCGTCTGTCCGGGCGAACATCCAATGGTCTATGAGCTTCATTCTGTCCATAATTTTAGTTAAAAAAAGAAGGAAATCCCATAAACCGACTGGTTTATGTGGTAATTTTACTGGTTTATGGGGAAAATGACACATAAAGATCAAAGAAAAAGCACATAAATCCTAAATGTTGGCACGTCCGTCCGTCCGTTACACTTTCGTCATTTATCAAAGAAATCTGAAATAACTTGGCACAAATGTTTGTTATAATAAGACGATGTGTCATGCGCAACAATCAGACCCCTACCTCCAGGGTCAAGGTCGCACTTGCTCATTCAAGGTCAACATTGTCTATTTGATGGTATATGTCGTGTCCGGTCCATAACTTTCTAATCTGTGAAGGGATTTTGTTAATACTTGCCACAATTGTTCACAATAATGAGACGATGTGTAACGCGCAACAAACGGTCACCTACCTCCAAGGTCAAGGTCACAGATAGAGGTAAAAAATTTACATAGTCTGTTGTAGGGTATATTTTGTGTTCAGTCCATAACTTTTGCATAGATCAAGAGATTTTAAAAATACTTTGCACAAATAATCACAATAATAAGATGATATGTCAGGCGCAAAACATGGGTCCCTACCTCCAAGGTCACACTTAGAGGTCAAAGATTGACATAGTCTGTTATAGGGTATATTTTGTGTGTCCAATCTATAAGTTCTTCATAGTTCAAGGGATTTTGAAAATACTTGGCACAAATAGTAATATTAATAAGATGATATGTCATGCACAACACCTGCACACCTAACTCCAAGGTCAAGGTCACACTTAGAGGTCAAAGGTTAACATGATAGATTTTTAAATTCCGTGTTTCAATTTACTGGTATTTCTTTAATAAATTTATTGTTGCATTTTCAGATCTGGCATTGATCATAATTTTGGACTGAAAGTCCTGATATCCATACCTCAATCTTTTAAAATAGCACAATTTAATGCTTCATATAAAACTTCCCCGAGGCGGGGGACGTTGGTAACTCTGTTACAAATTCTTGTCGTTAAAGCTATCACCGTACGTTAAATTGCGATCAGAACCCTCTAAAAGGCTTATCACCGTGCATGGGTAGTGTGAGCTTTATTGCATTTCTTGAAGCTATCATCGTGGGTAAATTTGCGGTAAGAACCCTTTAAAAGGCCTATCACCGTGGGTTGAGTGAGCTTTACTATTTTCACTTAGGCTAGAAACGTGGGTTAACTTTCGTTAAGAGCCCTCTAAAAGGCCTATCACCGTGGGTTGCGTGCGCTTTGCTGTATTCACTGAGGCTATCAACGTGGGTTAACTTTCGCTAAGAGCCCTCTAAAAGGCTTTATTGCATTGTGTTTTACTGCATTCCCCGAGGTTATCACCGTGACTTTACTTTAGTTAAGAACCCGTGGTTTGTGTGAGCCTGGGGCTATCACCGTGGGTTATGTGAGCTTTACTGCATGCCCTGAAACTATCACCGTGGGTTAACATGCGATTAAACATTCTAAAAGGCCTATCACCGCAGGTTGTATGACTTTTACTGAATGTTCTGGGTTAATTTGTGATTAGAACTCTCTAGGCATATAACTGTAGGTTATGTGAGCTTTATTGCATTGCGTTAAGCTATCACCGTGGGTTCACATATATATATAGAACCCTCTAAAAGCCTATCACCGTTGGCTGTGTGAGCTTTCACCGTGGTTTATCTTTTTATACGAACCCTCTATATTGCCTATACTTATGGTATATTTAAATCTAGTTTAGCCTTTAAATTCAGGTCAACCAAGGGATTTTTGTAGCTCACCTGAGCACAAAGTCCTTTCGCAAAGTGCTCAGAGATGAGCTTTTGTGAGGCAGCATGTCCATCTTTATTTTCAATTTCTGTTAACAACATCTATCGGTATATCACATATTGGATGTTGGTCAAACTTCACAGGGATGACGCTTGGCTGGCCCTCTACACCAATCATATGCAAATGAAATTTACAGGAGCAGAAAACTACAATGCCTAAGGCTTATATATTTGACATGTAGCTTCACATTGTGGCCCTCTTCGAAAGTTATGTCCCTAGGGTAAAATTAGCCCGCTCCGGGGCTCACTTAATTTATATAGACTTACAAAGGAAAATGCATTTAATTCTTCTTTCCAAGGATATGTTTTTAAGATATGTTTACAATACCATGTCTATGTAACTGGTCCACCAACTTATAATGCAAGTCAATGGCCATCTTTATATGCTTAAAATTTTTAAATGGACATGTATAGTTCCAAACATAGAAGCTGGACAGGTACTTTAAATGAATTCAGCAGGTTACGGGCTAATTTAATGTTATTATGTTACAGTAGGACCGATTTTAATTTGTAAGTTATAACATGTAAGATTATAATCTTTATGCTTAGATATTGTTCACATATGTCTAAATGCCATTGATGCCTCCTGGTTAACGAAGATTCCCTTTAATTTTGCGACTTTTTCCCTGGCATCACATTCATACAAATGGACCTTTAACACGGTATAAATTTATTTATTTATTCATTTTTGTTTTATTTATATAGTTTTTACATTTGCTTGTTTCCCCCCCCCCCCAACCTTTTTTTACTATTTTTCTTTTCGTGGTACAAAACTTGATTTATATCAGCAATAAGACAAAAATGTCTCCTAATACCTGGTAACAACAAATCAATGTCTCTGGTAAAATAAAATCGTTCAAAGAATTGTTCAGGAACAAACATAATTCTAATAAACCATTTATAATTGGAAGTTTCCGTTTATTCCTGAAAAACAACATTGACACGTATAGTGAATAAAGTTGGCGGCGATAACTTTTAACCGCCATATTGAAATCGCGAAATTTGCAGAATAAACCCGTATCTAATGATCAAAGTGATTTTAACGCAGGTGAATTTTGCCATAAAAATGTAATTATTTGATAACTGATAAGTCAGTTTATTTTGGAATTTATTGGCCTATCTAACACAAATCCCGTCTTTACGTTGCCCTTTAATAGCCACACTTCAGAATTGATTTACGGCACTTCACGTTTACGACAAAGTAACGCAAAGCGACTGCACCTGTAATTCCGAGCCAGGCATTGTGCTACCCTGACGACTGTATGACGGCGCGTGCCATGTTAGCAACAAGAGAAAAATAACATGCCTTCACTGACAAGCAGGCATACACCTATAGTCATAATGTTATAACATTATCTCTTAGTTTGCCACTTAAATATTTACCCTCTTTGTGCGGACAGCAAATCCTGAACTACTAGAATGCAATAAAGCAGGAGCAAAAATAGTTCAAAGATCATTAATTGAATCAAATTCCACAAAAAACGTGTTCCTCAAATAAAAACAACAAATATAGTGCGGCCGTTTCTATTAAAAAATATTTTATTAACTTTTTTTACATTTTTCTTTTTTTACGAACTGAAATTAGATTAAACTTTTAAAGAACTTAAATTATAAAGATATTTCTGCACGAGGTTTTTATAAACCAGTCTCTTGCCATTAGAATATATATTTGTTACAGAATTTCTAAATGATAAAACTGCATAGTGTTTCAATACGAACTTAGGCAAATGTGGCCATATGGTTTAAAAGACCTCAAATAGTGGAATCGTATTGGAAACGAGGCTAAAAGTGAACAGATGCGCGCATTGACCTAAGGGTCACGCAGACTCAGTGAAGATACAGAAATATTTGCATAATAATTAGTCGTTATAACGGTAACCATACAGCTTAAATGTGACATATGTGATCGTTGGAGGCGGGGCTTATAAAACCCTATATGACAAAAACCAGCAAAAGTGGAAATATTATATTTATTTCCATGGAGGTAATTATCCGTTGGAACTATTGATATTAATAAAGTCTCCGTCAATAATAACTGAAGTCTTATTTTCAAACGGACGCACTCAAAGAAATTCGAAAATATCTCATGTGTACATGTCTATAGAAAGAAAGTTAGTAAAGAAGCAAAGACAAAGCTGAAAGACTGTTAATTTAGTTATCAAATGCTGAGCGCCTTACATACACACATGGAGTGAACGCCGTGGATAGAGTTGTGATTAAAGTGCCTTAATTACTAAAGGTAACAATCTCTGCAATTTTTTTATTTGACTTTTTCATAGATTTTATTTCAATAGTAATTAAAATGAATATAATATAACTGATTCCTATTTTATTTCATCTGATATCATTATATATGAGTAATAATTTATCGATGTCGTCGTTTTATACATTGAATAAATGTTTTAATATCTTTATTTAATTCCTAAATTTAAGAGGAATTTATTAAGTTTGCTTAGTTCTAAATTAAAATTAAATTAAACCCGTTCTAGCACTATAAGCTTACAAACCAATGAAATGTTTTATAAAAATGTATATCAATATAGATTTCAATGAAAGGTCCGGGATGATGGGTGACATCTGGTGTTGCGTACGCATGCGTTTACTTACTTAATATACATTCTATTATAATTTTGTTACCAATCACATATAGATTCATCATAATGTGTTTGAGTCACTTTATTTGTTGATTTTATTAACTATAGACTTTTGTTTGAATAAATCATGTGAGATAAATATATACGGGTCTAATTATTGTTCTTGAAATTTACCAGTTTCTCTTATATAATAAACCGCTCTAATAACATGCCATCTAATAAGACATATATATATATGACATAGCAAACAATGAATGTTTCCTTTATTGTTCTAATATTTCATTGCAATTTGGTTGGATAAAAAAGATATTGAATTTTAGGAAGATCATTGTTGAATTATTGTTTATTGAATATTGTTTGCCCACACGGAAAATGACAATTTTATTATTTCGTAAATTTGATACCCTGTTTTTTTGTACATCTGCTTTAATTGACCGTGATTCTCATTCACAGCATTGTTAACATGTATTTTCTCTGTTTTACTTTTTTAAATAATAAGTTTGAAAAGTTTTTAACTAAAAGAAAGATATTGCTGATATATCAGGATGTATAACACGCCAAAACTTTTATTCTGTATTTAATATAATCATACATTAATTTACTGAAAGTTTGATGTACAGATATCTTGAAAACTTCTTGTCATTTAAATAACATTTTTTACGGAGGAAACGGTTTTGTTTTAAAATATACAATATTCATTTAAAGTGGATTGGTCTACAATGGCCAAATTTTCAATTTTAATTTCAAATATTGATGACAACAATAGAAATCTATCATTTGGATATTGTTATAAAATATTGCTTGACAAAAATGTTCATAATATAAAGTAAAGTAATTTAATATGAACATTTATATATAATGAATTATAATAATTTGCTCTAGATTATTTATTATCTGCTATGTTAATACATGTATAACATTGGATCATGTATCTCACATTTGCCAAAAAACATCAATATATACATGTAATTCTTCCATGGTTAGTTGTTATGTCTGATACTTAAATTAATACTAAATCAACGCTATTATTTATTGTATTACTTACCTTCCATAGAAGACCAATATCACTGAAAATAAATTCCCAGCATACATAGGACCAAACATTTTTTCTGTAGTTATTTATTTAAACATTTTGTTAAAAATGTGTTGCACTAACCACAACTCAACTCTTGTCGAATTGTAAAAATTTCGTGCATTTATAAAGTTGTATGAATGAGGTATAGAGTATAGAGTTGTGGAGGCGATCGAGAAGTCATTCTAATGTGCTAGGTACATGCCGGTTATAACATCACGTTAATATCATTATGTATTCAAACATGATATTTGAAAAGTTTCAGAGAAAATAACGTCAATGCATGTTTCATGTTGGTAGAGAAGACTATATGTCAGAGGTACCAGTGTCTGAATCAAGTTGTCTACAGGATGAATGTTTATTTCAATAGGCCCTAAGAATTATGGTATATCTTGATAAAAAATGCATCTACTATTTTGTACATTGATTACAATATAACATAGACTGACTTGTACTGATTTTATTAAGATTTGTCAGTCTGGGGCGTCAAACAATGTTAAAGTCAAAGGTCGGAACTATTTTCGGTCCTCGTGTATAATTAGGCCCTTTCATAGATGCACCGCCCCCTTCACCGTCGAAATAATCTGTCTAATTTGTGTCCCGCGGGCCACATCGCTGTCGTCTTTTATTATTGTGCAGAAATTCACACCATTTAGCTTAATGGAACGTTATTTCAATATTACATCTTCTATTTAACGCCGTTTGACCGCCGGTCAAAACATGGTAACAATAGAGTCTGGTGGCGGTTGTTATTAAAGCCTGGCCAAGTGCGAACAGCCCAGCCATAAATAGTGTATCTGAAATGAAGGGATGGTTTGATGTCTATCCTTCGTAATACTATGTAAACATACACAAAATATCTTTATAGATATACGTCTGATTAAAACGTTACATTCTTAAACTTAACGTTTTTCTGACCACTTTTTTGGTATTATCTAGTAAACTATTTTGACACGACTGCTGAACGATTAACTGAAATGCAAATTCCCTCTTAAGTTGTCAGTTTTACGTTTGTGTTTCAATTATTAATGGCATGTTTACAAAACCTCTTCATTTTCTTAAAGAGTAAATAAAACCAAAATCAAAGTACATTAATAAGTGTCAATAACACCCTTAAATATCATAAAGTCTTCAAAACAAAGGGCTTTAAAGCAATTAATTAAGTCCAGCGCGCGTGCCATCTTATCAGTGGCGATTTTATTTTCCAGTCACCACTTGACAATCAAGTGGACCTCTGTATTGTGATCTGCTTGATACACTAAATTTTACAGGACACCTGTCTTCAGATTGAACTTGTGTCGCCCATTGCAAAGTGAAAACTGAGCCGGACACCTGTCTGTTACATCGCTTGATGCCCTAAGTTCGTCCCATTCCTAGAGTCAACACCATTTTTGTTTAAGTAACAAAGTCTCGTCAGATGTTTATAAAGAAAAAAAAATTGTATATTTTCAAACATCTAAAATGCTTAGGGAAACAAATCATGGCCACCCGTGGACCTAACATAGTATTCCCATAGACGAGAAAATTTAAAAACCATTTTGATTTTTTTCCTTTACATTATTTTGATCTGTATAGTCTTATTTTTCTTCTGGATAATTTCAATTTATAAAATGCATAATAATTAAAGGTCACACGGGAAATTCTATTACCCGCCACATTTCCGAGTTATATTCCATACAGGAACTTAAAATTTCCCGCGGGAGAAGGATCAAATTAGGAAACAGAAACCCTATAAGATCTGGCACGCGCACTACACGTGTAGAGTCTCTGATGATTTAATATCCAAATTTTGTAAGTGCTTCAAACGTTTGCGCAACGTTTTGTTCCGACGATAAGGATAATTGACAAATAAATTCCCGGCATTCACGGAATTTCTCTTTGAAAAGGAATGATATAGTCACTTTTACCCTGTGAGCCGAGTTATAAACAAATTTCGTCCGTGAAAAATGTTGTGCTGGTAATACAAAAATAAGCGCAATGGCTTTTCTACCAACTAACAAACTATAGAAAATAGAAATAAGTTATTTTATACTTTTTCTGTTTGGTGACTTTATTTTCGGGTCAGCACATTTATCCCAGTAAATATGTAACATAATTTATATACAAATGTAATTAGAATAACATTAGACAACTGGACAAAAACAGAAATTTTCATATAAAAAAATTACTTCAGTAAGTTTTGTAAGGAAACCATTCTACGCGGAATCAAGTATTTATTTATTTATTTATTTATTTATTTATTTATTTTTTATTTATTTATTTATTTATTTATTTATTTATTTATTTATTTATTTATTTATTTATCTATTTATCTATTTAACTATTACATGTATTAGTAACATTTTAAACGAGTATTTGTTTTCCTTGTTTGGGACATTTTTAGAGTGTGTTGGCGATTTGTTTTCTGAAAATTGATATTTACATAAATGGAGACTGATGTTTAACTGCAAGGTAATGGATAGTTTCTGCAGAAAGTGGCATTTATCAGCTAATAATCTAACATAATTTGATGCGTGAACATGCGGCAATGATACTCAGATTTCTCTCTAAAACATAAAAAAAATTATGCTCTTTACTTTGGTACCAGTCTGACGTCTGATCTTTCATACGCCGAATAAAAAACAACCTTTGCACAACTTCGGATGAAATCCATTTCTGGATTGTTCAACATAATTTAGAACGTCTTCAAAACTCGACAGATGGGTAGATATTTAAGGCATTGTCTCCCACCGAAGAAATTGTCGTCTGCCTCATGAAATTGTAATTAGTGACGTAACTTCACGCGCCAAGGATCGCGTTCCGTTGAGGTTTTCCGAGAAGAGAACGAATTGTCTGGGACGATTGAAAGGTTTCGAAATTTTTGGACATATGGCGAATTTTGCTGAAACTGTTTTGCAAATGGGATGATCACTAATATTATTAATCGAATTTATTACCGTTAAACGAATTAAGAAATATTGTCTGCATAATTGGTTACATTGATTACGAAACTGCGCTTGTTAGATTTAATCATGGTGAGATTTATGAAAAACTTTTAGAAAATGTTAATTATACAATGTGGCAAACATTTCCATAATAGAAAAAACGGCGGTCAATAGGCGTCATAGGACGACAATAAGACTTGAATTTCTAAGAGTGAGATACGGAAGACCTTTACGAAGATAGAGAGTTTTCATTATTTAGGTATCCAAGTATTAGAGTTACATGCTTATCTCGAGTTATTATGAAATATTGTTGATCAATGAACAACACTCAACTTCTAATACAAGAGCTGGCATAAACTTCCCGACTGGAAAACGTTTCATTTTATAATAACCATTGCTATTGGTCATCATAAGCCCTTAATCCGTTTCTATGGAGATAAAGTGTTTCATATCAACAATGTGACATTTATAACGTCAACTAGTCCTAAAGTTTGTATGGATTACACTTGAAGAATAAATATATTGGAACTTGTTATATTTATAGAGAAATTTTGCATCGATCGAGGCAAGATAAGGCCGTTACAACAAAGTTCTGGTACAAAGTTAAAAAGCTTGTAATTTTTTAAGTTCTATACACAAATAACGAGAATCTAGAATGCTTTAAGTTTTCTATTCTGTGAAAATAAGGTTGCGTTATTTGTTGAATGCTAAAGCAATATAATTTAATTATTTAAAATAAATAAATATTAAAGGCACGCATAATACTTAACTTAAAGATTCATACTGACTTTAAAAAAATATTTGATTTGTTAATTCATGTCAATGTTTATGTATGTAGACTTAATGCACATATACTTAATGTAACCACGGATTTATATTACATTGTAATATAAATCCGTGGTGTAACTAAATAGCCGTTGTTACTGTCCTACCAATAATGCAATTGTTATGACATTTAAACATTTATGGCTCTGATACGAAACTTATCACGTTACAAAACTATGGCTTATAATTTTACGGCGTTTGATTCAATAACACGCGCTCTAACAGGGGAACGCGTGGAGGACACGTTTCGCCGCTGCGATTGCAATGAAAAGTGTCGCGTTTGATGGTGAAAATCAACATGCATACAACTAGTTCACAATCTTAATTTGTTGATATTTTAAAATGTCAATCCAATAAATGTATTATCAATGACCACTTGGTGTTTTAAAAGTTGCTTAAAACTGCGTCTTTGACTTTATAATCAAAATGTGTCTAGAGCAGACAAAATATTCGGCACTTTTTTCTTATTTTTTATTGAAGTGTCCCAGAAGACAACAATCAACAATTAATCAGCTGTTACTTATCATACATTACAATTTAAAGTAATTTCACATATGATCGATAAAATCAGAATTCATCCAATTACAGTAACTTATAAAATGATACACAAAACCATAAGATATTCAATTTCAAACTGCCTGAAACAGTCGACAAAGTTTGACAAGTTTTATTGTTTTCTAGCGTTATTCTTAGTCTTTTACTGTTATTATAATATAAAAAACTGTCTTCGGAAATCTTTGTAACGAATTTACGAACAGATTGTACTATTATCAGTTCAATCAAGATTTGACAGAAGTTTTCTTCTATCAGAAAGATATCAACTTGTTCCCCTCCACATTAAACAGACTAATCAATACACAACAACAATTAAGCACCATGCTGTTTGCCACCATTTAATTGTATTAAAATGAAAGTAGAGTCACTGCGCATGCTCACAATGCACATTTGGTGGTCGCAATTATAGAATCAAATTTCTCATTACAAAGGCGCTGTACAGACTGTACGGAACTCGATATTTATGATGAAAAAAAGTCACCAGGCTTCAATAAATAATATCTCACAGAAAAGGCTGTAAATGATTTTTATACACATCTTTGTTAGGACACTGATATAACTGACCAGTATTGATATTCATTCGAGAAAATTGACCACTGCTTTCAAATAAATCAAAATCTTTAAGTTAAAAGAATCATTCACATTTTTGGCCTGGATTGTCATAAACAAAAGAGCACGATGATTGATTCTGTTTGTGAACAATACACACTATCTTCACAACGGTCGAAAAAAGCCATTATTTAAATTTTCTGCTGTATGGAATGTATTATTTGCTAATGATTTTGAAGTCAGCTTTTTGAGTGTCTGACCGTTTTAAACAAAACAAACAATATATTTCGTGTATTTCTAAAAAACAACGGAAAAAAACAACGGGAAGTTTCCCTGGCATTAATTTGGAATTCCACCCTTTGATAAAGAGATAAAAGAAATATACGGGAAAGAATTGGAAATGATCATTAGTATGCATTTTAGATGTGAGAAAATCTGTTACAGTTTGAGTCCAAGAGATCTATAAGTGTGTTTGATCACGTACATAATGCCTTGTTCTTAACAATAACAACCCAACGACATTAAATAGTACATGTACACTGTTTTCACATATTTATAAATAATATCACGACTTTAATTGAATTCAATTAAAGCTTTATAGTGTACATGTAGTTTATTAAAAGGCTATTTGCAATAATTAAGATTATCTATTACCATACTCGTGTGTGTAAAACTCTGTTGTTCCACAACGTAAGTGTTGGTTATAGCGAATGTATGGTCTCATAAAGAATTGTTTAAATTTGTATTTCAGAAATGCCTACACGATCCATACTACATGACGATATTGAATGTGAGGATGAATCCGACTTCCCGTCCGACGAGGAACTTGAAGTCTCCGACCAGGATGACGTCATTTCTAAAGAAGATGCAGATAAACCTAATTTAAAGAAGGGAAAACGTCGGAAATCTGACAGTCCAGATAAAGACGAACCGAAAATTCCGAAAAAGCGCGGACCCAAAAAGAAAAAAATGACAAAAGCAAGATTACTTCGTCTTCGAGTACGCAGAGTGAAAGCCAACACAAGAGAACGAAACCGGATGCATGGTCTTAATGACGCACTTGATATATTACGTAAACACGTGCCATGTTATTCAAAGACTCAGAAACTGTCAAAAATAGAAACATTACGACTGGCATGTAACTATATCGGTGCATTAGGGAATATTCTGAAAACTGGGATAAGACCTGATGGTATTTCTTTTGCTAAAGCTCTGTCGAAAGGACTTTCACAAAACACGATGAATCTTGTAGCTGGATGTCTGCAACTCAATCCAAGAACTCTTTTACCCGAATCGGCTGCATATTCAAAACCATATCAATTTTTGTATGAAAATTCCTTGGATTTTACGTCTCCCTCATTAATGCGACAGACAGATTTTGCTAACCACGGCTTTCAGTCATATGAAAGCTTCTCGCCTTCCCGAGCAAACGCTTGTTATTCCGTGCCTTCAATGAATCAAGTGCCTCATTCTAACATACAGACTCCAATGACTGATTTTGGAAGTCCTAGGATCATGAGCCCGCTTCAGGGATACACCGCAGACAACAGTCTTCAAGTCGAGGCTATGACGTCATCAAATTTTTTACGCTGTGATAACGTCATGGAATCATATCCGAACAATTACGTCACGCCTCCGTCCATGTACCCTCCAAATGTTGTGACATCTATACAGGACTGCGTCCCAGTCTGCGCAATCATTGACAGTATGCCCGACTCTATTCTAGAAAACGACATCGGTATGCTAATGGGTCCGAATCCGAGCATATTTGACCAAATGGCGCCTTGATTTTAATTTAAAATACATTCTTATCTAGTCAGATATAACTTAAAACATATTTTCATATTTTGAATTTTTATATCGAAGGCTTAATAAGTTTAAGCTGATTATTATGTTACTTTTTATCTTAAAATCGCTAACAAATTTGCAGTTGACACAAACATAAGAATACGTATGCATGTACATGAAGTTATTATTTGTTGCTTTAACCTTGACAATTTGATCTGTATTTAAATACATAATATTCAGATATTTAACCGGTATTGAAAGGCCGGATTTCATTGAAAATATTCATTACAGACCGTAATAGTATCGCACGCTTCCGAAATAATTTATGGCTGAAACTGGGGAAAAATGTTTTAATTGAATATTGTTTAGTTTTACTGGTCAGGGACGACACGTGCAATCTTTTAACAAAAATGTGCTACTTTTACACTATACAAGTATGTTTCACTATTTACGGAAGTATCATTTATTTTATATAATAATGTTTATACATGTGCAAGTCCGACAACAAACTAAATCTGCATTTGCAAATGATTTTTTTATTTTTACATATCGAATGAAAGTAAAAAGAAAAATGACATTGAAAAGGACAAACATTTATTCACAGATACTTGCAGTTTTATTATGACATGTTCTAGTGTCTAACTACGTAAACAAGTTTGAATACAGTTTCATAACGTTTTTATTCTATTTTTATTTATTTATTTATTTTTGCTTTTTTATTGTTGTTTTCAAGTCATTTTTACCCACATCTATGAAATTGTGTTATTTCAAATAGATTTCTAAACTTTGGCAAAATAGTGGAAAACAAGTTTCATGTCCAAAACAAGTGACCAGGTCGTAATCATATGCAAACATATTTCGACGTACGGTTTGCAAAATAAATTTAGCCATGATGTATACAAGTGCGGTCAAGAAGGGGAGCAACTCGCATATAACGCCAACATTATAACAAGGGTATGTACCTCTTTAAGTTACCGGGGACGGAATATAGTTAAAGTGGTCGCGCTTTGTTTAAACGTAAGAGGTTTTATACAACAAATTTTCTCTGGTAATATTTGAATTAAATGTGTGTGAATCATTTGTCAATGCTTAACGAGTATAAAGCTGAATCAATTTTTGTAGTTTACATTTTTTTGAATACTTTCAAAAAGTCTGATGTGAATTAAAGAAATATGTTTTCATATTTCCCTAAACAACGAATGGCGCATGCACTTAACGATGAAAACTCTGTTTATAAAGAACATTTTTTTTTGTTTACATACAATATTCATTCAATATACACCGTACAAGGATACAGGGAGTTAAACATAAGATTGTGTATACAACTTACATTCACCTTTTATAGATTTCATATAAAAACAGCATTAGATATAGCTTTTAACCAATTAGTTTCAACTACGACGATACAAAACTTTATTATTTTAATATGATTCACGAATATATCTTCAAGCATCAAAATAAATGGTGCATCATAAGCGGACTTTTTTACACCAGGTGCATAATTGACAGATGTTTGAACATTTTCACTAGTACTTCATATTTCGGAAATGTCAGAAATAAGCATATAAACCGGCTACAAATACAAAATCAATTTAAGTAAAATAAATATTGTAAAATTAAAGCCATAGCTAGTCACAATAACTTTAAGTACATGTATTTTTCATTCATTGTTGAAGATCAAAATCATTGTATCATGTCGTGTAAGCCTGGATTTCAAGCATCTGCTACTTAACTGTATCTTCTTTAGAGCCTATACAATTTATCTTGTTCTTTTCTTGGAAGCCTATTTATTTTATCTTGTTCTTTTCGTAGGAACCTATACATTTTATCTTCTTATTTTCTTTGCGGCCTATACAATTTATACAATTTATCTTGTTCTTTTCTTGGAAGCCTATACATTTCATCTTGTTCTTTCTTTTCTTGAGAGCCTATACATTTTATCTTGCTCTTTTCTTGTGAGCCTATACATTTTATCTTGCTGTTTTCTTGAGAGCCTATACATTTTATCTTGTTCTTTTCTTGGGAGCCTATACATTTAAACTTGTTCTTTTCTTGGGAGTCAATAGATATTAACTTGTTCTTTTCTTAGGAGCCTATACATTTAAACTTGTTCTTTTCTTGGGAGTCAATAAATATTAACTTGTTCTTTTCTTAGGAGCCTATACATTTTAACTTGTTCTTTTCTTGGGAGCCTACACATTTTGACTTGTTCTTTTCTTGGGAGTCAATAGATATTAACTTGTTCTTTTCTTAGGAGCCTATACATTTAAACTTGTTCTTTTCTTGGGAGTCAATAAATATTAACTTGTTCTTTTCTTAGAAGCCTGTACATTTTAACTTGTTCTTTTCTTGGGAGCCCATACATTTTAACATAATTTTTTTTGAGAGTCTATGTTTTTTAATTTTTTCTTTTCTTGGAAGTCTATACTTTTTAACTTGTTCTTTTCTTGGAAGCCTATACATCTTATCTTGTTCTTTTCTTGGAAGCCTATACATTTTATCGTGTTCTTTTCTTGGGAGCCTATACTTTTATCTTGTTCTTTTCTTGGGAGCCTACACATTTTAATTTGTTCTTTCCTTGTGAGACTTTTCAATCTAAGCAAAAACATTCTATCTTCCTTTCTTGAGACTTGTTTTGTTCATTATGTAATTGACCAGTGTTGCCTTCATGTTTCTCTGTATTTCGAATATTTGCAATAGAAAAATGAGTAGAAATTGCGACTAGAAAAATTGAGTGTCTTCTGTTAGTTGATTTCTGCACGCATGTGACCTGGTGTCCAGGTGCTATCCAGCCACTGTGGAGGTTCCATCATACATTTTGATATAAACATTTTATAAGAACTATGTGATCTTTGATTATATGTAATATCATAATTGAGATAAATTATGTTGTACGTTAGCCTCGAAGAAATACCGTAGTGCCTTTCCCTTAACAAAACTTTACCCATCGGTGTAATTAAGCGAAGATGTTTACTGTACCTTATGCAAAATGTTGTGCTTATTAAAGGAGTACATGTAGAAGTAGTTTATGCTTAATGAGGGTCTGTTCGCCAAAAGGACACAATAAGCAACTTTTGCTGTACGGACCCAGACACCAGTCATGATCTCATAGAGTTAACTTTGAAGCGCAAATTGGTGGGTGATAATTTACCTGCATGCAATTTCCAAGAGTAAAAGCCAAAGTGATGAATCGTGAGCCGAAAGTAGAACACTATACAGCGGTCAATCAAGGCTGTTTGTAACTAGCAAAGGACACCGCTTTTAAAGCCGTCACTACCTACTAATGAATCGCGCAACCTTGTACCCTTCCTCGTCGCCCCTGCTTACTCTATGACAACTCTCCATGGCTTCAGTTACACCATCAGAATGTGAGAGTAGCTTAACTCCGCAACGCAATGTAGCATCTGCCCTCCATGAACAAAACAACGTCCAGGATCTGAACACTGATTAAAGCTTCACACTTTCTACCGATGTCCTGTGCCTCTCTAAGACGGGCACATACCGAGAGGTGAGAGAGTATATAAAAGCGCTTTGTTCATGTTTATTATACTACCGAGTGACGGACTACTTTCTTCACGAACGGAAGTTGGGTAGATCACGACGGTGTCGTATGTTACGAGTTTATGATATCACTACATCCGAGTGTCATGTAAACTATTATAAAGAAATATTAATTATGTCTTCTTACTGAATATATTATTGTAATTATACCAATTTTTCTAAAATATCAAGTGTATGGGGAGCGGATATGAGGTGTAAAATATCAGAATAAAGTGAAGTAAAAAAAAAACATTCGGGCATATCTACTAAGTTTTTTTATAGTTTTTTTTTCCTTAACAACGTCGCAAAATGTTTAATTGTTTTCTTTATCCTGAGATTAACATGGACCCAAATAAATCATGTAATTTAATTCCCATTTAGATGTTATCAGTGCCGAAAACTTTATTACTTTTCCTTTGATTGTTACAAGTCACATACACATGCATGTAGAACAATAAACGGGCGATTTATGCAAAACATGCAAGAAATGCTAAATCACAGAAAGATATTTTTTGGAGTTTCTGTTGATTTGTCACGATAACTGATACCAAATGCTGGAACATTTATATGGTAAAAAATTCAATGAAGATTGCAGTAACTTAGCATTGGCATAGTTAACGGACACATATAACATGGTATTAAAAATTTTCAACGATCCAAAACAACGGATTTTTATATTGTTTGTATATAAGATAAAATTATAATTTCATTCACATTAAGATTAAAGCTATTGATTTAATGTTAGATTATGACATATATAATTATATTCTAATTTATTCCTGAGAGTTCATCATTTGTTGTATAAATATAGAACAAAAGTGATCCCCTTAGGGGACGCCGAGTATCATGCAAAGGTCACACCATTAAAATGCTACTTTCATTCCGAAAATATATGAAATAAAAGCATAAATGGAATTTTAACAAAAGATAACCTTCCAAAATAACTTTTATCATACTCATCAACAATTGGGAGATGAAACTTGACTTCTATTTGATCGGCCTGTCGGCCACTTGTATATAGAGACTTGTCAATGTTGAAAATCAAAGACATCTCTGGCCATCTTGAATGACCAGGTCAATGGCCTGAACAGTGTTGTTGCTAGTCGGACCTACATATACCATGCTATGATGTCTATTTTCTCACACCTGACCGAACAATATATAGTATGTGCTTTGGGCAGTTTTGTTGACCGCTGTGGTCACTAATCTTTTAAGTAAATCAAGATGACATGAGATTTAACCGTTAAGGATGATTAAGCTGAAAAACATCGGTTGATATCGCTGTAAGTTCAATAACAATATCTAGATATACTGTATAACGCTCTACTATTTGTTACTTACTTTAATTTATTGCATGCTTTTTCGGTGGTACCGGCGTGCACAGTAATGGGTATCAACTTAATGACTTGATGACGTAAATGACGTCACGTTGTATTATCATTTGGCGAGCTTTTCATTCAGTATTAGATTTAATTTCTTTTTCAAACGTTTCTTTGCATGTAATAAAAAGAAAATTTGTTTAGTTTAGTTTAAGATCGAAATATATTTCACCTTGTGAACCCCAAAGGATCGTTTAGGATGAT